GACATAATGGAGAGCATCAGGAATATCGAGGTTGCATGGTATCGCCCGTATTTTTCGAAAACCCTGAACGATGACGAGAAGAGATTCACATGCTGGGTCGTGTGCCAGAGAAATAAATACGTATACTGAGAGATTCTCCCTATAGCCCCATCCGAGGCACATGAATAGACTCGAATTTCTCACGTTTCATTGTGTACGGCGACTCGAGCGTCGTTCAGCTACCGGTATGTTACGCCTGACGAATTATGATGGATACTAGTAGAAACACGTCTACGGTTGGTCCCGTATTGTATTCGTCTCGAACGCGCGTTACGTCGTTTTACCTGAACATATTTGTATTTGAAAACCTGCGCGTGAAAAAGAGCCAATATCCATCGCTACAGTTCTCGATTATAGATAGATATAACGAGAGAAGTCCCAGATTTGCAAATTAGTCACTTTCGATCTCAATTCTATCTTCTGATTTTAACACCAAAAGTAATAGTACAGTCGGCAGAGTAAAGGTTGCAATACACTTTTTTTCGATGAGTCTTGCAACGCAAGTCTTGTATCTAAAGGAAAAATGTATCCTCTGAGAATTACTAATAAACAAATTCTCCTATTGGATGTGGGATATGTTGCGGAACTTGTCGAAAAAAAGTGTTGCAACCTTTAATCTGCCGATTGTGTGTGTGTGTGTGTATGTGTGTAGCAATAAGCATGTAATAAGATTATTACACTGACAATGTGGTAACACTTATGACACTGAGAGAAAAAATATAATTATTTTCAAGGACAACAATGTCCTTTTTTTTATTTTAACCACAAAAATAGTCAAGAGAATTATTTTTCTAGTAAGTGTTCCTATATTGTCAATGATAATAAACTTACGCGCATGTTGTTACTACTATTTTTGTGGTTAAAATATAAAAAAAGAATATTGTTGTCCCTAAAAATGACTATTTTTCTTTCAATATAGAAAAATACTTTCCTTGACTACGTTTACTCGGCAAAGCTAATCCGGTTTAGTAACAACTGAAATAATAACTGAAATACACTGAAAAATGAATTTGGTTAGATCCATCTAACAAAATTTCAAATTCCCATGAATCAAATTTGATTCTTACAACTAGAAATTCTGTTTCCTTCGATCAAAATGCGTTTAGTTGTCAGGTAGATCCAACTGAACTTATTTTTCAATCTAATTACAGCTTATACATCCTTTACTCGTATATCCGTATCTGTTGACACGAAGTGGTTTTAACTAATCTCCACGATGAATTCTAAGATAATTTCTGAGATAATCAGATCTTATAACTGTACAATAACTANATAACTACATGTAACTGTATATATTACAAGATAAGTAAAAATAATAAAAATGGTAATAAAACAATATGGCCGTTTGAATATTTTCAAGTTGGCAATATAACCGTCTAAACCATTTTACTGTTTACAGAATTCCTTAAAACCGAATTTATAAGTCTACATCTCTTCGAAAGTAGATAAAAATGAATAACAACCGATATTATAAATACCGGTGCAAAATACTATTTAGACGATATTTTACATTATAACTATCCTAGCAAACACCAAGTTACACAACTGTTAATTATAATTTTCTACTCAACAATGTCGCTATTATGTAACACGTGTGTGTTATATAACAGTAACATTATTAAGTACGAAATTATAACCAACAATTATATAACTATAACTTGGAGTTTGCTGAGATGGTTGTTACCGTTATCGTGTAAACATAGTCTATAATTTTTTTACTTATGCTATTATAGTTACCAATACCAAATATTAAAAATTTGTTTTTCAGTGTGCATTAGAATCCACGGATATTTTAGAATCTGGAATTTCGTCAATAACTAAACAATTTTATTATTATTATTATTATTATTATTATTATTTTACTCAACTAATGTTATATAAAACATCTGATTTCAAAATTTTGCTCTGATTATTAAAATATCGGCTAAGTGGCGCAGTTAATATATTGTGTACCGCCTAAAAATGTTAAAAAATCTCGGAAATTTGTCCAGTTGAAGTCGAAGGACCGAATATCGATCTGTCTTCTCCTGAGATTCATGCGTGCAAAACGAATAAGAAAAATGAGGATGCGATATCGACTACCATCGGCAGGAAGAGCCTGAGAACGTAACATTTTGTCGATGAGATATTCACGCGGCACAGAGGGAGAGAGAAAGAGAGAAACGTGGCCGCGGCCAACGGAGGTTCGCCCGTCGCCTTCGCGCAATTACATCCAATTGTGGCAATTTAGTCCAATTGACGTTAACAGGCTCAATTGGCGAGCCCTCGCTGCGGGCAGCACCGCCGTCGTTAAACGGTCGACATACCTACGACGTAAAAAAAGCGGATGACGCGTGTAAGAAGAAAAAGAAGAGCTCCGCTAGTGTTCAGAGGTCGACCGCATCCGCCTCCCTTTCTCTCTCTCTCTCTCTCTCTCTACATATTTTTTCTTAGTTGTTATTATAAATACACATGTGTGCAACACGTCTATTTAATAATTATACAATACATATGCAATATATATAATAATTAGATAATAATATTTTTACTTAGAAACACACACACACACACATTTTCTCTCTCTCTCTCTCTCTCTCTCTTTCTGTCTCTCCTTCACACCCTCTCCTTCTCCTTTCCTTTGACCTCTAATGGTCTATTGAAATGAGAAGTGTTCGTGTGACGTAAGACAATTGATAATTGATACTTCATAAGGAATAGCTCAAGCGTGAGGTGAAATATTCCACTCAATGCTGCCCGTGAGGAACTACTTCGCGGGACGCCTCGTGCTTCGTTCCGACGTCAATCCATCGACGGAAAGCCTGTCCTTCCAGCTATATACGAAAAATATCTCATAAACAATAAGATCGCTCATGCAAGATAAGTAAAAGGTTAATACAGTGATCAGAGAGGGTGGCATATAATTGCGGCGCGGTCGGCCGGTCGAGTGCCGCGGTTCCACGACAGGAGAATTAAAAACGCCGACACAATTGCCGCACTAGGACATCACGGTACCGGAGAGACCGATGGATTCTCCAGCAGGCTGGAAGCCGAAGAGGTGGAGTTGAAGAGGCCGAGCCACTTTGCCCCTACCCTCGATATGGAAGAGGGGATGACGACGTATCGCGCTCGTGTTCTTATCTCTCCTCGAGCTCCGTGCTCGCCGACCAATCGCCGGAAGAGAGGAGAGCAGGTGGGGAGACTTCCTTCGCGCCACCGTTGCCGGTCCACGTCGACGTTCGTCCTTCCCTCCGCCGCTTTTATCGCGACGAACCTTCAATTTCCCGAACTCGCGGGCATTCGGACTCGCGATTTTCCTGGGTTACCACGGAAACCCAATTTTCAACGCGGTCCCGGATGTAATATAGAACCACGATAACGTCGGAGTGACGTCAGAATGACGAGAAACAGACTAAGAAAACTCACTCCTCGATCGTATTCTCGTCATCTTGATCACTCGGAGTCATCGCCATTTTCTATCCTACTCGGGATACGGACCTTGTTCCGCGACTGGAGGTTCACGCAACGCCTTCGGACCTTCGCGAGGAACACGAAGAACAATGTCGGAAGGTCCTCTCGTTTCTCCCGATCCCGATGCCAGTTGGAATGACGTCGGTTGAACAAGGCCCATTGCAGAGACTACGCGCACGACTCTTCGAGGCGCGCGTGTTTCCGGTGACGCGGCCTCGCATCCGGTGACGCGCGCGCGCGCGAAAACGCGATGGCGGATGAAGTTGGCGAGGGAAGTCACTGGCGAAGGTTACGGACAGACGGACGGACGGACGGACGTTCGCGTGTGCGAGCACTCTTGCCGGTGTTCTTCGTGCCTTCGCGCTCCGACACCTGAGGCGAGCCGTCGCTCTATCCGTCCGCGGCGCGAAGACGACACCCTAGACGACACCAGTCAGTCGGGCTGCCATGTTTACCCGGTGGTTTACGCACGGAACGAGATGCAGCCGCGGCGGATGCCGAGGAGAAAGTCGCGGCGGCGCGGAGGGTCAGTGCAGGAGGCGACCCAGCAGGCGTGTTACTGCAGCCCGGCATCACCGGGCCTTCACTTATATCGTCGCTCGGCTAATAACGCTAGTAATGTGATATGATTAGCTTAGTTGAGTTCAGTTTAGTTCGTATTCGTTCAATTTAGTGGTTCGCCAGCAAAATCACATCGAGTTAAACCCATTTAGGCCAGTTAAGTTACCGACTTCTCCTCGTTCTCTTGCCGGCCGGCCGGCCGGGGCCGCAGCCTCCACGGCCGCATCCCCCGCGACGCGCGGAAGTACACCCGTGGACACCCCTCTCTCGGCCGCCCTCGAAGCCCGCATCGCCGGTCGCGTCGCCGTGAAATTGGAAATTAACCCAGCGGGAGGCGCGGACACCTCGTTCCCCGAGTGGAACGAATTAGTTCGCGCGAAGGTGACACCGACGACGGTCGATCTCGCGTCGCGTTATCGTCGGTGAAATCGGCTCGGGACGCCTTATTCGTGCAGGTGCTCATGTAGGAATCGTACTGGAGTACCAGTACTGGAGACTGGGGAGGCGTCAATTCAGTACTGAAGTACGGATTCGTGTTACGAATATGAATGTCTCGAACACGAAAGCGGGAGATGTCGGTAACGTGAAGGCAAAATAGCGCGGTGGTTGCCCGGCGAACGGAAGACCCTGGTTTGATTCCAAACAAGCTCGCGTCGCCCCGAGGTTTTTCATCTGATTGAACGTCAAAAGGGACTGAATGCTGTCGCTGTGGAGAAAAGTAATTTAGGGAGAAGAAAAATTGTATACCGTCACAGCAAATAAATAAAATGGAATAAATAAAAGCGATAAATAAAATAAATAAATGCAAAGAGTTTATTAAGTATCTATCAATATTTTGGGAGTTGATTTTTAAAATCATTTTATGAAGGAAAAACTCATGCGAATATGTTCATTTCTTCGTAAAATAATCCCACAGATCAATTCCTTACGTATTTGAGTAGTAGTTAAGAAACATTCTGAATATTTATTTGTTTGTTATGATAGCATATTTGTTGTTCCTCGAAATTACTTTTCTCCATATGGGAGATCAGGAAGGCGATCGTGAATCTTTTTCTCTATCTCTATCGTGAACTCGAAAAAAGTGGACGCTATTCTATGTATTCTTTCAAATTGGAAAATGTTCACTTTTCACGAATTCAAACTGGAGAAAAAGATTCGTGATCGACTCCCAGAAACTCGTAGGAGCTTGGCTAATTCGATAGGTCGTACGTTTGGATGTCTACTGGCTGTCTAGGTCCGGATGATTAAGCATCCAGATCGAACGATAAGCAACTGTCGCGTTTTTACGTTCACCCTGTCCCGCTCGTGATGACGCGATCGCACCCGCATTGCCGCACACCGTTCGCCGAAAAGACCTTATATATTAATTACCACTTCCTCTATACCGGTTGCCAACCCCCGCTGTCGATCCGGTTTCCAGATAAAAATTATTGGCGGGCATGTCCGCTGTTTCGTCCGAATGAATTTTATATGAAATACATCACTCGATCTTCGATAATTAGATCTTAATCTTCAATGAATAACATCTTCAGATGATTAAAATCGAAAATATACGCATATATGGAATTTTCGAGAATCACAGATTATGTTGATGATTTTGCGTGTAGCCTCGGGAAGTCCACGAGTGACGCAAACGAGGTGGAACCTCTAGCTTAATTTCCTGGTTGCGAGAATGATGGTTACAGGCGCCGATTAATGAACTCTTTATTGTCCTTACTGGTTTATTTAGAAAGGATCAATTTCGAGCGGTGTCTTGTATGTGATCGGATAGTCTAGCTAGTTGAAAGTCAAAAATTAGCTCGTGTTATCGAGAGCCGCTGTCGATTATAAAGGCAGCGATTGTCAACGACGAATAATGAATAACAAATAACGAATTTCGAGAATGTTCTCGAAAAAGTCGGACAATGCGAGAAGTAGTAGACAACAAACATAAACAGTCTTACGTCTCTCGCCAAGGCAAAGAATTTAAATTAGAAAATGATACAGAACAGATTGTTTAAAGTGAACTTTCGACGAAATATATCAATATTGCTTATAAAATCAAACGTTTGAACGTCAGGATTCCTGTTGGTAATTAGAAACTTAAAAAAGAAAACGATAAATAGAATGAGACCAAATAGCGATGATGTAACGTGTGTAAAATATATTTGTAAGAGGCAGATGCGACAGCAGAGCGTAGAGAAGTTTTCGAAAAGAAGTTGATGAAAAAAAGCAAGGAAAATTGTAGAACGACTCGTTACTTGTCGCTTCTCCTCGACTAACGATAACTATTAATTATAATAATTATTTCTCAAAACAAGCAATATCGATGGCAATGAGTTACCCTCTCGAGCAACGAGCAGCATGGTGGGTCGAGCTACTCTTGGGAAAATAACCTCGCCAACCCTGCTGGAAGGTCACCTGATCGCCACCGAGAGCAAGACGCGAAGGTGGCAATAAGGTCGATCGGCGGCCAGTCAGGGGGTCACAGAGAGCGGCTGTGAACGGAAAGAGCAGTGGCCGCGAGGAAATCGGCGCGGCGCACTAATTACCGTCGACGAAATTAGCGGTTAATATACGCGCGTACACACGCGGAACGGGGGGTAGTAGTTTGATTGGGCCAATTCGAGGCAATTCCTGGCGATTGCTGATTTCATTGAGCTTGCGCTTAAGAGCTCTCAGTGCCACGCCGCCGGCCAACCGACATGGATCTCATCTCTTCGAGGCGACCAAGGTGCGCGCCGCGTCGCGACGCCCTCCGTCGTCGCGATCGTCGCGTACTGATCGGCATCGGTTGACTGGCGTGCGATGATCTTTTTCTTCCCTTTTCCGTCTCACCGTCGTTAAAGGCTGTGAGTTCTTGTGGTGAAACGGAATACACGTTGCAGATGTGCGCGACGATGGTGACGCGTGTTTATGGCTAGCGATATATATGTATGTGTGTATATATATATANTATATATATATATATATATATATATATATATAATATATATATGGCTCTGGTTAGTTTTTCTTCAGTTTTGTAGTAGTTTCAGTATTAGAAAAGGGTGCAACTCACCGGACGCTTCATCAGGTATGTTCTTCAAGCTATACTAAGTTACGTTGTAAAACGAGGTAAAGTGTGCGCTTAAAACGAAGTAAACATTATTTGACACTCGGTGGAAGAGAGAGGAAAACGGGAGGATCGCAAGACGGTTCGGAAGATGCAGCTGTAGAAGAGCAGACGGTATTGACTTCGAGATGTTTGTTCGCACGCGGGATTAATGATATCATAACACGGCTGGAACGTTTGAAAACCGATGGATTTTACTCGGCTTCCACTCCGGAATTTAAATGTCGCGTTAACGTTACGCGTGCGGGAATGCACATCCTGTACGAAGTGCCAATGAACTTCCGTTGCAGAACTTGTCCTCGTCGTCTGCATCGCGGGATCAACGGGAGAGGACGATCTCGGGGGAACTTAACTTAGAGGGATATCGACCGGGACACGGACCGGTTCACGCTGCAAACGACAATGAATACAAAACGAACGATTAATAAGAAAATTAATGGAGAGAGAAGAGAGCGGACAAATCTGACGACGGAAGAATTTCGGATCGAAGCACTCTGCCGGACGAGAGCTTTCTCAGAGCTCAAACATGCTATCGCAGCTCTCCGCAGCCATTCGAAGAAATTCACAGGGCCTCCGATCTAACCACCGCTACTAATTGCGAATCAATGGGAAGAAAGTGAAAAGGCCGATGACAGCCTTTGGCGAGTAAACGGATTTGCGACGAAAAGGGAATATGAACGAAAGCGCGAATCGTCGATCGTCCATCGACGAGACGGAAACGCAGCGGCTACGCAACGATCAGGTTGGTCCCCCGGGTTCCCAGGGACCGGCACACTTCCGACTAATTCCCACGGGCCCGACCTGTCTACCCCCGCGCGTTGACCTCGCACCCTTTTTCGCGCGCAAGTCGGAGGCGGTCGCTGCGGCGAGCGGCCGTGGGGCCCGCGGGGGGCAGGAGCGGCGGTGGACCGGAGTGAGGCAGCATCACCGCGCCCGCATGGAACGCGGCGGCGGCCGTGGCGACGATCGGTCATCGCCGGCCAGGATTGGCCGGGGCCCGAGTATGGGGGCGGCCTGGCCGGCGCGTCGTCGAAAATATAAGCCTGTGTGAGTGGCGGCTGATTAGCCAGAGTGTCCGGGACGGAGTAGTGGCGCGAGAGTGGTGTCCCGATAGCGAGAAGAGAGGATATACGGTTCGGGGAGAGAGCGAGCGGATGCGCGTCGGGGAGTCGGCTCTCCGCGGCTCGCACTGGCGGAGAGGTGGTGTGGAGCAGTCGTAGTCTTTCCCGTCGTCGTCGTCGTCGTCGTCGTCGGTCCTCCAAGCAGGTCCCGTGCCGACGAGCGCATATCGCGCGAGTTAACGCCGCTTAAAACTAATCAAAATTAATCACAAGCCGGGCAACAATTGATCGCAATTGCCGCGCAAGACTCCGCGTCGTCGACGTCGCCGCGGCCGTCGTCACGGTGTGCGTACAGGCGGATCGCTTCTTCCTTCCTCCCGCGACGAGAGGGCGGCTCCACCACCGGGAACCGGGAAGCGGAGTCGCTGAAGCGCGCTCGAGAGACCCGAGGAAGAACAGTCGACGCTCACCGTTGCTCCGGGCTCTTAATTCAATCGGGGCGGTCGGCGATCCCCCGCAATCAAAATTCACGCTCGACCGGCGGGCGTGTCAGTTGATGAAGGAAGCGAAGAGGAAGAAGAGACTTCACGATAGATCGCATCTCGTGGACGATGAACTGTGACAGCCGTAATTGCGTGGCGGGCTAATCGGTTTAGTTAATCGATCACCCGTGAGTCGATCGGATTATCGGTGTTGGTGAACGTTCATCAAGGTTACCGTTTGGTGGGGAATATCGGCTCGTCGTTTGTGCCCGCTCGAGAGGATCTCAATGCTTCGCAGCCGGGTCGAAGCGCCGTTCCCAACGACTTGATTTCTTCCTCCTCCGGTTTTTCCGGACGGGAACTCGTTTTTCCGCTCCTCCGGGAAAAAGAAAAAAAAAAATACATCGGACGCGTCGATTTCAGGGCAATCAGGCGGCCTGAGGCAAATTTGAAGTTATGATTTCGCGGGGGATACCTCCGCGCTTCGGCTCCTCGGGAGGAAGAACAATCGGTTGCCAGAAGTCGTCGGAAGTGTGAATCAGCCCGAACTCGTCACCGTCCAATTCCCGGTGCGATCCGCTCGAATTTCCGCTTCGAATTGGATTATCCGCCTAGTTGCGCCTTCGCCCGAAGGCTGAAAGCCGCACCTCAGATTCAAGCTCGGCAGCTGAGAAGGAAGCGCGAAGATGGACGGCGCTCCTTTCGACGACCCGCTCTTCTCGGACTTCGGGGCGCGCGGCGGCAGCGGGGTTCACAGCATCCAGGTGATGCTGGGCCTGCACAGCGGCCATCACGGCGGCGACCTGATGCCGAGCGGCGGGCACATTCACAAGCTGGACTCGCCCAACAGCCCGTCGGCGCATCACCAGCACCACCAGCTGCAGCAGCAGCAGCAGAAGGAGCTGAAGGAGCTCGAGCTGTCCGGCATGTACGCGCCCATGGCGCAGGCCCAAGACGTCACAACGTCCACGACGTCCGGCAGCGTGACGCCGACCTCGACGACGCTGCAGCAGGGCCTGCAGCTGGGCAACGCGCTCGGCAAGAGGAAGCCGGACGATCCCATCAACGCCCTCGCCCCCGGTAGTAGACCCTCGTACCACCTCGTTCGTTTCAGGGATCTCGAATTTCGAGAATGTCAGAGAATGCCGATTGACAAGAAGAGAAGAAGAACTCTCGATTCAATGACTATCCGAGTAAACACCAAGTAACAAGTGTGTAATACTCGTGTTATATTGCATTTGCATTGTCGAGTGGAAAATCGCAACAGTTGTGTCACTGTTACTTGGTGTTTGCCGGGCGACGGATAAAATATTTCGTACACGGAACAAACTATTCGATAAATTATTCGCAGTTAGGAAGTAACACGAAACTTGTAACAACTTGCCTTGTTGCGAATTAATTTTTTTTTTTTTTTTCGATAACGACTTGGTCCCTTTTTTTCTGTCGCACGGGAGAAAGTCGGCTCGGGAAATTCGGTGACGGGAAATGAAAAGTCGGTGGCAAGAAATGATATCTGTTTCTCCTAACATTCGCGGGAACGTTCAGCCGCGTTAGAAATTCGGTTGAGACAACCGAGATCAATTGAGCGACTAGAAATCTCCCACGGAAATCTTTCCGTTCCGGAATAAATGATGAGCAAGGTTGGGAAGTAAGGTGTTATTTGTAATGTCGTTATTCGTTACGAATTACTTTTTTGCGATAATAACGTCACCTTTTCCCGTTAGTAATGGTAACGGTAACGCTATTACATTTTCTAGGTAACGATATCGAATATACTTACATCGTTACTTTGCACATATAAAATACATCTACACGGAATGAGAATCGTATAGAAAAGAAGTTTTCGAAACTTGGTAAAAAAAAAATAGTATGAGATTTCCAACGCCTCGTTACTTCTTCGAGTGACGATAACGGTAACGAGTTACTTCTTCCAAAATAAATAGTAACAACGGTAACGAGTTACTTTCCGTCGATGTGAAACGAGTAACAATAACGGGTTGCTTTCGAAAAGTGGCTTTCGTAACTCTCCAAATAATTCAACAAATATATTACTATTGTGCAGTCAGCAGCGAAGCGCAGCCAGCCAAGAAGGATTCGAAGAAGAAGACTGACAGTAACAACATTAAAAAGAAGAAGACGAGGTATTCATACGACACGCGAGAACACGTTAATTGTTCATTTTTCCAGCGTAAATGAAACTTTGGCAATTCACATTCTCTCCCTCGTTCTTCTTCTTCGCTCCAGAACGACCTTCACGTCTTTCCAACTGGAGGAATTGGAGAGGGCCTTCGAGCGGGCGCCTTACCCGGACGTGTTTGCGCGCGACGAGCTCGCCATGAGGCTCTCCCTGTCGGAGACACGCGTGCAGGTGTGGTTTCAGAACCGTCGCGCCAAGTGGAGGAAGAAGGAACCGCCGCGCAAGACCACCGGTTATATGGCCGCGGGATCAGCCAGTCCCGGTCTGTCAGGTATATTTTCATTGTGAAAGTTGACTCTGTACACATCACGAAGTCTCTGACGTCATTATTTTTATTTTTAAGGAGCAAAGAAATATTAAGAAATAAATTAACAAACTCTCGTATTTCTTCTAGAACGTTGAAAAGTTGTTAGAGAATTATTTACACGGGAAAATAGGTCTGAGTTCAAATTCACCTGGAATGTACCAACCAAACGCGTCTTAGTTGAAGTAAAAATAATAATCTTATTCTAGGTCAAATTCGGTCCTTACAATCAGAAATTTGGTTTCCTTCAATCAAAGCGCGCTTGATTAGTATATTTCAAGTGAACTTAATCAAATTGTTTCTTCTACATGGAGTTGAGAAGATAGTGTTACTTGTAAAGTCGCTAGTTACTTCTTATAAGTAACGATTTTGGGTAACGGTGGTTATTTTTTTCTATCTCCGTTAGTAACGGTAACGCCATTGTATTTTCTGGATGGTGAGAATGAATAAAATAGTTACTTTTATTATTCGTACATGTAGAATATATCTATATGAAGTGAAAAATCGTAAGAAAGTAAGTCCTCAGAACTTGCAAAGAAGATAATATATATATATATATATTATCTTCTTTACAAGTTATAATAGAATATATATATATATATATATATATATATTACATATATATATATTATCTTCTTTGCAAGTTCTGAAGACTTACTTTCTTACGATTTTTCACTTCATATAGATATATTCTACATGTACGAATAATAAAAGTAACTATTTTATTCATTCTCACCATCCAGAAAATACAATGGCGTTACCGTTACTAACGGAGATAGAAAAAAATAACCACCGTTACCCAAAATCGTTACTTATANTATCCAGAAAATACAATGACGTTACCGTTATTAACGGAGATAGAAAAAAATAACCACCGTTACTCAAAATCGTTATTTATAAGAATATATATATAATATATACTAAGACTTCTGTTTTCTCGTCATAGTCAGTCTTGATCAAAGTTGTCAGAAGCGAGAAAGCGCATACGCTCAAAATTTTTGCGGAATATATATATATAGTATCTTATATTAGAAAAAATATATATATATTTGTTTAATATAAGATACTTTAATATGATTATTAAAATATCTTCTAAGAATTCTCCCAAGAGAATCCTAAGCACGGCTGATCCGCAGGTTCCTTCACGTCCCTGAACAACACCCTGAACCCGTTCGCGTCGCAGACCACGGCCGCGGCACCGCCGGACGCGTGGCCGTACTCACCCGCCTACGACCTGGCGCCGCACTTGAACCTGCTGAGCCCGTCCAACTCGCCGTACTCGACCTCCACGTTCGGCGGTGGGCCCGGGGCCGGCGGCAACGGCGGCGCCTACTCCTACGCCGCCAGTATGCTGCCGCAGCACGACGCGGCTACCGCCGCGCTCTTTTCCACTCCGGCGGCGGCCGGTGCGAACGCGATGCGCGTCCACCAGGACTACATGAGCCCGGCCGGCGGCGGCGGTGGCAGCCCGCCACCGCCGCCGGGTCCAGGGCCGCTCACCCGCGCCGACTACCAGACGATGGTGACGACGCACTCGCCGCCGGGGCACCACGGGCTCGGCAACTCGGGCATGTCCGAGGACGAGCACGGCGGCGGCTGCCTCGCCGACAAGTACGCGCACGAGCAGACCGACTACGGCCAGCAGCAGCAGCAGCAACAGCAACAGCAGCAGCCGACGGAGCAGAAACCCGATTACGGTATGCACTCGCCGCAGGCGCGCCAGGCGATGAAGGAGCACCAGGTGATGGTGAAGAGCGAGCCGAACAGCCAGCAGAGCTACGTGCCGTTGCCTCCTTTTATGAACTGACTCGCGGCCTCCTGCGCTCTAGATCACTTCTAGGCGGTCCGCCGCCTCCCGGACGGCGGCGCGACCCGTCGGTGTCTCGCGAGCGCGACGAGTATTAGAGTCCATGGTACGCGGGCTCCAAAATTTCACACCCTCATCTTTGCCTCTATCGTAAGAGAAGGGAGCGGCTCCCCCGGTAAGTCGGTCAGTCGTCTCTCACGACGATGCTTCGCCGACGCACGGACGACTTCGACAGCGTTCCCGCTGGGAACTCCGCACGGGTCGTGAGTAACGTGAAGGGGATGAGTGAACTCGCGCGCTCGAACGTCGTCCGCGAATTCGCTCTCGCGAGCGAGCGATCGCGTGGAACCGATTCCGCCGCTTTCGACCGGAGAAGTCGACGTCGTGTCTCGTATATAAGGACGTCACGAGAAGAGAAAGAGGGAGGATATGAGATACCGTTTTATTTAAAGAGAGGAGGTCGAGGAAGTTGTGTATCTTTAAACCGCTCTTACTTCTGTTATTTCGAAGCGCGCGATTGAAGCTAGGATTACGTGACCGTGTCAATTTCTCGTGATCACGCCCGATCTATCCGTTTCGGGAGCTTCCTCGAATCGGAACGCTCGGGCGGAACGATACACATAAAGTTACGCAATCTGAGACGCGAAAGGTATGAGGTAGAAATTGTCGCTCTCGGCGTGCGTGTTCGGTTCAACACCGATATGGGAACTCGGTTTATTCGTGTCTCTTCAGCGCGCCATTGTCGAGGAGCGACGGTGTCCTCCTCGAGTCTACTCGGTTAACGACGGAACGCCGTAAGCGAGAGGAAGCAAAAAAAAAGTGGAAAATGCATTATTACGGATTCGTAACAATTCGGTTCGTCGATATTTACGTGCCTTCGAAGAGTAATTAACGCCTCACGCAGTGTCTTTATATAAGAAATGTGAATTTTAATCAAAATAATCTTGCCTTGTATCGCGATGTATTCGATTTTTATGTGAGAATAATTTGTAATAAATGAATGAGTGATATGAAGCCAATTTCTCGTACGTATGTTCCCCACTTCCACACACTTCTACACACGCGCGAACAGATCGGTCAGCCACCATCGGTTTCTCCGTAATATTAACATTTTGCGATCCGCGCTCTGTACAATGTTGACGCGCTCTCCGACTCGAGCAACTCAGCCAACGATTCATACTTAGCCGCATTTTTTGACTGCAAATAAAAGACCGATGTAAAAGGACTTGTTAAAATCAAAGCACATGGCATCGGCTTTCTCGATGGTAAATTTCATATTTTTTTTTTAACAATGAATATAATAAATTTCAACTTTTGCATTTACTTTTATTTCTCTTACAGAAAGTTAAAGATGATTTTTTATCAATTAAAGACGTCAAACGCAGGTACATTGATCCTTTGAGACTATAAATATAATTTTTCTGAGTATATTAAATTTGATCAAATATCAAATTTTTTTATTTCCACATGATGAAATAAACTGTAAACTTCACTTTGAATATTATTTATTATAATTGATTGTAAGAAATTTTGTATACCTTTTGAAGATGCAATAACGTAGTCATCTGATGACAAATTTCCATCGGACATATTTCTATTAATTTTTTGCTTCTATGAATTTTTGCTCTTTCGTATACTTCAAATATATTCAAATATATTCATCCATCGTTAATATTAATTACATCGCAATGATACTACATCGTCAACAGACTGCGAGCGTCAAAACTCGCGCGACATTACTATGTTGTCGGTGGCCCGAAAAATGTTAAACGGAACGACCCACAAGGTCGTTATTCGGGGTGTGCAGTCAAATATTCGGTCACTTTTACGAACGTCGATGAAGAGTTTCTACAAATTAACATGTATAAACTTTTTCATCTGTATTTTTTTTCTTTTTACAAAACTTTCCTGCGGTGTAATGTGACCTTCAATTCATTTGATATCTATGTACACGATGTATTTCTCACTATATCGTCGTCATAGATATCCCGTTCTTGTCGTGCAAATTAGAATTGATTTTGTTGCTGTTCTTGACACTTGAAACATCAACATTTGCATCACTGTCGGTCCTGTTTGTGGCACTTTGATTCTGCGACACTGGCCGTTTTTGCACGCTGTGTCCTTTGCTCCAGATACCATCGCCCGTGAAGTGAGTGTCCTTCTCCAGCATATACAGGCAGAGCGCCAAATATTGACTATTGGTGAAGGAATGTTCCGTACTCTGAGAATACTTCTTCCTTAGATCGGCCAACAGTTCCTCGACCGTGGATCTGGAAGCAGTTTAGCGTTCATACGATCATTTGTTCTACGGAAAATATAATAATTTTATTCTTTATTTTCGTAGGGGACCGTTACCGCGAGTAAAGTACGATGTGTATATTACAGCATATTTCATCGACTGTGAAATTCTCCATCAAGTAATCCAACATCCTCTCGATATCGTCGAAACCGGCTATTTTCCAATGCGGATGCCTCTTCAATTTCTTGAAGAGATCGACGTTCTTCGGCTGAAGTTTCAATTTATTATTGAGCAGATACCGTAGAGGCTTCGGCGACATAAGGGTGCTGGCACCGTATTGAATAAATCTGGAATACAAGTGCATCGGGTCAGGGTGTATCTGTATCTCTATAAATTGTGAATAACGATGGAGAAACGGCGCTTTTCTTCGTCGCTTACCGATCCATTAACTTCTTTTGCGACAAGATCGTGTGAGCGCGCGCCCACTTGATGCGATTCACATAACGAAGGTATTCCGCACGTTCCATGGCCATATTTGTATGGAAGACCATTTGCAAGATTCGCGGATACTTGTACCACAGATGTAAGTCCGGATGTTTCATTATCAGTCCCATTCGTTCGACGAAGAATTCATTGCCCAAAGTGAAGATATTCATGAATCTACGCGCATATTCTTCCGGTATGTCATAGCGTTCGAACGACTGTAGCAACTGCTTCATGTTGTTCGCGTCTTCCAACAACAAGAAAGGATGCTTCTTCAGAGCTTCCTCGATCGACATCCCAACGAGACCTGTGTCCCTGAAGCCGCTCAACAGTGATCTCACATTCTGCGCAGAAGCAATAAGGATCTTGGGATTCTTGTATATCTATAAAAGACAAAGAAACGCAATAATATTGTACGACCATGTTATTGGCAGAATGTATATTGCAATATATATGTACATGTTACATCGCAATGTAATATATATCATGATATGCACCGTGATATTGCTATATCATATTATCTTAAAAACTGTTTGTTTGTTCACGTATAGCGTTTAATTTCTTCTTAACATCAGTTCTACTCACATATTCATTGTTACAGCCGAGATCAAGCCTGAGCACTTTCAATGTCTCCGCAATCATGCTTATACTTTTATGTTTCACACCGGTGTTCAACAATATCTCATCGTCTAGGCCAGGCAAATTAAATATATCAGTTTTGCAGGACAGGAAACACTTTTTGTAATATTCTTTGACCTTCATTAGATTGTGCAACGATTCTAACTGGGACTTATCCATCGGAGACTCGTGGAGTTTGCTGAATATATTCTTCTTTATGTCTTGTTGCATTGGGACACTGGCTATCAATTTAAATTTAAGCACAGGTTTGTTTAAGTAACTCATGATTCTGTAATTTGAAAAGTTATTAAAAGTTTCTTATATTCTTCATGCGAAAAATAATATTTGATGTTTCATGTTTTTACCTACTTGCTTATCAGAGTCACACTCAAGTTTTGCACTCCTATATCTTTTAGTATATTGATCCTGTGCTCTAGCGTATGAGGAAGTAACCCCAGGCAATACTGGAGGTTTCTGAATGGTCTCACATCGACCTTGTACCTCTAAAACAAACAAACATGATTTTCGACAATTTCTTGTCGGTCTCTGAATTGTATCGGTAAAATTACGATTAAAGAGAAAGAATTATATTGCCACATGGGTGAATGACGACGGTGATTGCCAAGGAATTACACTGTTATACACACCTGGCATAGTAAACAGTTATTTATTAACCGATGTTTAGCATATGATGTTGTGTTGTTCATATCGACAATCAGTTTGACCTCGTCAGAATTCAGGCCTAGATTTTTTATCAGAATCTTCTGAAATGTATCTTTCTTCAACATCTCCATTTTAAACGACACTGTTTTAATGTATCTCATCTTCTCGGCTGTATCGTTCTGTTAGAAAGCACGATCATGCAGCAATACAATACATTTGTTTATCTTACAATTAACATCGATCGTTCGTATCATACGAATTTTTATTTATATACATGTTATATACATAACATAATTCAACTACGCGAGATTATTTATTTGTGGACATTATCAAAGTCCATTAGTCTGTTCTTTTCAGCTACGTTGCTGAACTGATGCAAAAGTTCAAGCAAGACAAGCTATACTTATTTCAACAACGCAGCTAAAACGACCATAGGGGACGTCAAAACAGATTAGCTGCTTTCAGAAGTTAGATTAATGTCAGTCTACAATAGGTATTTTAAGCCTTAAGCTTTAAGAAATTGACCAATCACAGTCAAATGTGAAGAGTACTAGTTAACTGTGATTGGTAAGTTTCTTAAAGCTTAAAATACTTATTGTGGGCCGACACTTATGGATTATAAAGAAGAAAGGAGGTTAGTACAAAATGACGCGTGAAACATAACTTGGACGCTCATAGCCATATATTAGAATTGGCGGAAAAGTTAATTGACAAGCTATAAAGCCTGTATCAGATTACGGATTAGGATTGAGATTGAATTAAAATTTGGTCAATCGGAGCAAGATTCACTAAACTTGTGTTTAGCGAACTCTATTCTGATTGGTTAAATTTCAACTTAATCTGAATTTCCAATCCGTAGTCTCCGAGCATAAGGCTGAACATGTATAATACTTTTAAATATCTTGTCTTCGTCACCAATATAATTACAATATTTCCAATTATGTCAAGTTCCGTCTGATACGGTCTTTACGCAGATATCACTGTGTCCAAGAAACAATAGGTCTGTTTTTTTTCGAAACATTTTCTGCACTAGTGCATACCAGTGCAAAGGGTTTACACTAAAGCGTTCTTTTTATCGAGAATGACATCATCATGACGTCGTCAACGTTGTTCGTTTTCGCAGTGCAACATGAGTGCAACAGTATGCAGGCAGTTCAGTGAACTGTTGCACTGAGTCAGAAGGTAGTATGGTCAGTGCAGTACATGAAAGTGTAGCTTGGAAGTGCATGTAAGCGTAACGGAAATTTATACGAAAAGTATCTATCAGGTATGTGGCTTGCATTATATTGAAATGTGTGAAACATCTTCTTTATTTCATTTTCAAAAATTGTTAATATTATACCATCACACACACATATACACAGCAGAAATGTCCAAACATACCACAAGGATGAATTTAAGATGTCAAGATATCTTTATGATTTTATATTTATATTTATTTTATATTTAGTTTATTTAAATTTATGATCGGTAGGGCATATAATATTATAAATTATTAATAAATTCGCTATATTTAGTTGTATATTACATTCATCGTTTTCGTCTACAATGAGTTGTAATAGTGGTTGTATTACAACAAAATCCTCTTCGTCAGAAAAATCAAATAATGCCACGTGATGCGCCATGTTATTTACTATACTCTGGCGTTTCAGCGATACAGCGAAAACGAAAAGACCTCTTCATTGCACTTTTGCACTAAACTGGACTATTCTGTACTAGTCTTTCCCAGTGCGGTTCAGTTCAGTTCAGTATAGTTTTAGTGCAGTTTTAGTGCAGCGAAAACGAACGGACCTTATATGTTGACCACGTACAAAAAACAATAATGAAAATTTTGTTGTGTGGTCAATAGCAAATACTGTTATGTGGTCAATAGCACCGAAAACATCTTCGAGTAATAAAATTCTTCCAGATATAACAGCAAATATTGTTGTTTACAATTTTAACGATGGATTGATGAGCTCAATGGAAGTGTTAAACCTGATTATTGACCATAATTGTTACAATTTTTGCAGCAATGCGGACATTCGACGCGTAAAGGCAGCTGAGCGTGTCTGATGTCGCCAAAGACGCATGGAGATCGTTTAAACAAGCCGAAAGGAAGAAGAGGCGAATATTAACTTAGGACAGCTATATAGTGCAGGAATTACAGAGTAAAGGTAAATTTGATATTTTGCACTTTAAACACGAAATATTGTAAAGCAAATCTTTAAACGCGTTTTTCTCGAAATCACTTTTCTAAAGTTGGCGTTGCGGGGATTTTATAAACTACTTATCCGATTTATTTCCAATTATGACAGAATCTTCCAATTGATACAATCTAGAGAAGTGTATAGAGATTTTGCGATATATTAAATTTTTTTTTAATCGACATTTTTAACACAAAATTTTTGGCCGAAAAACGAAGCTTTCTTGCAGGTGTTCACCATTTTCTTGGCCGAAAAACGAAGCTTTCTTGCAGGTGTTCACCATTTTCACAAAAATCAATATTCAGAAAATCCCCTACGTATTTCTTTAGATCATATCATGTTGAAAATAAATAGTTTTAGTATCGTGGCCTAAGTCACACCGGGTGGCAGAATCTCGCAACGCCGATTGGACTATGTCGTCAAACGACCTTCCGTACAACGCCTCCACACCCGCCATTTTGTTCTTGACGAGAAGTTAAAAAATATTATTTTATTCTTAAAATGTCACTTAACAAAAGCCTTATAACAGATTTTTCATTTACTTCATTGTTTAGCCAAAAAAATTTCCAAAATCACTTATCTTTTTCAATCTGTCAGAGTGTAACCCCTTAACCTTCACACTATATATGTAAAACTTCGACGATAAATAAGCGGTAAATTAATGGTGATAAATATTCCTGTTCACCGTAGATGTTAATCCATCCAAAAGCCGACTCTTCCTCCTCCGATCTATGGACTCCTCTTCGCTCTATTCTATCCTCGGAGCTTCTGGTTTAAATTCATTCTACATTGCAACCAGCCAGTAGTTTTTCTCTTCTTTTAATTCAGCAAAGTAATATTCTTAATAACTACGAGACTAAAAGTGCCATTCTCGCATCCTTACATCTTTAGTCATTCTCATTTCTCGCATTTTTATCGGAACACAATCAACAGACACATTAATATAGATACAATTAATACTTTACAAACCTTTATGTTAATGATCAAACAAATGAAACGATTATTAATCAAACGCGAGAACATTATAAAACGGAAATCAAGTCTCGGTAAATACAATTTTCGTAAAAACGAATCGACTCTACGAGGGACGCATCCTATATTTCTTACAACTAACGTCAATGTTGCATCGTATTGCCTTAAGTATAATATCCTATCGTTAGATATATAAAACACTAATCACATATTCGTCGTTAGAAAGTCTGTTAGATATCTGCTAAGCGAAATTCACTAATATCTGCAACCGCAATTTGATTTAAAAAGTTAATTATAACGTATATATACACAATACAATATATATATTTTATATATATACGTAGCAATATGAACCAATATTAATTCATCTACTTCATAGAATACTTGTCGAATAATCGTTAGTCGTATGGCGCGCAACAAATATGCACCATACACGTTGTACTTAGCAATTTCAAATAATGCATGTGCAACTCTTTTCTAATAACTGTCACTTCTTCAACATCACGCAGGGCTCAATCAAAGAGCTTACTTCCGAAAAATGTCTCAGACAGATACTTAAGGGAGGAAAATGTGTTAGGAAGTCCTTCTCCGTTGTTTATCCTTACTTTTATTCGATTCATATCTTCTTGGCAAAACTCGGACCGAGAAATTTCATTTTAGAACGAATTATCCAAATCTTTAAGCGATAAAAAGATATAAAGAAGATGTACCAAAATATCCCAACGTTTAAAGTTCCTACCGAGTTCCTGCTGTTGCTCCTTTTTTCCTAATTATATCCTCAACTTTTCTCTGTACTTAGGTGCTTCGCAGTTAAAATATTCTTAATATACATTCAAGACAATTTAGGGAAGCAAATTCTCTACATTTGAGAAAGAGGCAGAGATAAGCATAATAGGAATTTAAAACTCTGAAGGTTTAATTCGTAGGATCACAGGAACACTGGTGCACGGCAAAATAGCCAATTCCGTGACGACGGCAGTGATGAGATCGGCTGGAGTTACGTCATAAATGATGTTTAAGAGATTCAACGATTTCCTCGCCCGCCAGTTGGTGAGCAAAGACTTTCTTGAGTTGCTATATATGTGTGAATTTACGAGGTCATCCGCGTCACCTAAAATGGGAAGAACAAAAGAAATGAACAAGTATAATAGTCACTAAATAGTATGGAAGACTCTAGACATTAAAATTCAATTAAATTGAAGTTAATTTACAAGAAGTTACAAGATAATGAGACCATTTGAATCGAATATATAGACGGATGAACAGAGAATCGGTCAAGTTGCACTTATGTAAAAATATAATAAAGTTAAAAATGTAGAATATAGTAGTAAATAAAATAGAATATAAGTAGCATATAAAAGTATAAAGAGTAGTAAATAATAGTAGATAATAAAGTCAAAAGTATATAAAATATAAATATAAACAGTAAGCAAATTGACCAACCACGGTCGATTATTCTTCTAATAAACGATTGTGATCGATCAAATTGCTTACTGCTTACGTCTTAAAGTAAAATTATGGACCAAGACTGATGAAGTTAAATATATAAAGTTAAGATATATTAAAGTTATGATAAAGTTACGTAGTGTATAATAAAATAACAGTAGAAAATAATATATATAATCATATGTGCGAATAATAAGTGTTTGTGCTTACCCAGTTCGTTGTACACGATAGAATCGGTCTGCACTCGTCCGCATGTCTTATGTGTCTCGCATGCCACTAAAACTGGCACATTAAAGGCCTTCGCTATCAAGGCAATCTGCGAGGTTCCGATTCGCGACATCACCGCGCCGTTGGCCAATATTGCATGCGCTCCGAGAAAGACCTTGCTAACCTGGGCAACGTAAAATGAAATCATCAGTTTGTTAGACGTTAAATAAAAGAAAAAAAATAGAGCTCAGATCAGAGCTCAGAAGATACAAAAGCTGAGAGGTATAAACATACCGAGAAGCTGAAAATATACACGGGGCTTCGAAACTTCAAAGGAGTTTTCAACGTCGTTCAGACAACGAGGATTGAAATTTCTTAAAATTATACTCGCTTTGCTTATGTATCTTCGGTTCTTTAATCCGTATCGTTTTGCGTTAGTCAGCTAAGCGTTAATCACCTCTGGCATAATAAAGCTCACAGCATTGATGAACATGTATGAACATTTGATCCCATGTTTTACTAAACGTCTTAACTGTTCTCTCCCCTCCAACCATGGTCTGCCATCGACTACGATAACGCGGAATTGCGTGCCCGCAGCATGCGCGTCCATTAATATATTGCAAATTAAGGATGAGCTGAAATATATCACGCGCTTATAAAGTCACAGTTTGCAACAAAATATACTTGATACTTTCAAATGCAGGTAAATATTATTCGACTAAATAAATAGAAAATATGTAATTAAAACATTTTTAACTGCATTATTATTTGTATGTTTGCCATATCAACTATTTCACACGATTAATTTTTAGAGCAATTCGATATTAAAATGTATCTTAAAAAGATAATTTGGCTCAAAACTTTTGCACGTCACTATATATATATATATACATATAGGCAAGCAGTTCAGAATATATGTGTAATTTACATATATATGTGATTTAAAGATTTATAATTTATATTTAATTAAAGCAAACTTAATCTTGTCAATTCGAAGGATACTTACAATCCGTAAATTAAAATAATATTTCCGTTTGATATCTTAGTTTGTATAGTTATGGATATCGCTTCGCCAGCCAATTGAATCTGTTCCTTTTTGTAGATATCTATTATATTTGTCAACATAGTTTTCGCCTGAAATGTAAATAGAAGAATATCCATAAGAAATCTGAGAATCTGGCAATAAAATTCCAATCCAAGAATTCATAATATCGCAAGATTAAAATTCAATTAAATTGAAATTAAGTTACAATATTTATCCCTCTAATAATCATCAAATTCTAAAATTCTGTAAAACCTAATTTACGTAACTCTAACAACTACAGTCAATAACTATAACTTAAAAAAAAACGCACGTATTTGTGTAGGAAACATTTTTCCCCGAAATGCACAATGTTCAAGAGACATTTGAGGGGGGGCGTCGTTTAAAATGCAACACCCTACATATTCGCTCAAGATCTCCGTCATCGAGTCGGGGTTTCCCCTTCCTCCGAGAGCAGCACTTACCTCATCCGTCGACACGGTGACCGGGAAGTTAGTCATGTGCCATTTGAGATGACGAATCGCATTCTGCATCGAAACGGCCACCGGCCGGCAATTGTGAAGGTAAGCTACTATGTCCCGCAGGTACACCTCGAGGCTACGGGTGAAGTCCGCCTGTTCCGGCTTCACGAAGTCTCGGATGACCTCTTTGACGGCGGTCAAGAGCGCGAGGCACCTTGCGTTGCTGCCGACGATCATCCGGCGTGAATACTCGGCGCCCAGCCCTATAATCGCTGGATGGATGTCCGACGTTTTGGGCACATGGGCCAGAGAATGCTCCCTCTCGTTGTACAGGTGTTTGAACAGATTCACCTCATGCTCGTTGTCCTTCCTCGCGTTTACCTTCTTCGCGGTTTCGGCGGCCTGCGCGGTGCGCGGCTTCGCCGAAGTCGTCGCTTCTCGACTCCTCGCGTCTTCGCTCTTCGAGGACGATTGCTGCTGCTGCGTCGGAGCTTGTTGCTGCTGCTTCGCCGCTCTCTGGGCTTCCTGCTTGGCTCTTCGTTCGGCGCGCAGCTCCGCCTTGCTCTTGTCCTCGGACTTCCCATCGGAAGTCGCACTGCCCTGTCTAGAGACGGTGGAAAACTCGACGCTCACCGCTTGAGCGTTCGGGCCTCGTCGAGTCGCGCTGCTCGCAGAGCTCTCCTCGGTCTTCTTCGCGACTTGAAGAGCCTGTAACGAGGTCGCAGCGATGTCAGTCTTCCACGAGCTCTGCGCGTCGGCCACGACGTGCTCCACAGTAGCGCTCTTCGTCGAGATCTGTTCAGCTGACGGAGGCTCGCTCGCAGGCTTGTCCTCGACGACCTGGCTCGCAGCCTCTTCCGTCTTCTTGCTTTTCGCCTTCGCTTTAGCAGCCGCCTTTGCGGCTTTCTTCGCTTCGCGTTCCGCTTTTACCTCCTCCCTCGTCTTTTCCGGGAGACTCGACTTGTCATCAGCCGTCGTCTTCGACGAAGGCTCGCGCGATGGCGCCTTCGACACCTCCTCGCTCGGGGAGATGGCTTTTCCTCTCGGAGATTGCGAGCTCCGCGAGTCAGACGCGACGTTCGTCTCCCCCGGCAGGCTAGATTCCCCGTCAGCCGTCTTGGAGGAGGCCGACTCCTGTGAGCAACTGTTCAACCCCTCGGAGATGGTGGTCGGGCCACTGTTTTCTTTCGCCTTCCGCCTCGGCTCGGTCTCCCTCTCGGACTGCGAACACCGAGCGTCGCTTACGACGTGCGGCTTTTTCGAGTCCCCCGGTGCGTCTTCGAGAACGCTCATTTCCACGCTCTTCCCCGGGCTGGTGCCGTCGGCCATCGAAGGACCGGCGTTATTGTCGCTAGACGCGATTCCCGCCGCCGCCTTGTTACCCTTCGCCTTCGTTCTCTTTCTCGCCCGCGCTTTCATCTGCTTTCCCGTCTTTTCCGGAGCACTTTTCTCCGCCGCCTTCTCGCTCGTAGAAACCGGCTTCTGCGCAGGCCCGCTCGACTTCGCGTTCTTGGAGGTGGCGTCATTTTGGACACTGTTCTCCCCGGTGTTCTTCGCGGACTGCGAACTCTGTGAGTCGGCCGCGACGTCCGTCCTTCGTGAATTCGCCGTCTCCGCGCTTCTCCCCGAGCTCTTCCTGCCGCCCTTCCCGGGGCTTTTCATCGGGTTCTTCTGACGAGACGAAGCCTCGTTCTTGACGCCGTCGTTGCTGCAACCGAGCTCCGCTGCCTTGCTGCTATTCATCTCGCTGTTCTTCTTCACCGCGTTCTGCTTCACGCTCATCTCTTCCCTCGTCTTCAGCGGAGAGTGGAACGTTCCTTCCGCTGTGTTCGCAGCTAAGGATATCGACACGTTCATCCCCTCGCCTTCAGAACCGGCGCGGCTCGCTCCAGCCACCGACTGTTCCCGCAGTGACGCTGCTGCTGCTGTTTACATATATCTGGAAGGCGCATCGATAATGTTACGCATATATTATTAGTTGTGAAACGATCTATATAACGAAGTAATCTCCTCATTATTGCGTAACGAAAGGAAATGCTCTACGATTCATATTGCGTCATTTAGGAATCAACGTGCGACGTACTAATAATAACGATCCCTGGCTGCCAACACAGCGAAAAGAACGTTCCATTCTCCAGTGAAGAGGAAAGAGATGAGCGCGAAGCGGAACTAGAAATAACGACCAGTCTTGATGCATACGATGTCTTGGTATGCATCCAAGTATCGATGCATTTGGCTCCCTTATATGCACCAAGATCCTGACGCACACCAAGATATATCGTAATACATCAAAGTATGATCGTGTGAGACGCAACATAATAATTTGCGACGACACGCACGAATAAGCGTGATATACGAGGTCTTCGTTCGTTCGTTATCTCCTTCCATCGTTCATTAGCGACAATTAACGGAACGTGACGCGCTAACCGAGCGTAGTCAACTGCGTCTGTTAAAAATCCGAGACGACATTCTACGATAACGGCGCGTGTATTTCGAGATTTATTTTAAGATAATTTCAATTGCGCAAAGTGTCGCTGTCAGATGGCAAGAGAACGCGGCAGAAAAGAGGATTTTCGCATCTTGCGTCGCGTCTCGATTCGTTCATGCGGATCGGTAATTTAACCTATCGCGCATACACGTGTTTCTCAACGCGAACTGACGCGAATACTCAACGAGGCTTTCTTCCGTAAGATCTCGATCGGTGAGAATACTCGTTCTTTGAGCACTCCTCGGCTGTTAGTGGATGCGATTAACACTTATTCGAAACCGCTGGCCAGTCTCATAAAACTACGGAACATATGTTCGAGTCACTCGCCATGATGAATCAAACACGCTATCTAGGGTGGGTTTGGGGAGATATTTTTATAGCTCTATAAATGCCGTTGAATTATAACGGCTGTATTCCCATATTCACCGGCAGTATTAAAAATCTATGATATACGTTACATGAAGTAGAGATTTTCAGTACTGGCAACATTGAACTAAAGAACAGACTGGTGTTACATAGAGATATAAGAAAAGAGGGAACAAGCCTGTAAGTGGAAGTCATAGAAGCAAAGAGAGAGATGGATGCCGAGTGTCCTATCTGTCTCTTTCTAGTCACGCGCTGGGATTGGCTGTCGCGCCAACGACGATATAGCTATACATTTTTCTTCATCCAATTCAAAGAACTGTCATTGCTAAAATGATCACTGCAAATATATGCTGTTTTCACTTCAAAATACAAAGGTAGTTGAAGTATATTCAACCATTTACGCCTTATATCTACATCCTTCGGTAGCTTACAACATTTACATATTTTTTTAAATGTAGGAAAAAATAACATATGATTATTTGAGGTTACGTATTTGTACTTTCTTACGAGTGAAAACTGCGGTTACATCCAGGATAAGACTCCGCCTTGTATTTCAAACAATGCTTCATTTTTAAACAAATCGCGTCCAATTATTATTTTGTTAACGTTCGAATATTTAACGAATTTTAATTCTACACACATGTGCACGCATATTTACAAAACGAAATTTTAGTCTGCTTTCTCCCCTCCTGACGTCGCGTGGTCGCTTGGTGGCTCATTGTAACAACCAATCACAGCGCTCGTCTAGAAAGAGACAGATAAGACACTCGGCATCCATCTCTCTCTTGACCTCTATCACTTCCACTTACAGGTAGCATATATCCCTTGTTCCCTCTATTCTTATATCTCTATGCTTAGATTAGACGAAGATGGGTACAAACAGACAATGACGGAAGTACTACTTAGAAATACTTTCTCACGGCCGTAGTGGTGTCGGAATCACTAAAGCGGTATTTACAAGATTTCGATTACACGAATTTTCCCGGATGTGCTGATTGGCTGTTGGGTAGAATATTTATAAGGTCCCTGACGTTTTTTTTCTGTACACCCTAGAGAATTCTACATCTGACAAATTTAACCCGTTGCGGTCCACGCTGTATTCGCAATTTCGTCCCAGCCGGTCCGCACAGATTTCGCCAATCGCTCATCCGCTTGGTACCGTTTACTTTGGAAAACATTTATGATGCTACACCATGTGACCGGATGTCACTAAACAAGTAGATTAAGTCGATGTTAAATCGTCCGAACCGCACAGACCATCTTGGTGGTTGACTTCTTCTCGGATCCCGCTGCCAATACACGGTCGCCAGGACGTTTTTCGAGACCCGTCCAAACACTTGGCCTGGAAAGCTGGACCGGCCAAGTCTCTCCAGATATGCCATTTATCAGGATGTGCGCAAAGGGATTCCATCTCCGGCGGCCCTGCCGTTTCCGAAGAGATGCCCGTGTCACGGGACGCCCGTTTCGGACACTAAGTATAAGTTCAAGGGTACATATCCGAGTTTACTATCGGTAAAAAAAGAACATTCGGACTTTATGTTTTTGTATAATTTTAAGTTCAATACACGTTAACTTAAATGTACTGAATTTATTTCTTTTGCGCCGCAGCAGCCTCGTCCTCACGTTGATACGATTGCAACAGCTCTTGCTTCTTCGAAGCGATGCGTTCTGCGCGTCGTTTGCGCGCCTCCCTGACTTTCGTGCGGCGAGCCTCCGCTTGATCGGACAACATCTCCGCACGCGCCTTCTCCGCCTTTTTCTTATGGATAAACTCCATCAATACTCTCTTGTTCTTGAAGACGTTACCTTTAGCCTTCATGTACAATGAGTGGTACAAATGGCGATCGATTTTTTTAGTCTCACGGTACTTCTTCAACAATCGACGCAAGACTCTCATGCGTTGTATCCATAAATCCTAAAAATGCAAAATACATGCATGATCATACAAACTGGAGAAATGTGAAATTAAGTAATTGTCAAGTAAATATTACACAATCCATATTGATATCTAAAATATACAGAATGTCCTAATCCGTTTTCGGTTCCCGAGGTATGCAGGTAGAACGAGTGAAACTGAGGAGAAAAGTCATTTACTATTTTGCAAAATTTGCAGTAGTTAGTGAGGAATTAATTATTTTATTGGAGCTAATGAACGCATGAGAAAGGGTAGTCCGGACACCGTATAAGAAAAATGGCTTCTGAAGACCTAATAACGATGGATATCAACTGGTAGCAAGAGGCATGTTTCTTTTCAGTGTACATCCCTGTGTCGCATGTTCGCTGCGTTATTCTACCTTTAGAAATTAATTGATATTCATCGTTGCTAGGAAATTTTCAGAGATAAGCTATTTTCCTTTATACAATATTTGGTTTATCCTTTCCCGTGTGTTTATTAGCTCAGACAAAATAATTCCTTACTAACTACTGCGAATTTTTCAAAATGGCAGATAACTTTTCCATTTAATTTCACCCATTCTATCTATATACTACAGGAACAGTTTGAGGCATCCTATATATATATTTGCACATAAAGTGCAAATAAGTATTAACAAATATAGCAAGTAGTTATTAACATCTATGTGATAGAAAAGAAAGATAATAGTGAATTATTATTTGTAAGATTTAATTATTAGTAACAATCAAAATACACATACTTTTTGCGGCGTTCTTGCATTTGCAGTACCTTTCCTCTTGCCAAAGCCACAATGACGTCCTTTGCGTCTGGCTTCGGTGTTCTTGCGAACACGTGCCCTTGAGTGTACCGCCACTGGCTTCTTGATTATTAGGCCATCCTTGATGAGCTTCCTGATATTTTGCCCTGAAGCAAGATAACGTAGTCAAAAAATAAATTAAAGAAATAGTACGATGAATTTTTCTACCAACATTTGGCCAATGTTATTACAAATTGATAGAAAACGAGAAACTTACGGGAATTTGTGTTTGCGATCTCATTGATTTCATTTGGATCCAACCAAACTTTCTTCTTGCCGCATCGCATAACAGAGGCTGCCAGCCTCTTCTGCAGCTTCAACGAACTGCAAACAGGAAAAGTGTGGTTAGGTAATGGAAATAACCAAAAAGTCACTTGCGTGTTGCAATTATACACGGTATAGTCCATCGAGGATAAGACACATTGTAATGTCCTATTTATCGGAAAAGTATTAGTCTTTCCGTTACGCTATGTAAAGCCAATATTTCGGCAGCAAACACGTGTGCTGCGACAAGCCTCATCGTCCAGGGCACGTGGACGAAGCCGGTGCGAGTACATTCGCCGCGAAATCGCATTTGCGAACATATACGCGGGTCTTAACGCGATTTCCAGGTGAATTCGCACACATTTGTTTCGTTATACTTGGTAGAGATTCGTGAAAAATATATTACAATGTACAAACCTCATGATGTCGTCTGTGAACTCTCTGGTAGCAAAGAAGTTCAAGATGGCAGAGGCAGCATTTCCTTGTCGTCCAGTGTTGCCAAGATGAACGTTACCAGGGCTAAGTGTTGATGCATATACAGCCAATAAGGCTTGTACCACACTATGGATTAGGATTGGGTTGAAATTTAACCAATTAGAGCATGACTCACTAAACTTGAGTTTAGTGAACTTTGCACTGATTGGCCGAATTCAATCTCAATCCCCAATCCGTAGTCTGATCCATAGTCGGGTTTAACGGTCATATGAATACGGTCGTAATCCAAGATGAACTCGATTTGACGATCGATCAACGCCCTCTGTTTGCAGTACTCGATATCACGCGTTGGGCTTTATTTATTTACTATCGGGAAGTGCCTGTTCTTAAATACAGATTGTCGAGAGAAGCACGTATTTTCCAGACGACCGCAATCCTCGTATCGCTTCTGCGACGTTGGAAGGTAAACGTCGCGGGTAACGTTCGACGCGCGTCGTGACTCGAATGTTTTGCACAAGAAAACGATTTGTTAATAACGATGTCAAGTCATGCGAAGTACAGTTTCGGTAGTATTTTCAGTAAAAAGTGGCGGCACGAACGAAAACTTGGTCGTTTCGTCGTTTTCGCGCCTTGCAACTGGCTGCAATGATGTAATAAGTATTCACCTTACTGATTGTCGGATTTTTGACATATAATGTTACATGGTTCAATGGATGATTGGTTAGAACAAGAATCGTCACTTCGCCTGATACATCGTGCAGACTTCCGAGTATCCCTAATATTTATGAACATATAATATGTTTAATATTTAATATATATAATAATAATAAGTAATTATCATATATAAATATATGTAAGTATAAATATATACATTATACATAAATAATTATATATAAATATTTACAAGTATATTTATATACATATACGTTTGTAATAAATGTCTATAAGTATATACATATATTTACACGATTCACAGCAGCTATGTCCAATGAGGAGCGCTTGAGGAAGCTCTTGTCGGATCTGGGAAAGGCTACTCTGCGCGGAGTTCGGAAGTGTCCGAAGTGCGGCACTTACAATGGTTCGCGCGGCCTCTGCTGCAAGAATAAGTATTGCGACGCGGTGTTCAAGGAACCTGGCGAGAAGCGCAAGTTGTCCACGGAAGCTTGTAAATTGATCACGGGCTCCACAGTACAGGTATTTTCCGTAAGAGTGAGGGACAAGGGGCCTGATTATCGCGGATTTGTGCAGTTACCATTGATAAACGCCACTATTTCAAATGACATCACGACGTTTATGTCGCAAACCACCGCATTGTGCTTTGTTGACAGCTGCGAGAGGAGTTTCGACACCAGTGTACTCAAATGCCACGTGAGTATTTCGCGAAGATAATTAAGGATTATTCATACGGCAATTTTGTAATTGTGTCCCACTCTTCCAGGAGAAGGATTACTCGGACATGTCAGTGTCGACATGCCAGCATATTCAAGCAGCGCTGAAGTGCTACGCTGAGGCACAGCCGTTGACTCTGAGAAATTCGATCCTGTCATCGTTGAATGTAAATAACGAGACGAAGCAGGAGATATGGCTGTTAGCGACAGAGACCTCCGGTCCATTGGTGCAGAGAGTCTCTAAGAATATAATGGCGGTGAAATGTAAAGCTTCCCCTAAACATCCATTGGGCTATCTCCACTTCTCCTTCTTCGTTACCAAGTTGAAGGACAGAATCGAGCATCGTTACTTCTGCAGTTGCACCACGTTCAAGGGTGCAACGAAGGGTGCTACCGCAGGGGGGGACAAAGTGGACAGCACTTCGTCGTCGCAGCCGAAGCGATGCGTGCACTTCTACGCGTGTGTCTGCGCTTTTATGAGCGATCCAAAATTGTCGGAAGAGTTCAGCTATTATATTAATCTAGATCAGACGCAGTCGACTATACCAAAACCCGTGACGACCGTGGCACAGAACGACGAGGAGGACAAAATCGTCGGAATCGGTGAGATTTCAAATTTCCGTAATCCTAAAGTCTAAATTCTAAATTCTAGAATCTGGGAAATCTATGTTCTATATATTCTAAATTCTGTATAATCTGGATCCTAACTCTTTTCATAAATTGTATAAGATTCAATTTCTAAATTCGAAAATTTATATTTCTAAATTCGAATTTCCTTGCTAATCTACTTGACTCTTATTCTCATCTAAATTCTGAATTATTACTTAAATCCTAAATCAAAATTTAACTTCTAAATTGTACAATCTAAATTTCTTAGTCGCTAAAATAGTCACAAGCACCACGTATTTCGTACAGAATGGTCCGTTGTCGATAGTACGATCTGGAAGAATAAGCTGATTCTCATATTGCGCTATCATGCTGATGGCCTAACGTCATGTTTTCTGATTGATGTCAGCAATAACGGATCACTCTATATATCCGGATATTCATCGAACTTCTCTCGTTGGCAATAATTAACGTGACATTTTAGATCTGGATAGTTTAACCACGGACGACACTGACACGCACCTCTTGATTTTTCGCGACGACACCCTAACCGTGCAAAGTTTAGACGGGAACAGGCTTGACTTGGACTCCATGAATCTCGATTCCTCGATTTTATCACACGGTATCGTCGAAAACATAGAAGTGGAGTGCGATCGTAGTTTGTTGGACGACAACAACATAATATCGCAGGTGAATAACGTTAAATATTTATGTATCGCTAAGTTGAAAGCAGGAATATCAGTACTTGCTCTTCGAAGAGTCACGGATATAAGTATCGATGTGATGATCGATTGCTGCGTATTATATAGGTTCATAATTTGGAAGTGATCGATCAGAACGGCGTTCAGCTGAACGGGAACGCTATAAAGATACTGGACGACCAAGCGACAATCGACACAAAGTACAACGTCCTCAACAACAGTCAATACATATTAAACGATAACAATATAAAAATACTGGACGCAAGCACGTTGAAGGTACTCGATGCGAACACCATGCTGAGCGTGAACAACGCGAAGGTAGTTGATAACAGCAACGTCCTTAACAATGGCATCAAGATTATCGAGAAGAACGCCTTGGTGCACTACGACAACAAAAGTCCGTCGAATGTCGAGAGCAACGCGACGCAACCGGCGGCAGTCTCGAGCAAGCGAAAGAGGGATGAGAAGTCAACGTCCGTTAACAGCAGCAGCAGTCTCAGCTTGAACTCGATCGAGCCCAGGAAAACGAAGACCAAGTCGCAGATCGTCAAGAAGTATCAGAACGCGTGCCACGATGATCTCGACGAGGCTAGCACGAATCTGCCGTTCATCAAATGGCTCGCGTCCATCACCGAGCGGATCAATCAGACAATGCACTTCCAGTTCGACGGTAAGCCGGACCCATTGGTGTTCCACGTGCCGCAGGTCTTCTTCGACTGCCTGCGCGAGCGGATATCGTGCGGCGGCAAAAAGAAACGCCTGCCGAACTCGACGACAGCATTCGTGCGGAAAGACGGCGTGCCGTTGGGCACGTTCACCAAATACACGTGGCAGATCACCAACATCTTGCACGTGAAGAGTATCTTCGAGACGCCGTACATACCGTTGGAGATCACGAGGAGCTTCGTGCAAAACGCTGACGGCACGTACGAATTATACAAGCGCGAGGAGACAGAGATAGATCGCTATAAGAAGACGAATAACAACGCGTTGATCAAACCGTTAGAGTTGAAAACGTATTTGAAAGTGGGTAAGCACACATGTATGTATTCCTCTCTCTCTCTCTCTCTCTCTCTCTCCCTCTCTCTCTTTCTCTCTTTATTATATTGTATATGTAATTTATATATTATCTCCTGGCTGAGATAGTATCTTTCTTAACACTTATTAAAAGCTTTCCATCAGGAGAATTTAAGAGGAATAATATATTGAGAGAGAGAGGAAGAGAGAGAGAGAGAGAGAGAGGTGCGTGCGTACGTGCAATACAATACAATACAATTTCTTCGTTCTTTTTTTATAGGGAATACTTCTCCGAATCAAGTCGAACCTACGCCATTCTTGATAGAGTGGATACCGGATATTTTGCCAATCTCAAAGATAGGTGAACTTAGGATCAGGTTCGAGTTTGGACACGTGAAAAATGAAACGAGTCACAAGGGGAGGAAAATCGCTCTTTCTAAGAATTATTAGGCTCATACTGCTCTTGGAATACCGATCATCGTGAAATTTTCACTTTTCTACCACAACGGATTCGAGAACGACTTCCGTATTTCGTAAGAACTCTACAAGCTAATTCGATGTTAGAGGCTCTAGGCAATCTGAAGTCTTGTTGATGGTTAATTGTAAGCTTCAATGTTATTTCGTGGTACGTAAAATGAAACGAATGAACTATATGCTTTAAGGTTGAACGACAACCATCAGATTTGTAGCAGATGGTAATATGGACAGCGTTCCAATATTCGCTGTCCCAGTACAAAAAAATCGATAGTAATACTTGACATAAACTATAGATTTTCACACGGTACTGACAGTGAACATAGTGGAATGCAGTTCCATAGTTTCTGGAATCGCTAATTCGAAGACTGATGCAATTCTCGCGATTACATGAACATAGCACGACTCGACGTTATAAGATTTCGATCCTATTTACGATTACATATAAATTAAACGAAATTATGAATTGTTGCTTACGCCGTCAGGCGTATATATTCTCTGTATTTTATATTGTATATTTTTTATTTAACTTAAAACGAGAGAACGTCGTGTGAAGGACATCCGAATCATGAGAAATGTGTTAATATTATTATTAGCAATTATGCCGCGCCGTAGCGTGAGTTTTAAAATATTGTGATATAAATATATATTGTAAATATTATATACTTTAGACTTTACGCCGTTATGTGTAAAAAAATATATTTATATTATTTAATAACACACGAGAATGTAGCTCTGTTCTGTGAGCGCACGTATTACATACCACACACACACACACGTACCACACATTTGGACTTGAAAATAAATTATATTATTATATAAATTATATATATAATACACAGTATATAAAAAAAATATTATAAAATTGATGGTAGATACATAATCATTCTTTGGCATTTATTTCATATATTTTATTATATATTTGCTTTATTTATACATGTATATTTTACACATGTCCTTACGCAAACTTTACGTCACGCTGTTCAGTTACAGTTTAACTACTTGTGTAGTTAAACTGTGGTTACACGGAGATGGTCGCACCATATCAAGACTGCACCAGAAACAATTAGTGCATTTGTTTCCCGAATTCGCTATGAAAAAAACATCGATATTCGCACATTGAGGATCGCGTTGTACGAATTAGTCGAATGTGCTGATTGGCTGTCGGATAGAGAATTTCTAGTTCCCTAATGTTTTCTCTATATGTAATACCATTCTCAATGAGCGAACATCGATGTTTTTAATCGATGATTTTGGCCATTCCTAAATAAGAATATGGTAACGGCGTATATCTGACTTCTGATTGGTTTCGCCATGTTTGAGCTTCCGATTGGAATGTGTCAAAGGTTGCTTTTCAGCGAGAAGCAACAATCGATACACAAATATAATTAAAACGTCTGTTATCCTTTCCTTTACTAAATGCAAAATAAGCATATGACGATAACGAATATAACTAGAACTTGTATCGACTTGTGTCTCTTGCTGAAAATCAACCAAAGTTGTTAGGCTGACTAACAATACAAGCAAAGATTTATCATTTACGAAGTCTACAAAGTGTGTTAAAAGAAGAATGAGTTTGCGTTTCATATCGTGAATAATTACCAACTTATTTTGGTTTCCATCTATTTTAATAATATTTAAACATTTCGCCTTTATGGCTGTGAAATTCCGGCTTTAAGTCAAACATGGCGGTCGCAGCGACAGTGACCATACTTTTATTATAGATATTCTATCTATGACAGCGCTCAAAAATCTCGAGTCATTCAGGAACGCTTGGTGATGTTCATTTAAAGGTGTGCGTTACTTGGTTAAATTGGTCTTCTGAAAACTCTTCGTTTTACAATGGAAGATTTAGGCATTATTCTACCCGATAAGGTACCCACTTTTTGCAATTTACGTTTGCCGTAATACCGCGTGAACCTATGTGTGCTACAGTCTAAAAACGAACCTAACCTTTCACGTACAATTATGAAGCATTCGCGAATTTCTCGCGTAATTACGACTAGTAAACTCAAACTGCAAGAAAATTCACACGTCTTAGCTCGTGAATATACTTGAGATCACATTTCCAGGATGTGGGTGAGTCCGATTGTAAGCCAGCTACCGGTCATTACACAGGAGCTGGGGACGAGCTGGATGTCGAAGATCTTTTCACAAAATACAAGGTGTTGCAAATTTTCACAATACATTATGCGTCATATATATATCTGAAATGTGCGAGTACTAAATTTATTAAGTATGTATTTATATTTTTTTCACATTTTGCTATATTTGATTGATTCTTTTTGAAGTTGCTACTTTTTATGGTTTAAATGACTCCACAATATTGGTCATTCAAGCTTCAAATAAATCTCTACATTTATTACAATTTTTCGTGGTAACAAAGCTCATCAGATATTGAAAGTTATAAATTTACTATGTTTTCTTTTTGGGGTAGAAACTGCAAAAATTATTGGAATTTCTGGAGGTACAAGAAGAATATATCAAGGATGAACAACGTAACTTAAAGAAAGAATACTTGCATGCGCAAGAGGAAGTTAAACGTATCCAAAGTGTACCTCTGGTTATTGGCCAATTTCTTGAGGCTGTTGATCAAAATACTGGCATAGTGGGATCTACGACTGGCTCAAACTATTACGTACGGATTTTGTCTACTATAGACAGAGAACTTTTGAAGCCTTCTGCTAGTGTAGCGCTTCATAAACACAGTAATGCTTTGGTTGATGTATTGCCACCAGAAGCTGACTCTAGTATCTCGATGTTACAAGCAGGTAAATCTTTTTTTCAAAATCAAACTAAACTTATCATTTAACTAGATCAACTATTTATAATACTAACTTATTATTTAACTAGATAAATTATTTATAATACTAAAATTATATACTCTCTCTCTCTCTCTCTCTCTCTCTCTCTCTCTCTCTTTCTCTCTCTCTCTCTCTTTCTTTCTTTCTTTCTTTCTTTTTTTCTCTCTAAATGATAAATCATTTATCCAATTAAAAATTCATATTTAAACTAAATTAGAACAAAGTTGAACGACTTAGGATTTAGGGATAGAATTGTAAGAATCTTTGAAAAATTTAACAAATAGAATTTACCAATAAGGAAATGTATACTTGTATGTACAGATGAGAAACCGGATATCCAATACAGTGACATAGGTGGAATGGACATGCAGAAGCAAGAGATTCGAGAGGCAGTCGAGTTGCCTCTTACTCATTTCGAGTTATATAAACAAATCGGCATTGATCCCCCGCGAGGTGTACTTATGTACGGACCACCTGGCTGTGGAAAGACTATGTTGGCGAAAGCTGTCGCCAGACATACTACCGGTATGAATAGTATGAATAGTATATATCTGGAATACTTCTACCTAATTCGTGATTTCGAGAGCCAGATATTCGCAATATATTCGCCAGATATTCGTGCTAAATTTATATAAATATTCATATAGATGCAACATTAAACACTAAGAAATATATATTCTAGTTTTTTGTAGACATTTGTATATAACAAAACGGATGCTAAATTTTCACAGATATTTGTATAGATTGGAAAAAATTGAACCACCATTGAGAAAAATTTCGTCGAGATTCTCGCGGAGAAGTCGATGGTTGAAACTGAACGCGCAAAAGCATTATTTTATTTAAAATCCTATCATTTTCCATCTTCCAGCCGCCTTCATCCGCGTAGTGGGATCCGAATTTGTGCAAAAGTACTTGGGCGAAGGGCCGAGAATGGTGCGAGACGTGTTCCGCTTGGCGAAGGAGAACTCACCGGCCATAATATTCGTGGATGAGATAGACGCCATCGCAACGAAGAGATTCGACGCTCAAACTGGAGCAGATCGCGAAGTGCAACGTATTCTTTTGGAATTGCTTAATCAGATGGATGGCTTCGATCAGACGACCAATGTCAAAGTTATCATGGCGACGAATAGGTGAGGCGTTCGTAATTTTATTAGGAGTTAATCTTAGATTTCAATGTGAAGCTCGTAGCATCTGTACACGTCTAACGATTTATCAATACTTAACAATCGTAATAAATTACAAATATATAAGAATAAAAAGTATATAAATTAAATTAAGACATATATGATATTAGATCAAACTATAAATATAAAAAAGAAACATAAGCAAATAGATATATATAATAAAATAAGTTACAATACCTAAAATTTATAACATCTAACGATACCTTTGCCTTTACTTTTGCGTATGCTTTCAGAGCGGATACATTGGATCCTGCATTGCTCCGTCCTGGCAGATTGGATCGCAAGATCGAGTTTCCACTGCCCGATCGCCGGCAGAAGCGCCTGATCTTCTCCACGATCACCGCGAAGATGAACCTGAGCGAAGAAGTGGATCTTGAAGATTACGTGGCGCGGCCGGACAGAATCTCCGGCGCCGATATCAACGCTATCTGCCAGGAGGCTGGAATGCACGCGGTCCGTGAAAATCGTTATATTGTTTTAGCGAAAGATTTCGAGAAAGGTTATAAAAATAATATCAAGAAAGATGAGTCCGAACACGAATTTTACAAGTAAATCCAACAATATTGCCTCGCACGGCTTTATCTTGCGATATATATATTATTTCTAACATATGCATATGATATGATGATATACGGATATTATTACAAGATTAAACTGATGAAATACAATCGCCTTGCGTTCTTCATTGATTCTTCGTCCATCGCACAGAGTGAGATAAAAATAATTTTAGATGTTTGCAGCTCTACCCAACAAAATTTAACCGTTTATCCCCGACAAAATGTTATTTCTTAAAGTAACTTTCACCAAATTCTGATTATCTGTAACTCAATGGAACTGATCAATCACATTGATCAATTCAGCTAATTGCAAGATAAAAGATCTTAAATAAAAATAAGAAGTTTTATGCTTATTTCTTTTTTTACATAGGAAGCCCCGATATATATCGAGTATATATATATATATATATATATATATATATACAATACATAAAAAGATATTTTTTATGGAAATATATTTCTCATACCATATATTTAGGTATTTTCATATATTTGATGTATTTTTTTACTTTATCGTGAAGATTTCTGATGTTGACATTCGCTTGTTTCTCTTTCTTCATCGCGTATGTACGTGCGTCAATAGCGCGCTCTCGCATTATTTTAGAATGCTTTAATATGTAAATCTACGTCATGTCGTTTTCTTCAAATACTCATGTTGAAAATTTCCACGGAGACAAAGAAACTTGCTTTGCAAAGCCAGATATCACGTACGTACCGACGTACTATTCAACATTTTAAGTTATTCAAAGACGTGTTGAAACGTGTGCATCAATTTATATTTCGACAATTTAACAAATTATATTCATTAGGGAACCAAATGGAATATACGATTTCGCGTTCAAGCATGCCGAGAAGCCATGCTGTAACGAAAATGAAAGAAATATTAAAGAGGGATCGATTACATTCACACTCATAAAAACTATGTTCGAGTCTATAATAAGAAGAATGGAATTAGCGGTAATTAATATCACGATTCTCCTCACAGCCATAAGTACAAGCGTTTGCTCTTACCAATATTGTTACGATAAATTGGTGGTTTTAGGTAGCTTTACCTTTCCTCCTAATGGATCCTGAATTATCTATGATCCTAACACCTGATGAGATGAACATAATAAACGATATTTTTCTGTGTGATAATGAAGTTTGTTCAAAATGCTTACCGTCGCAATCAGGTAATCAATAGTTAATATATCTGGAAAAACTGATTATACATAGCTACATCAAATTATATATAAGTTATATATAATTGCATATGTGTAATCCCTATGTATAAATTTTGCCTCTATATGATCACATACATGATCATATACAGGATATTCCGCTACAAGTAGTTGTTTTCTTTTATCTTCTAAAGAGATAGACCACAATAAATATATATTAAATTAAATAGTTTTAACTAAACTTTGTTATGAACACAATGTTATTTATAAAATTTATCTAAATTAGAAAACAGAGGTATGCATAATTTAATATATACTTATTATGATCAATCTCTTTTTTTTAGTTTTATCTTTTTCTCTCTTTTAACAGGATGACTGTACACCATACCTTGTAATTATAATAACTGTATAACATAATTATATTTATATTATAATTATATATCAATTATAATTACGTGTACATGGGTGTATACACCCGAAAGAAAACGCTGTGAATAAAGAAAAAAAAATGGTTTTACGCCTGGTTTCACCAACGTGAAGAACTGAATTTAATCGACCGATTTAATTAATTCGCGTTGATGAAATCAGACCTTAATCGATTAAACTTGTGTATTACGGGCTATAACACAGGCATTTACTTCAATTATATTTCTACAACAGCATTTTTTGGTGTGAACATATATAGGGTGTTCCTTAAGTATTCGATCATACTTAAAGGAGCGATTCTTTGGTTTGTTTCAAGTAAAAAAGTTCATATAAACATCCTGAACGGCTTAGTTTCCGAAATACAGGTATTAAAAAAAAATGTAAACGTGTGGTAATAATCTATATGAAATGTCAGTCACAAAACAGCAATAAAGAAAAATATAAAAATAAGCTTCAGTTCTTCAATATATCTGATATTTTTGAGCGTTTACGTCAATCTTTGAGGAGGACCAAAGAGTATTATATCATGGCGGAAGATGGTCATTTTCAACGATTGTTTCATTTTTAATTTTTTACTTTTCAGCTATTATATTTGTTAAACATCATCTATGTTATAAGCTTACACCAAATTTCAATAAAATATCTTAAAGCCTGTGAAACATTTACATTTTCTTGAGAACTTCAATATCCTGTATTTCGGAAACTAAGCCATTTAGGATACATGGTTATATGAACTTTCTCACTTATAATAAATCAAAGAATTGTGCCATTGAGTGCTTCAGATTTCTTCCATATATTCATTAATAATCCCACATCAATTTATAATTGACAGTCATAAAATCTCATTCTAGCATCCGAGAACAGGAAATCGATAACATACGCCAATTCTGAAACAGCCAGGAACATCAATAAGTCTAGATTCGACCGTGCTGTCTGTAAAATATTAAAAGCATTTGAGAAGCACATCGACGTTCTTCGTATGAGCCCTCATTATAAATGCTTCTCGCTATCGCCAGCCTTACTTTTCCACCACATCCGTTATTTCTTAGAGCAATATATTTTGTGTAGAATGTCTCTCACACCAGAACAAGCGAGGAGTAAAGAGTTGCATTACAGAAACCTTTGGCGCTGTCATAGGAAATCTATCGAAGATATCGTTAGTAAGATTTAATTTTCTCTGTGTAAAAATGTGTGATGAAATGCAAGTTAAGTTAACGAGGAAAATGTTAATGCCGTGTGTTTATGAATTTAACTGTAAATTCATCGTTGTACTCTCGCTTGCACGCTATAGATGCGAGTTAAGACGAATTATTAAATTAATTCATATATTTTCTGTTCGTGTGTGCATGCAGTGTTTACCTGCGACCTGGAAAAACAACGAGCCGATCACCAAGAAATGCTGGAGAATGTGGTCAAGCATTATAAGAAAAATGTAATTACCATCGACAAGATCGATAATAAATGCAACGAAGACGTCGCAAACATAACGTATTTATCTATTTATATATCTGTCAGAAAGCTCTTCAAAAATTTCATTTTTATAGACATTTTTATCTGTTGCTATTATACTAATAATGTATTTTTGCAGTACCAGATATGAGAGGAAACAATTGGATTTGTATAAAGCATGGAGGCTCGAGCAAAAAGAAATACAATTGGCATTGGAGAACGCCATGGATGATCTCGAGTCTTTAAAACGGATGAATCGAGAATTAGAAGAAGACATCCGTGAACGGAGGTATGTTCAGGTTCTTGAAAAGTTACTTTTTAAAAGTAACCCTCTAAATAGTCATTCTACTATCATCCTGAACGTATCCAAAATATCTGGAAAATATACTAAAATACAACCGAGATAATCTTAGGCCAGTAAAAATCAATTAACATTACATCAATTTTATAATTTCTCACTCAACAATATAAATGTGATATAACATGCGTTGTATATAACAGTTATATTGCTGAGTGGGAAATTACAACATTATTGTAATATTACTGTTAATTGGTGTTTATTGGGAGGACATCTTGTGCTATCTGAATTATTACCGTTACTCGTTATTCATTGAAAAGAATAATGCGTTACTGTTACTCATATTAAAAAATTGAAAAATAACATAATATCATTTTTATAAACCAATCACACAAGACACAAGATGTAAAGTGCGTAAAATAAGTGTTATATATTCTTTAGAAATTAGTCTTATGGCGTAAACAGACATTTTGGCCGTGCTTCGATTCTCGTTAATGAAAAAAAGATGGTTCGTTGTGACAGAGAGCCTTATTGTTTTTATAATCTTTTTTTTTTTTGAAAAATAACTAACAAAAATGCAAATATAAAAATAACTTATTACCATTATCGTTATTCGGTAACGAAAGTCATTTCCGTGACGTTTCTCACCAATAATTTGGAAGACTATAGCCCGTATTCTAAATTCTCTTTTATTGATAAAAGTGTCTCTAAAAGTGGTTTAGGAACAATCTGATTGATTGAGAAGCCACATTTAAGGCACTTTTTGATAAAGTGCCTTAGTTGAGAGTTCAGAATATGGAATACTGTTTCTTTTATGATTCTATCCCATGTAGACGTATTCTACATGTGTAAAGTAATGGTAAAAATAACGATTATATTCGTTACTGTTATACAAGAAAATAATAGCGTTATTGTTATCGTTACTAATGAAGCAAATAATACCGTTATGAAATCTGTTGCGAATCCGTTATGAATACCGTTGCTGAAAAAATATTGGTAACGGCGCAACAAATAAGGCGTTGCTTTCTAAATCTGTGCACGATAAAAGAGATTCGGACAGTCAGTTATTTATCTAAATTCAAGATTAATCGTTAATTGAACAGGTCAGTGGTTGAATCGGAATTATTGGCGATAATAAATACATATGACACGGAAATCGGCAGTAAACATCGAACGCTCGAGGAGCTCTCTAAAACTTATGAATACGATAAATCGGAGAAACACGCGTTACAGGTGAGAAATGGCTTACGCATTTGATCTTTTGAGTCTCAGTATATCCTTAAGGATATATTCTAAGACAGATATGGTATATATGTTTAAAAATAAAAATATTTTTATCGATCTATCTACGTTTCATAAAGTTATCAACTATAGTAAACTATAGAAATTTTCAACTATAATATTCAACTATAATTAGAGATTAGATATTCAACTATAATTAGAGATAAAGTTTCAACTATAATTAGAGATAGTTTCAAAAGAATTCTATTTGTAGTACGGGTAGCTTCTCTTAACTTGAAAAAAAAAATTGAATTTTCAAATTAAGATTTTGAGACACCACTCATACCTGAGTCCGACATGATCAATCCCCAAGAGGTCATGAATCTTCTTCTCTGATGTGAATTCGTGAAAAACGTAAATTTTCTAATTCGAAAATATTTGGAATTTTCACTTTTCACTTTCAGTCCTGAGGAAAAATTAAGTGATCGATACCTTGATATCTGATGTCTTCTTAACAGAATTTCCAAAATAAAAAACCGGAACTCTCAAAAAGTTAAAGAAAAAAAAAATATATATATATATTTCGTTTCATCACGATGCGCGCCTGAATTACAGAACGAGATCGAACGGCAAGAGGCAACGTACGTCGCTTTCGTTAAACGAAAAGAGGAAGCCGAGATGATGCTTTTTCACGAGCGCTTGACTGCCTTTCAACGAGAACGCGCGGCGAAGTTTATCCAACGGTGGTGGCGCAAAGTATTCCGAAGGAAGAAAAAGGGTAAGAGAAGAGTTAAGAGGAAAAGAACGTAACTTGCGTGTCGCCATTGCGACATTATCGAAGCGCAATGCGCGTTATATACGTTGCGGGGTTTGTTTTGAGGACTTTCGCTGCGAATTCCACTTTGGAATTAGTGTGCGAACTCAGACGGAACTAAGAATCAGAATGACGAGAAAATGGCTGCAAAAACTTACTTTTCGATCGTAATTTATTGACCGCGCTCGGCAGAACGCTTATTTTACGAACGTTGGAAGTTTTCTGTGCTGAGATTGGATTATTCCTCTAGATCTAAGAAAATAATCCAATCTCAGAGCTCAGAAAACTTCCAACAATTACGAAATAAACGTTCTATTAATCCAGTGTAATTCGGCTGATCAAATTCACTATAAAGCTGCTTTTTTTTTACCGAATGTAGCCATTTTTTCATCGTTTTGAGGTTATCGTGATTTTCCATTCTATCTCGGGAGAATTGAGATGCATACGCGCGACAAATCAATGCGGTTCACGTCTTAACACTTTGCGGCCCGGATTGCTTTCGACTTTTCTTCTCAACCGATCCGTAGAAATTCCTCATCGATTTCGCGACAACATCAAGCGTATTTCGCGCTTATTTCAATAATTCAGATTGTGTGAACATCGCGATATACTCGATAAAATCCGACGGTCCCCGAAATGAGGAAACACAACCGTATGCCAGAACTCGAAACGTATATTATTCTGCATTCATATTGATACAACCTAATTTATTTACATTTGTTGTTATTTATTACACGGCTTTACAATAATTCTCTGTTCTTTTCATTTTAAGTACATTATCAATCGTAATAATTGCGTGTCGGTGTATCCAATCACATGCGAACATAGTATATTTACTTGGATATCGTCAAATAGAAGCGTGCTATTATATAACAAACGTAATTAATTACATCTACTATAAATACGTAGAATATTTGTTACGCGATTGTTACTGAAGACACCGCCACAGTTGGGCGACTAAGTACACGCGTCGAGTATTACTTTTTAGATACTTAACACGCTGACTGCCACGCTGATTTCCATAGACTGTACTCAAAGCAACAATCCACGGATTGTCCAGCAATTGTGAAAATAACTAAAGTTTGAGTAACCAGAGTTACGATATTAAACACACATATTTCCTGTTGCATAGATCGAGTTGATTCGGGAATCTTTCCCCGTAGAATACGCGTTTTATTCGTCGGCATACTTCTACTCGACCGGAGTATCGGAGTATCGAAGTATCGGAGCAATTTTTTATTTGAATCTAGCATATTTTTTTTTGTGTAGAAATTTGCCTACTTGAGAATCACTTTATTGACATCAACATTTGTGTCATCAGTATTTATGAGGTTGAATTAAGCATATATTAGATTGATTCAGAGATCTTTTCTCCTGACAAATATATTTCAATTACCGGCATATTTCTATTTGAAAATTGTTATTTCGTTCATATCAATATTTGTTTAGCTTTTATGGGGAAAAACTCTGAAATCGACCTCATTTCTTAGCTAATTGCATGTATTAGGTTGATTCGGAAGTATTTTTCCATAGAATACACACATGATTTGTTGGCATGTTTCCATTTGAAAACTATTTTACTTAGATCAACACTTACTCGACGTTCAGGAAAAGACTTTTGAACCAACTTACTTCTTAGTTAATTGCATATATATTAGATCTATTCGGAAGTCTCTTCCTATAAAATACATACTTTATTCGCCGATATATTTTCGTTTGAAGACTGCTTTGTTAAAATCACAACACTTGTTCAGCGTTTATGGGAAAATATTTCCGAATTAACCTCACGTACTTCTTAGCTAATTTTATTAGCTCCCTATATACATATATATATATANTTCTTCAACGCTTCATACTTAATCGAAAGAGATCGTAATAGTAATCGGCAACGTTATAATAGCGCCGGCCATAAGTGACGACCCTCGTGGCGGTCAACGTATTAACATTCGTTCGGATATATACACAGATACACGGCGCTTTTACACAAGCGTCAATTGACTATCGTGCACGGATTTCGAAAAATTCACGGAATGTATGGAAGAGCTCTGAGAATCTGTCTGTTTCGCGTGGTGGACTTCTTTACGCGCCCGTACTTTTCGCTGCCTCTCTCTCTCTCTCTCTCTCTTTTTCTCTCGCACGTCGCATCTCTCGACGTCGTGTAACAAACATTCCACGGAATGCGAGCGAAGAATGATATCTCTTTGTGGCGAGCCTTCGCGATCGTTTGCCGAGCGAGACTTGTCCCGTCGAAGAATTCGATCGCGTTAGTGAAATGATAGTAGGATATATTCGTCAAAGATTATTTAATTGATGAAAATTACCTAGTTACTTCCATTACCGTCTCCGTACACGGTAAACTCATTTTACCGGAGATTGTGGGTAATGGGCGATTTCGGTACGGAGATACAACGAGCGATCGTGAAGTCGAGTGAAATCTCACTGAGTGGACCGATAAATACGTGAATTGAGAATACACGCAAAAAACGCTGTTACATCAGTATAATCGGTTGAAAGGAGATATTGTCATTTGAAATTGTTGTTTTGCAGGTGATTTGTACACAAAGGAAAATGCTAGATTCGAGTAAATATTTACACCAACACTTCTTAGCGAATTTTTAATTGGATTAAGTAAATTTTACTTGAATCAAGTAAATATATTTTACTGTGATAATTTACTTAGAAAATATTTTACTTGAATCAAGTAAATGTTACTCGATCCAAGTAACAATTTGCTAAGAAGTGTCGAGATAATTATTTATTTGAATTTAGCGCATTTTCTTTTTGTGTTTGTTTGAAGCGCATTTTTTTTAACTATAAGACGTACAATTTGAAAGTTTTGTATCAATATTTATCTATGGTTTAACTACATACATAATAATTTCCATAGATTATTATCTTTAATATTAATAAAGTTCGTCTTTACCCCAATGGAGAATAAAAATTGATTTTTTATGAAATGCACATTTAAAAGAAAAAAATCGATTTTCGACTGGTTTTTTCAGATCTGAGAGTCCTTAAAAATCGAAATGTTAAAGATATTGACTTCATCATAGTAGGGACAATAATCGCAAATTTTGTAGTTTAACACGTTTGGTACCACCGCCGCATATATACGATTCTTGTATCTGAGTCCACCGTCGCAGATGTGCGGTGTGGGTTCTTTATCAGTTTATAATAACGTATTGCAATAAATTTGAAAATGAACAGTATTGTTGAGCTAAAAAGCAATAAAATAGATGTAAGATATCCTTAGTCTAGAGATAATTACATTTTTATGTTATAAATATATCCTAAAAAGACCCATGTCAATTGGGGACATATATTCTAACAAAAAACACCCTGGGTTGTGATGCAAGATTCCTTTCTCAGATCCTGGTAGCGAACATGTTAATAATTTCTTCGTCGTTTTGGTTTCGGAAACTTATAACGTCCGAAATCGTAATAATCAACCTTTTGCGTTCAGTATCAACAAAATTACTTATAATATACTTTATTAATATTAAGATAATAATGTACAGCAATTAGCGTATATAACTAAAGCATAAGTAAAATGTAAATATTTATGCAAAACTTCAGAATTATATGTCATGGTTAAAACAAAATTCTAAAAAATTACCTACCAAATGAAATGTTCCAAATGAGAATACTCCTTTATCGTCATGATTGCAATAAATCTCCTTCAATAGCAATATTGTTGAGATTAATATTAGGGTTGCTGAAACAATGTATAATTGTAACACCGTATGGTTAATTTCAATAATATTGCTGTTGAATGAAGGTTTATTTACTCCAATTACGGCGCTCTTGATCAAATCTATTGGCGCGAAAACACATTCTTTTCCGTGTAAAATTCGATCGAAGGATAACGCCTTGTGACCTATGTAAAAAAACTCAATGGCTTGTAATTTCTTGGTAATCAATTTCGGGGGTACAATTTCGCGATGTATCTCGGGGACAAGAATAAATACAACTAAATAACGAGAGAATCGCGTAAATTTCTTCGTGGACTTAAATAGGCCTCAAAGAAACAGCCTGTAAACACCTACGCGTCTCCTCTACAAGGAATTCGCTGCCTTAGCCCTTTGCAGTCCCCCTCCATTCTCTTCGTGCGTTACGTTACATTGATTTCTTTCACTGTGATACATTTACGTTTTTCTTTTTTTTCTTCTTTGCATTACACGTTATATAAATTACATATATATAGTTATCGTTCACACATTAAATTGTTCGCGTAAAGTTCGTTTAATAGAATTTTGAAGATACTTTTGAATGTGTGCGTGTGCCGATAATACTTGTCGCTTACACGATCACACATCTGGGAAATACAGACAAATATATTAGATAATTAAAGAAATTGTGTATTGCACGCACGCGCAACACTGTTTACAATCGCGATACGGCGCAAACGTCCAGATTAATCGATAGATAGATAACGATATACCGCTGATATATGGGATTATATTTTCTTACGAAAAAGTTACAACCCCGGGAAAATAATTTAAAGCTTACCTCAGCTTCTCATGCCTGTACCTGTCAAGCATCATTACGGAATACACCGCGTCAGAGCTCTCTCTCTCTCTCTCTCTCTCTCTCTCTCTCTCTCTCTCTCTCTCTCTCTCACTTTTTAATTTCCCCATCTCTCTAATAAGTCAATGCAATATGTATGTACGCATGGGTGTTTATGTACCCGACAAATTATATAAGTTTGAAACACTGAGAGAGTGAAATTATAGCGGAATAATAAATAATTTATATTGAAGCCTAGTTTCAAAAAACTCTTGTCCAGACAATCTTCTTTCGCTAGTAATATCAAATCTTATTAGCAACGAGTGATTTTGAGACCACTCTGTACATGTATTTAGAAATAGTAAATCTAACATATTCGCTTGTCTCGAAGTAATCAAACGTGCGGGCGAAGTGTCTTCCGAGTACGTGATGTTCTTTTCTTTTTTTTTTTGCTTTGCACGAGGAAAGGCAACGTCCTTATTTTATCCTTTGTGTTAACACAATTCGACTTGTTCGAAGACAGTCGTTCGTTTGCTCTCTCTCTCTCTCTCTCTCTCTCTCTCTCTCTCCGAAGGAACGGAGCCTCGCGGGCACGCTCAACTTGCCGCGCGAGCGTTCCACAATCCGTGCCGTCGGCAATGCGATTCCGACGTCTCACGAGATCGATGTGAAAAGCGCGATTCTCAGATGACCGTGACGCGAAGGACGAGTGAAACGCAGTGACAGAAATTGTCATACGAATTTCCAAGTGAGATCGAATTGAAAATCGATGTTATACATTATCCGGGCGGCACAAGTTTCGAAGAGATACAAAGACGTGCAGAAGACATCTAAAAAGAGTAAGGCATCTTTCATCAGACGCCTTTAAGACATCTATTCGGGATTTGTGTCGCCTGGATTGTCTTCGAATAAACCTCTGATGTCGTTAGCCGCGTACGAGATCGAGCGCAAGTGCGAAAATTCACACTGAAAACGGTGATAATCATTATTTGTCTCGATGTCGCATCTTTTTTTTTTCCTTTTCCTTTTACGCACGTAGCTAAAGATCGTTAAATTAGTGTTATTCACCTGCGAATTCTCCCTCCCTCCATATATTCTAATATTACCGATACAACTAATATACAGGACGCACGGTAAAATGCGAGACTAGCGTGCGATTGTATTTTTGGATAACGTCGAGTTTTGGATCTCTTCTTGCTTATAAATTACCGCATTCTTCAAAAGTCCAACGAAATAATGCAATGAAAATAAATAAATATATAAGTATAAATAAATAAAAAATATATATTGTTATATATTATTTTTACAGAGGGTGCAATTGAATGTATATAAATTCTGTATAGTTTCTGTAATTATATTATATATATAATATATTTATATAATATATTATATATATTATAAAGATATATTATAAAGAATATATATATTTTTTTTCTATTATATATATTTAATATATATATATATAATAATATACAATATAATATACACGCAATATACGTCAATCATTAAGACAAGAATTAAATTCTTATTAAGGGATAATGTTTTCGCGAACTGAATTAATTAGCGGTAAAAGAGACGTTCTGTCACTCATTCACATTTCGCTTAAATCTTACAACTTCATGATTAGGCTCTCGGATGACCGGATTCATCGAGAAATACATCTACAGTCTCGATCGATAGTCTCGCATTTTCTACACATTCTGCACGATTATTAAATCCGATTATTATATTAACTTAAGAACCCTCTCTTTTGATTCGAGGGACAAACGTTCAGATTAAAATACCGATCGATTAACGTGTAAATATCTTAGAGAGAAGTTAAAGCTTATCGTTTTACAGATAGCTAATAAGTAATTTCAATAATGTACATATCAGTGGGAGAACCGATAATTCACGTCGTAAAGGCTTCGTCGTCGTCTTACTTCACCATCTTCGTTCGTGTATAATATATGAATGTTTTAGAAATTCCACACTGGTGACCGACCGGGAGAAAGCACGAAGTACTTCACGCACACAGAGGCATTAAAGGATTCGAATTACAAAATATGTACTTTCATTCGCGCACGTGAAAAGAATCAATCGCAAAGTATAATTGCATGGTTTCCCCTCTAACGGATCGCCTCGTTAAATTACACAGGATAATAATGTGTACACTCGTTTGCAGAACGGTTTCAGCACGTTTCGTTCAACACGCTATAGAACGCAACCGACGCCCAATGGGAACATTTTTTTTAGCAACTCACGTAACGCATACACGGAGAAAATATTATATAGCGTGTTTTATACAAATTCTTTTCAATTTTACCACGTTTTCCAGTAGGACCCGAATATATTGTCAGTAGAGTTCATCTTAGCTATGCTAGCATGCTAGCTAATAATAATCTCTAATAGTTCTGATTATTTAACATGTCGCAAAGCATGCTTAGAAACTAACTAATATTCTTACAAAAATTTGTCTTTCGTTCTTTTTTGCTGTATCATCTCTATAAGCGAGTGTGTTATTTCTTTTCGTACAAAGAGCATGTTTTTTTTTTCATATACTTAATGAAATAAAATTAAATATGCTAATGAACATAATAAATTATGTTAAAAAACATAGACTTTAATTCTTAAAATATTATCCAATCGGCATCCATAATTAATCGAGTATTTCCAAATGAAACATAATACATCTGAAAGTCTATAGATAGTACTTTTATTGTTTAATCAGTGACACAAGTTAAATATTTTACTTACAAATAGCACACTAAAAAAATACTGTTTATAAATTACACAGCTCAAGAGAAACTGATAAGAACAGAAAATGAATTCGCGACTGTGATAAGATAGAAACTGATAAGACCAAGAGTCTTATATAATACTTAGTAAATACTTGATTACTTACGGATATTGCTAATATAAATAGCACACATGTGAGACGGAAGGAGAATAAATTAAGAGACAGAATGTCGATATGTTCCTCAATTACAAAATTCTAGAGTGATTTTTACTACAAAATTCCTTCCGTGTAGGTTTTCTGGTTGGACGTTTCAATGCGTCGAACCAAAAAAAAAAAAAAAAAAAAAAAANCAGCAAACAAGTGCACCTACATATCAAAAAGATCCTGCAAAAGATAAAAATTAATTAAAAAAAAGAGTGCACGATAATTATCTGTAGGATAACGAGGGCCTGGCGAGATCCGCTCGTGGAAAGAAAATAGAAGAAGAAAGAAGGATTCGTTACATCAAACCGATCGCAGACTACCCTACCGAGAGACAATGAACGTAGTTATTATGATCTACCGTGTGTCGATGAGCTATTCGTAGGGACTCGGCGCTATAAGTATGAATCAGTGCTCGCGATGGCTTTTCCACGTGTTCAGTCTACCATCTGGTTGGTCCGGTGTCGCTCGTGGCTGCATTCGCTCCTATGAATGGATTTGTGGCAGCCGCTAGATTGAAATATCGTATTAGTAATGACGAATGGTTAGTGCGTCGCGTTGATCTCTATCTACTTTTTTTTTTCTTTTCTTTGTTTCGCCAGCAAAACACGCGTTTGCAGCGAAAATTCGACGAGATGATTCAGCGAACTCGGTATGCTCTCTCTCTCTCTCTTTTCTACGAAATGTTATATACACAGCGATCTGCATCGTGATCATAGGAACCGGATGAGTCGCGTTTTCGGGACGCATCCGGGGAACGTGCGGAAATTGCCTTGAAAAGTAAAAAAAAAGAAAGAAAAAAAAACAAGGAGAACAAGGAGAGATACACTACCGGAGATAAAGCTGGCCTTATCATAAGCTACGTAGTAGTCTCGGTCAAGTACGATGCAATGGTACTTCGAAACAAAACTCTTGTGGTGCTAGTTGAAAGTGAGTTCGATGGCGATTGCAACAAAATTGCGATGCGACGCGATCGTCGGCTCAAAACGGCGCGCTAAAAACGGTGGACAGCGCAGGATACAATTGGGAGTGACGGCAAAAGAAAGAGAACTGTGCGAGGCGCATAATCACGTAGTATGTACATATATATGTATATATATATTTTTTTTTTCGTTATTTTACGACGAAACATAATACGGACTCATATGGACACCTAACCTGGACAGAAGTTAGACGGATTGAGAGGATTCACTCTCTTTAGTGAAATCTTTTAAAACAGACGTGATATATATGACATGTACGACACGATCGTGGCTGCGGAGATTGCGCGGTAAAACCGTCGAATGCTCTCGTTAAAGCGTCGAAAAGCGCGACGAGGAATGATAACAGTGGCGTAAAAACCGTATCTCAGCGTTTTTCTCTTATCATTTATGCCGATATATAAACGACGGAGCGAGAGATGGACCTCTTGTTAAAAGTTCGTTCTCTTCTCTCTCTTTCTCTCTCTTGGCATCTTGGTACGCGTACTGGCATGTACAATTCTTCGGATGCTAACTAAAACTAAATCATTAACTTTGCGGCGCATTCTCGCGTGTTCATCATCGCGCTACGCAAGAAAACCATACAACGGGAAATCGCGCGACGAACACGCATAAATATAAAATACCCTCGGGAGAATTTGCTTTTAAGTATCGTTCAGCGCAACATATACCAGGTGTCCCGGCACCATCGCACGACACCTCAAGAGCGTATTCCGAAGCTCGGACTTGTGAAGCCGAAAGCTTTTAACACGTCATCATTTAAACAAACTTCCACAGTTTGTTATTTAAACAAACCACAATTTTCCCCCACTGTGTGTATTTTTATTGACCGAACTTTCAATTACGAAGAATTCTGTTGAAATATACTATACTATACTTGAGAAATCAGCTGAAAGAATCGGTTAAATAAATAAATAAAATAAATAATGAATTTTGTTATTCACTTGGCTACTTGAAGCGTAACTCGCGAAAATCGGTCGTCTTTTTCATCGATTTATTAATTCCAACAATTTAAAGATAAGCACATATCTCGAAATATTTTTGTATTAAGATTTTCGACTTTAATTGAACTTCAGAACACGCTATTGTAACGTTGTGTGATGGTTGTTACGGACATCTCGTATGAAACATTCTTCTTTTCTCGCGTGATATCTGCCCAATATCGAGAACAGAGAAATGCCCCTGTTCGATTACTGGAAGACAGTATCTCCAATACTGTTTTAATAGCCTTCACCGACGGCTGACCCGTGCACTGGCAGAGGAATATCGCGGGTAGAGAGAAAAGAATACCGCCGTGGCATCACACGGATGAGACACGAAAGAAATCTAACACCTAAGTTACGACGTTCTCTACATATAGCTTCACACACAATGATTCTACGACTAATTTCTAATTCGTATTTCGAGCGTGATCACACTGAGACTGTATATCAAACAAAAGACGCGCGACGGAGGGGAGGGGGGAGAGTGTCGTCGTCACTTCGGAGGCGTAATAATGCCTTCTTCAACGCAGCGGAATCGTTTTCTCCAGGAAGGACGGGGAAGAGGGTGAGGGAATCTGTCAAGCAAAAACACGGAGGTGAGGGAAACAAAAGGTATTATATAATTAGTAAAGGAGAAATAAAAAAAGGGTGGAACAAAAGAGACAAAGAGCGGGTAACAACAGAAGAGGAGAAAAGGACACCATGGACGATGTCGAAGAAGGGGGGGAGAGAGGGGGCGCCGAAAAAAGGCGAGAGATGGCGGATAGTCGGACGACTGTGATACCAAAGAAGGATGTAACAACTCATAAGTATAGGCTCTCTACGTTCAAGAACTCGTAATACCAGTGGTATAAATCACACGATCGCCGCCGCTGTTTAGATTCGTGTTTTCGTTAACCGTAGTCGTCGGCGCCGCTGATCCCGGCGCGGGCATGGCGAATATAGGCTGCTGTACGTTGGACGCGTTTTGCGATGCGCCGCTCTGCGGTTGAGCCGTCACAGCGTCCTCGTCGCTCTCCTCTTCCTGCGAACGCACATTTGCAACATCGAGAGTGACATAATGCCAATACAATATGTACATATGTGTATACAGAAGCATCTGCCGGGCTATTTATATCCGCGGGCAAGTAAACTCTACTTGAAACGCAGCTTACCGCTCTTGCCGCGCGAAACATTTCCCGCGTGAGCGAATGTATATTTCTTTGTTATCGGTTTTTCTTCCTGGCTCCCTCATTCCATACCTGAATACACTTAGACCCGTATTCAACGGTTCGTCACTTGAAACTTCGTCTCATACGATACTTGAATGTAGAATTTTTCAAGTAAATCGCGCAATTAGAAGTGTAATGTCATATGATGATTCGACTGAAAAATTCCGACTCAGTTCGAAATTCATATTCAGGCATCTCACATAAAGACACGTTTCAAGTAACGAATATTAATGTGAGCCTTAGATCCGTATTAATACTTGTTGCTTGAAATTTATCTTGCATAAGATACTCAGATTTGAGTTTAGAATTGAACGTAAGTCCTTTAGTTGGGTCACAATTACAGATATGTCACATATGTCATGATTTAACTGAAAGACTCACATGTAACTGTAAATTCAAATTTGAGTATCTCACATGAGACAAATTTCAAGTAACTATTATTAACATAGGTTTAAAATACGTAATAATAGTTGTTATTTGAAATTTGTTTCATGTGAGATACTCAAATTGGAGTTTATAGTTAGATGTGAGTTTTTTAGTTGAATTACAATTATAAATATAAAATGTCACGTATTATATATATATATATAACTTTTAAGTGAAGAACTTGTGTACATACATATCTAGATAGCTAAATGACGCAGGAGGACGATATATTGACGGCAATATGACGTTTATATCGTCAATATGCCATTAATATACCGCTCTCCAATGGTATTTGGCTATCTAAATACATACAGAGTGTTTGGTTATAAATGTCCGGGCAAATATCTCGTAACTCCTTGAAGTAATAAATATCAATAAAGGAAATTTGGATAGTTTTTAGTCAGCAACGAAATACAAGTAAAATCTTTCTTCGTCTGTGACTTTTCAAAATGTTGAAGTCACTTTTTTTTAAATATTTTATACAAAATCATATAGTTTTCTTTTTAACATAAATCAATTCCTATGTCCATTTCGTGTATAAAAGTAGTATTAGATCATAAAAATAATTTTCTGAGACATTTTACATTTTATTTTAATACTCTTCAATACAGATATGAAATATCTCATATTGTTTTTTCGATAACATTACTTTAACATTTTCATACATAGAATGACAGGTAGAATGGACTGCTATAAGCAAACGTAGAGAAACCTAACAAAAAATTCGTTGCATTTTGCAAATATATCGGGGTGCACCAATGTGTAATAATTAATATCAGTAATCGATTTCTCTCATATTATTACATACAAAAGCGTTAATAATATTATTGAAAAGTGAATACTTTATAACGCTTATAACCAAACACTTTAAACAAATATCCAACTATAATTTCATATTAGAATATTTCACGCGAGACAAGTTTCAAGTAACAACTATTAATACGAACCTTAAACCAGTATCAATAGTTGTTACTTGGAACTTGCCTAATAAGATTTTTGTACTCAGTTTGCCTGTACCGAGACTTGAATTTAAACTTATACGCGTCTTTCAGTTGAATCGCGATTACAGATATAATGTCACGTTATATGATCCAATTGAAAAAAAATTCAATTGAATATTAAGATCCAACACTAAATTCAGACTCGAGTATCTCTTTCACGTTAGACAAATTTCAAGCAACAACTGTCAATACGAGCTTTAGACACACACACACACTAGTGTCACATAAGTAACATTGACTGTATCTTACATTTATGATGAGCTGCAAATGCGCTCGTGTCGAATACTTTCGTACCAGCAGAATTTGATTTTGGAATAGCAGAAATGTGGACAAAGCGCGCGAGGTGAATAGAGGCAACATCGTTGCGCATACATATATCCCTTAGAAGCTTTTTGATTTCGAGCTCTGAGAATTATCTTGGTGTATTAAATTCTTCTAACAAACGTGTAGCTTGGTTCAACCAAAATACACACACCGCCGATAAATCTGTTCCCATTAAGGAAGATTTCCCTCTTGATTTTTCTGTGAATGGTGCATGATACAATTTTGTTTTCGGTCTTTTTCTTTGGATGATGCATTATCTGAATGAAACGAAAGATGAATATACGAAATATCAATGCGTCGTCGAGCGAGAACGAGCTCAACTCCACAGCTCTCTCTTTCCGCGAGAGGTAGAAGAGATATATTACACGGCGAAGAGATGATTGACGACATTTTTACAGATACGTTGCGGAAAATGGTGCGAACTATCGTTCTACGTGTGCTGTAAGATTAACGTGACGGTGTGTATGCTTGGATGGGTTATGTGTGTATGAATGCACGAACAAGTAGCTATTTATAGTGGTTACAGGTATGTCAATTATTGGCGAGAGTATATGAGCGTCACAATAATTTTCGTTCACATATTTCAAAGGTTAATAGTGTGTGTGTGTATGTGCATGTTCGATTGTTACAATGGAGTGTAATTGTGAGAAAACATAGTGTGTGATCTGTGCGAAACCATTCCACCGCTGATATCGGGAGAGAATCGTGAAGCAAAAGGGCACCAATGTTCAAGATCGATCATAGCAAAGTAGAAGAAAAGAAAACAGAAATGTCAAGCGTTATAATGACTTACCTTGCCCAAACCTCGCGGTTGATTTGTCACAACATCAGCCTCTGGATTCAGGTTCCGCTATAATACAATAATAACATAAACAAAATAGCTAAACTATACGTACGCTTTTCTATAAAAAAAAAAACGAGACATAACTTAGCATGCGTGTGACAATAAGAATTCATGCATTTCTTTCCCAATTTCTTTTTTTTCTTTCCATGCGAATTGTCGCATGGATAAAAGACATAGCGATATCTATGAGAACTCATCAAACGGATCGGCAATTCCGTCTGAAACGGGAATGGGGGAGGCGGGAAGAGGTATAGAAAAAAGAAATATACAAAAAGAAGAACGTAGAGTGGACAAAATTAGGGCCGTGTGTGTGTATTCTATGAGAAGTGAACTTTTTTTCTTTTTTCTTTGTACAGGAAAGTGCCGAAATTTCGAGACTATCTACACGATGAAAGCGACGTCTTATTTCGGTGATACGACGGTGAAATTTGTGAAACAATTAACGTGTAGAGATATATCTATGCGGAAGTCGGGTCACACTTCCCCAGTTAAAAAGAACAGCGAGCTGTGCAAAGAATATAATACTAAGCATCTATGGTGCCTCGAATAAGAAGACGTAACAAATAATACTTGCAATTCCGTAGATGAATACAAACTTTTATGCGTATATTGATCAAACTTAAGCCACACGAACTCCTCAAATCGCTCGTCTTCGCAATTAGATATCTATCAAGATGCTCTTTCCCCGCAGATACGTTTTCCAACTGTATGTGTGTGTGCGTGTGTATGTCGGATATTTGTGTATAAGTGTAAAAGAGAATTCAGACCTATATTTCGATTCTTTTATACTCTCTGCATTTCTTGGAGTGAAATATCATTCAAAATAAATGAAAAGGGGCAGTAATTTCACTCGAAACGACAGTGAAAATACTGCTAATCGAAATCACAAGAGACTAATGTTTCACTCAAGTTTAGAGAGTGGATTCCAATTCCATACGAGTGAATGTTTCAAACGATCAGAGTGAATTTGTTTCCGTGACGATAAAATACATCTGATTCGTTCTTCAGTTTCGAGTGAAAATTTCCATTCTGATTCAGAGTGGAGAATTCACTTTGTACGAGTGAACAATCACTCGAATCTGAGTGACCCGACTTTATTTATTTTTTGTTTCGAGTGAAATTTCACCCCAAGAAATTTAGAGAGTAATTCAGCTGGATGTTTAGCTAAAGACTAGATCACAACAGGAAGTAAATGATTGTGAATAAGGAATAGAATCTACAGCAGACTTAGCCGTTTCCTTTCGTTTTTTACAGTCATACTGAATAAATTAACATTTTGACGGCTGCTGACAAGTATAAATGACTTCATTCCGCCAGCAGCTGTCACCTTATAAAGAAACATTTTCCAACGAAAACAATTTGCACAATCATAATTATAATGTTATAAGAGACATACAAAGCTAAATATATGAATTTTTGTATGTACAAGGAAGGTGTTGGTCTCTTTAGATATCGTCTAAGCGAGCCCTCGAAATCCGCCGGCGACGACCGAAAATTTCCTCGAAATAAGCGTGCGGCCGTCGAAGTATTAACATAGAAATAATTGATCGTCTCATCATGCGCCGTAAGTCATGCATTATATGAGCAATATATTACATTGGCTAGATAAAATTCGCGTTCTTGATATCACACATAACGTGCATCGTATGATGGCACACATAAGTTCACTGTTTGGATTGTTCGAGTAGATTGTGAAGATATATAAACGAAAGCGGTAATCTCGTTATGCTATCTCTCTCGTTAAATTGTCAGTATATATATATATATATATATAGCACAACAAAACTTGTTGAACAAAGATGTATGAAGGGAAGTAATATTAGGATGTACATGGAATGAATGCGAACATGAACACCTCCTGCACTATTCACGAGGAATCATATCAGATGCCTTCCATTCACAGAGAGAATACCATCGACAAGAGATATTATTTCTCGGAGCCAAAATTTACTTCTGCTGATAGAAATGCACGTGTTTTCTTTTTTAATAGACCCAAATTGTAATCAGAATTATCAAGATCAACGACATGTTCATATAAGAGGACAATGAAAACTCGAAGGAAGAAACACTACCGACAATTTTTCGGTTTGTTTGGTGTGATCATTTGTAAATGAGAGAATCTTCCCATTGTCGGTAGATATTTGCACATATTTGCGCCAATGAAATCATTGCTGCTGTACGTTTGTTACACACTTTCTTTTCTTACACTTACTCAGTACTAAATCTTCTATAAAACTTATCATTGAGCAGTAATGAGACTTATATGAACGTATTTTACCTGTAAATTATGGTATGCGCCGCTATCCTCCGGGGGAGTCGGTTTACATTTACCGCAACAGAAATTGCAACAGCAACAACAACAGCAACAACAGTAACAAGCGGTGATTAGTCCACAAAACAGGAACAGCGCCTGGAAGAACAAATAAAACATGATATTAGATCACCGCATAATATACGGTTAAGTACTATCGATGATATGAAATTCGTATTCCAATGGAATTATAATAATTGTATTGAGTATCATAATTCAATTGTATTGAAAGAATTGTATCTATGATAAGGCATTTTATCTCAATTCATTTTCTCGGATAAGATATGGACTGAATAACAAGAATTAAATCAATCGATACTCTTACCTTACACCATCCAGAAGTGACAACAAAGTAAGCATTAACGTTTTCTTCTCCAAACTGTTCCGCAACATACAAACCAAGAGATCCATAATTGTCATATATGTTACGCTTTGTTAGATCCGTGAGTATCGCATGTGCCCTGTTTATTTCTTTAAACTGTGAACATACAACATGATTATAAGATATATTTCTGAAAGTATTAACCACATACTACAAGATATTACACACTCGGATACACCCTAATGAGAAATCAGGACTACCTTTTCAGCTGCCTCAGGATTGTTGGGATTCTTGTCAGGATGATACTTCAACGCCAATTTTCTATATGTCTTCTTGATCTCCTCAGAAGTGGCAGTTTTTGGGATTTCCAAAATTTGGTAAAGGGAATCCCCTGCAGTACTGTAAGGAAAGAACAGCAAAATGAATGCCGAATCATTGTCAGTCGTATTAGGCTAAGCAGCATGCTGGCAACTTGTCATATTTCCTGATTAATTTGTTTTTCAAAATCTACCGATTCACTTCTGGTGCATTCATTTGTACATTTAATATTTCGTGAAGAGGAGAGAAGAGAATATATCGGTCACTCTGAACCCACTTCCGAGCAATTAAAAACCACTCTTCTTCTCTTGACAGGTAATCTCTTTGTGAACAATTCATCTTTGTCTTCTTCCGAATGCAGATAGGAAACCTCATAAATTTCCCAGTTACAAGCCGATTACATAGATAAATAAGACTCGAATACCGAGGTTCGAGAGTGAAAAAATGATGGAGTGTAAAGTGAGACAGATCACGATAACCTATAGGATTACAGCAAGCTGTCTCACTTTACACACGACGCCCGTCGGATTGAAACGTCTGCGAAGACTTGGTTAACGTTCGCACGGCCTCACCGCGACGTTTTCTCATCGAGTCAAGCTCGTGTTTACGCCCCGGGCAACGAATGTTGTTTCTTTAAACGAACAATGTCCGCGTTGCGCGCGGCTGACGACCGGTAGGACGAGGTAAAAAAAAGGAGAAGTTACGATAGTCTTTCTGGCTCCATTGCCATCGAAAGTCAGTTAATCCTAGGTGCGTCGCATTCCCGTGAGAGAGAAACTGAGCTTATCGGCGACGACTGACGCATCGAGCGTTCTCAGGAAAACGAGAACTCAGCAAAGGGAAGCCGATAAGATGCACGAGCAGATAAAAGCGCTGGCGCGCCGACTGGGCGTCTTCGTAGTTGCGGACAGATTTCCTACTCACGACATTTTTCTCCTGTCCATGGCGAACGACGGACCTCGTTGACTGATCGACTTCTCAAGCGGATTTATCGAACTGCGAACCCCTTCGCGCGTCTCCACGAAGCGATCACTACGCGGACATCTCCTTCGATATGTCGTACGAAAATACGCGCATCGTTCCAGCAGAGGTGTGCCAGAGCATCACCAACAAGCACACGAAAGGCGATTCAATATTTTAGTTCGACCAGTCAGCGCGAATGCGCCAAGTGGCGCTGGCTGCTGCCAGTTAGGAACGATTCACAGGTATTCGATTCGCGCGTATCCGAGGCCGACGTAGCAACGATCTGACGTCCAACCGGATGCTGCGATTTCAAACTAGCGCTAACCATCGTTTCTTCCCTCTATTATACATGCTGAGACACTTCGTCTATCGTTGTAACACGTGCAAAGTGCACGTGTTACATAATAGGTAGAATGTACCAGTGTCTGTGTGTGTAGGTACAATGAGAGAGCAAAACACTGGTTAGCACAAGTTTGAAAGCGCAGCAGTGCATCCAATGGGAGAACTCGCTCTCTAGGAACCGCGGCCGCGACGTTCGTGGCGTCGATCGCGAATCTTTTCCAGCGTGAACTCGTGAAAATAGAAAATATTTTTTATGTTTTCGAAATGAAAAATTTTCACTTTTTACGAATTTACGTCAGATTAAGAAATTCATAATCGACTCTCTTATTTTTAGAAATTTCATTATTATTTTTATCCAGAGGATGATCACATGAATCTCTTCCTCTAACATGAACTCATGAAAAATGAACTTTTTTAAATATTTTCGAGATAACAAGTTTTCTTGTTTTACGAGTTTATATCGGATGACATCTTATTGACGGCAATATGAGGTCTCCAATGTCAATATGACGTCTCCTGACGTCGCTCTGTTATCTGGGAAGAGATTTACAATCTCCTGACCTTCTAATCTTTTAAAATTATTATTCTTATCTGGGAAATGATTGTGAATCTTGTCCTGTACTCGTTCCTGTGAACTCGTGGAAAATCAACATTTACAAATACTTTGACGTTAGAAAACGTTAACTTTTCATCAATTTACGTGAGTGAAAATAATTTTGATAATTGACCCTCTGAAATGATTTTTTCGTCGATAATTGCAGATCGCTGCCCGTCTATGCTTTCTGATGATCGGTTATGCAGTGCGTCGGTCGATGCGGATCTCGCGGGACTTACGACAGATATCGTCATCGACGATGTCGAAGCGCGGCTATGGAAGCCGAGAAGCAGAGAGCGATTTCGTGGAGTCAACAAGTGAAATTTACTTGAGCTGCAGATATCGTCATCGAAAAAATTTATAATATCGGCAATTTCTAATAAGTGATTGAATTGTCAGATCAACGATCGCGAAATGAATATCGTGCCAGGAACAGCGTCGTTGCTCGAGGAACTCGACAGTATGTGTTCTAGTTTGACGATTATCTTGTGCATAAATCGACTATAGATATATATATATAAAACTCATACGCCGGCCTAATTGTTGTAATCGTTATAATATTTTCGCTGCAAATGAAGTATCCTAATATTCGTATCGGGATACGATGCTCAGAAATACAGAAATACAGTCTTGAAATATTCAACAGAGTCTCTTGAAGTTCTAAAAAAATATTACAAATTATTCAGATTATCTGTCAAATCAACACAAAGTTGTAGTACAAACGTGAGTTCTCATTAAATTGCATATCAGATGAAAACTTTTAGTTCACATTGTCCTATGATCTAGTAGTCAAAGAGCTAATTTTCGAATCATATAAATTTCACTTCGTTTTCTTTAACCCTTAAATGCATAGTGTTGCAAATTTGCAACATATTTATATTTCCTGTTTGTCGAGATCAAAGGCACATCTAAACGTGGAAGACCAAATTCTTCCTTAGAACGAAACATACAATCCAAAAGGCACAAAAGCAATGCTCAACATATGCCTCAGATTTTTTTAAATATTTTTCTCATTTTCTGGGACTACCTATGAACCTAAAAAAAAAAATAATTCAGTAATAAAAAAAAATTCTTATATTTAAGGGTTAACGAGTATAACATATTACGAAGAAAAATCAAGTTCGTCAGATTAACTCGTAATCTTAAATAATATAATTCCTGTTTCCTAGAAATTTAAATTTAAAACAGTTTAGAAACAAGTTTAGAAGTTTAGGAATAATAATCTTCGATCATACATGTGTAAATTTCTTATTACTGAAACGCTTCGTATTCGTAACAACTGTTTTAATAATTACTCAATACAAAAGTCTAATGAAATGATTAAATGCATTTTTCAGTCATCTTACACTTACTTCTTATCCATAGAAAAACTGATGGTTTTACTCAGAGATGGCAGAACACTGATCGGTTATCTCAGAAGTGTGGACCAATTTGCCAATATCGTATTACACCGTACCATCGAAAGGATTCATGTTGGCAAAGAGTACGGTGATATTCCAAGAGGTATATTTATAGTGAGAGGTGAAAATGTTGTTCTTTTGGGAGAAATAGTAAGTATACATGTCACATTTAAATATATAGGAAAGAGTTGCTTAATATATACTAGTTACTTAAATTGTACTTTATCTTTTTTTCCCTGAAATTATTGAATAAGTGCAAACTACTGATGAATATATATTAGAATAAAAACGAGCAATGGACAAGATAACCACAACTTTAACAGATAGTACTGTTCTCTGTATGATATAAACATTCTAAAAAAATGCCTTATAATAATGCCTTAAATGTCTTCATTCACGGTTTTGCCAACTCTGCCCTATATTAGTAAGTATTGAAAATAAAATATCAAGGTACTGAAATAAACATCTCTATTATAAAGGATAGAGAAAAAGAAAAGGTTTTGCCTCTGACGCAAGTGACAGTGGACGACATACTGGACGCCCAGAGACGCGAGCAAGAATTGAAGCAAGATCAGAAACGACTGAGGAACAAAGCTCTGAAAGAGCGCGGTCTTTCGTACATGCCGGACTTGAATCACGACGATATGTTCTGACCTACGAATGTATCTGCTTCTCCCCTATCTAATCTACCTTTGTGCGACACCGATGATTACAAAGTTCGCTGTACCCCACTTTCCATTTAATGATGCATCTTTCGTGGATCGATGATCATTGTACGTAAGATCTGTGTGTACACAGTCGAATGCTTAAAGATTGCGACGCTTTTACCTTGATGAAACACGGCATTTGTTGCGCAACTCGTCGAAATGAAGGTGCTGCAACTTTTATACATTTAACTGTAGAAAGAAGGAATACAAGAAGAAGATACGAGATAACCGAATAAGAATAATATAGTTCACAATGAATCAATATAAATGTGTTGTATGAAATAATATAATAACATTGTGTTTATAATAGCGTGTATGTATGCGTTACTTTCCTTTTCAACAGAAAGAAAGCGTGTTTCTTTTTTCTTTTTCGGCTACTTTTAGTTCATATTAAAGTCGTCGAAAAATTCAGGATAATTTGTACACGCACGTACTCTCACTTATATATATATATATTTATGTAAAAATAAAAATAATATATCTAAATGTGAATATCAATCTAGTGGTACATCAGTTTTTAATAAATTTTAAGATATTTACAGTCACATGTACAACCGCCACTATAGGATGAATATATCGTATTACGATTCGTCATATATAAACTTAATTTTATTTATAAATACTTTAACAAACTTTGTGCGCATTGTAAACTTGGGGTGCACAAAAATCATTAAATTACGTTCCATATCGAGATATAAAATTATATATTATGCAATTTAGTAGATTCGAAAACTAGAAAGAAAAAAAGATATGTAATTAGAAAGATACTTAATTGCGTCTCAGTACTCAGTACACAGCTTTCGCAAATGCCTTTATCAAGAGTGTCACGAAAAAGAAAGAGAATTCTTTAGCATAAATATCTTATATATCATGTATGCATATATTATATAACGACACGTTTCTCGTAAGTAGAATAAATAATTCAACTGTCGAACCCCCCCCTCCTTCCCCCATTAAACTTTCGCGTTCGATATAACTTACGTTACGTCATACATCGGTGAATTCCAACGAATCGTAACTTTTTGTCTCTCGTTACAGCGTAAAAAAATATAGCGACTTATTTGTACCCAACGATATATCGTTGCTCCGATATCGAGATATCTTTAAACAACGAGATCTTGAGTGAGACTCAATAGTTTGATCATTCGCACAAACTAACTTCCTGTATAATACATAATGCACAAAAGATACCGAGACATTCTTAAAATCAACCAAGGCAACAAATGCGACGGAATGTAAATTAGATCGTAAATCAGACTACTTTTACGCGGCGGTGTGTATTCTTTTATCGATGGAATAAAAACTAATGTCGATGAGATTAGCACAGAGTATGAATAATGTCGCGCGGACGATTTAGCTCCCTAAAGATATCTCAGTATTCAATTACAGCGACGATATATACGATTAATGTCAACAAAGGCTACCGCCGGATTGGTTCACCGGTGCGCGATGAACACAATCGAGAGCCCTCGAGGAATGTCGAGCGACTACTAAAAAGACGTCTCCTGGAAACTGTCCTTCATTCTCAATGGATTCACCGACTCGTTCGGCGGATGTCTGTGCTTTAAGTGCTCGTGCCCTTTCGCATCTTTGTGCTCTCTCGCGGACCTCTTGGAGTCGTTTCGTTGCAGACTGGTGCCTCGTTTTCGCGGCGAGGAAGAGAACTCCTCCGAGAACTTCTCGGTGGAGTTGTTGGCGCTGTTTGTGCTGCCGGACGCTATGCCGGATGTGTCGGAAGTGTCCGGCTGATTACCGTCCAGGCAGTGCAGCAGGCTGTCGGAAAGCGTGTCATCGTCGTTCAGGATGTTCAAGTCGGATTCGGACTGTTCGAAGTCGCCCGTGCGCGACGTGAAGCTCAGGTCGACCGGGCTGGCCGTCAGGACGCTCCTCGACAGCAGGTACTCCCGAAACGTGCTCGTTATCGACACGGAGCTTTGCTGCGTTGTCGTAGTGCAGCATTTGGCGACGGAGAAGTTGTCGCAGCTGTGCCTCTCGGGCGTGTCGTTGCCGTCCGCATCGCGGCCTCCATGAGCGTCCTCCTTCGCAACGTGACACGGTGGTACGTGGTCCGCGCTGTTGTTGCACGTCTGAGATTCCTCCAGGATGGAAGTGTAGTTCGTTGCACCGAGCATGCCCAAATTCGATCCGCGCAAGGCGCCGTTGGCCACGTTGCATTGTTGGTTGCAACTGTTGGTCACGAGGTTGCAGAGGTTCGACGTTGAAACTATCATCACTGGTTTCCTAGAGCGCGGAGTCATCATGCTCTCCTGCAACGGATCGATCGGGGTGAGTGAGATAGAGTTGGTTTGGTCAGATTTCGATGAAGCTGAATAAGGGAAGTTCGGGAAGTTACTTTTTAACACATTCGTTATCGCATATGTGAAAGTAAACATTTTTTCCCTATGTTTGCATCAAAGAAAATCTGTTTTACACAATTACATTTTGTACAATTAATTTTTTAAATTGTACAATTAATTAGAAAAAAAAGTGATCTATGAGTAGAATTCTCCAAGTAAATTCTGGTACAATGAACGTGTTAAAAGTAACTCGTTGTCATTACCGTTACTCATCTTAAAAAAGTAATTCGTTACTGTTATTGCTCAAGAAATAACAAATCAGTCACAGTTTCTGTGAATTTTGATTGAATTTTCAATTTTGAATGAGAATTTCTTTCTCATCAAGTTTCGCAGACCTTCTTTTAATATTCGCTGGTATTTATTCTATACATACACGGTATAAACTATTCTCGCTGTTTACTTTACATTTTCATTTTTACTTTTTATTTGAGATTTTAATTTTCTTTATGAAAATTTGATAATTTTTCATTAACGGAAATGTCGAGGTGTAAACGGTTTTAGAGGTACAAACGTCGAGAAAGCGGGATTTCTAAGCTTCGGATGATCGAACGGATAACAGAATAATTTTCTTCAACCCATTTTAAATAAATTTCAACAGAATTTTGATTTGAAGCTTAGATATGTTGAAGACAAAGATATGTTGAAGACTGAGTGATCTCCCTCGAGATTTTTTCACCAACGGCAAATTGTCAAAAGTTCACAAAGGACAGCTCTATATATAAATAATGAGAGCGCGAAGGAGTTTACACTTTACATACGCACGCTACATGCAAAATGGGACGATTATGTTAGTTACAGTGATCCAAAAGCATGTAATTGCGTTACTGTTACCAACAAGAAAAAAAAGCACCGTTACATCAAACCATTACTAAATAAAATTCGTAACGGTAACGACGTCGCAAGTGACGTATCATCGAATCCCCGAATTCCACCACGTCCGACAACATAGACCTCACATACCTGCATCGCCTTCGACATCTTCGTCGCGCTCTGCGTGATCGGACTCATGCTTCGGTCGTCGTTGTTAGTAATAGGTGTTAACATGTAGTCGTTAGTAGCCAAACTGCGGCGCAGCAGACTCGACGGTGTCGACGTGTGGACGGCGTACACGTTCCTGAATCGGTTTCTCACGATCGGCGACAAATGCGCGCATGCACTCTCCGTACGCGGCTCGACGTTCGGGGCGACGCTCGACGCTTCCACGCTCGGCGTACGAGTCTCCGAAGGGGAGGACGCGTCGTCCTGTGCGTCCGATTGCGTGACGACGAACGGCAGCGCAGGCTCCGAGTTCGGTCGGGCCAATTCACCGCCGCTCGTCGTCGACGAGCGGTCGCAATGGTGAACGACACCATGAGAGGAGTACATATCGGCAGGCTCGCTAAGTTGCCGCGTCAATTTGCCGGCCTCGTGCGGACTATCGTCGCGACTAGTCACCGCATGCGCGATATCGCAAGGGGATCGTTCGTCGGGCGCACTCATCGTGTCGATCTCCTGCAGACTCGTACTCGAGTTGAGCTCCACCGGCGCCTTCAGTGAGCTAAACCGGTCACCGTCGAGATCAAGAGACGCTCCCTGCGATGCCTTCGAGCTCTGTTCCGCGATTTCCCCGAGGTCGTCTCCCTCGTCCGACTTTTCATGTCCGCTGACGGACCGATCGCACAATTTCCTCTTTGCTTTACAATTCAGAGTGTCGGAGGTTTTACAGCTACTTATATTGCTACTCGTATGTTTGGCACGCAGGGGATCGTTATTAGTCTTAATATCACAGTTCTCCACACTAAGCTCGTCGTTCGACTTGCTGAGAAGCGTTCTCGCCGGAAGCAATGAGTTTTCCAGTTTCTGTGCAATACATGCGAACAAGAATATTAGACAAGAACGGTCAACGTGCTGTTGTTAAAGACACATACACACAAATAATTAAACATGCAATGACATTTTCGTACAGTGGACAAGCGAAGATCAGAAGATTCATGCAGTTCTTCGTATCGGAAGTTAGTATCGTTAACACGTTGAATGCCGTGACAGTCATTGGTGATTATGATACTACTATTTCTCAACTGTATAATTATATGTAATTATGTAATTTTGTGTGTGTGTGTGTGTGTGTGAGATAATAAAATATATGAGATAAAAAATATTATATATATATTTTAATACAATTGTAATATAAATTAATTACAATTGAGAAATTAGTCAATAGAGAACTACTGAAAAGAAGCAAAAAATACATGCATCTCAAATTATATCAATTATCATACTCTGGTAATTCAATCTCAGTACAATGGAAATCAACACGGCAGTCAACGTGTTAATAAAATTTAGAATATTTTAAAAAATATACATATGTTTGTGTACATATTTTTGTTGACTATTTCATAGAAAACTATGGAGATAAATAAAGAGAATCTTATAAATCTCACCATTGATAATATATTCTCTTCACTGCTCGATCGGGAGATATTACATCTGACATTGATATCGACGAACTTCTTATGACCCAAAATCCTATTGTGAAAGATGTGCTTCTTTATGGAATCCCCGAGACTCTTAGTCTTGCAATGCTTTGCATGCCTGGGTGTACCCTGGCCGTTTTCCTTATTAAATTGTTTCACGAGTCTCCGCTTTTTCGCTGACTCTGGCATGGCTTGTATGTGAGCGTAGAGTTGGGCTAATGCCGCCTGTGTGTCCTGCGTAGAATTCGCTTTCGCCGTTAACTTACGATCAACGAAGCTGAACACAGTGTGAGCCGTCGAAGTGGTGTCTGGTATCGACTCGTTCAGCTGCAACCACAGTTTCCACATCACTGGAATGACCACAAGTGAGGATTAATTTCGGCGATTCTCGATCGCGAACTTACGTCGGTCTTCTTAGGGCTCAAGAGTTTTCTCTCTTGCTCCATCCAGTACGCTCTTATGTCCGTCGCCAATTTCGGCGGAATTTCAAACAACTCCATACCCTTTCTGATCATGAACGCCACCAGGCACGAGAGATTCTGCGAGTTGATGTGCAGGGCTTCCGGTGACAATTTACGCGGACACAGCAAGTGCGGTGTGAAGAGAGTGGCCAGTGTATCGCTGTTCATCTTGTTACTGTGCTCGTAACTTGCGGTTTTGTTCAGCAAAGTGAGGATGGCCTTTAACAGGATTCTGTTTATAGATGGCAGAAGCAGAAGAAGCAACTGCAAAGATCTCAACAGTCTCCCATCATTCGTCTTTGCATCGAGACTGCATAATTCTGTGGATAATTTACAAGTTGTTGATGAATATATTATTAACAATCTGTATAAGTATGTATGAAGTATATTCTACATACTTACGTTGACATATTGAAAATATTTCATACTTATATATTTATAAATTACATTATACAAGTATGTTCTTATTTTTTACCAGCTATCTGACAATGTGCCGGATAATGCAGATCTGTCAGAAGTGGTTCCGACAGCTCCGCCAGAAATCCTTTCAGCACTGATGCACAATCATGCACACTGAATCGTCCATCATCCAGATCCAGGGATAAGCTCTGAGACATAGCAATTTTCAAGTCCTGCTGCCTCGTTAACTTCCCAGTACGTCGAAATATGCCTTCTTGTATAATATCTGTATGCGAAGAAACGGAAGTTCAATTCAGATCCTTCTAAATCCTTCGATCCATACTTTTACTCACTTTCTTCCATAGACAAATAATTTATCAATTGCATCACGTGATTTATACCGTCCTCGGATAAAGTAACACCTTCCGTACCCTTCTCCAGACTGACTAAGGACTTGGATTTCTTGGTGAAACTCGGAAGACCCCACTTTTTCAGTCTTGCTTTTTCAGTGATGGCATCGTTGCTGTAACGAAAAGACGAACAATGAAATATGAAACAAGTACGATTGTGTGATGAGAGACAATGAGAAGTAAATAGAGACTGAATCAAGGAGGACGCCGTGTCGACAGTATGTTAAAACCGCGTTAAAAGGACGACGCGCGGACAAAGTGCCGGTACAAAGGAGACAGGACGTAACGTCGCGCTGTGGAGACTCACTCCTCTGTGTGGAGATCCAATTCGAAGGATAGATGCATCTTCACTAGGGTGTGGAATTGTTCAGGGTTCACCTTACGCATTCGGGATGCCAATTTGCCATCCACTCCATCATTGAAATCTGCCATTGTCGATTTCGCAGCGGCTGCGGCTCGCTTTGCGGCAATTTAAACGCGCTCCCACATATTGAATCCGACTCGGCAGTGATACCAAACGTAGGAATCGCGAGCAACCTCGCGACTCACGAATAACTAGGTTTCTCAAACATCGATGATTTTACCCATCCCTGATCCATTGTGACTATTGCAATATCGTTTCGAAATACGACGTCACAGTGTTGCTGGCGACACCAAAATAATTTCGGAACAGCAGTGATTGTGCACTATTCCGACGATCGCATTGCCAATAAAAAGGGAACGCACCTTCAGCATTTTGTTGGTACCTAAAAAGTACTAGAATTTCTAGTGATTTATAGTAACTTTGATATCCGGCCAACCTGTCCGAGATCTAAGCCTGTATTCTAAATTCTTATTAAATGTGGCTTCTTATGCCTGTTTCTATTTTGGTTTAAATTTAATCGACGAGATTAATTCAACGGAATTGCAAATCGCATTGACAATCAACCGTTCACTGCGATTGGTCAATTCCGTTAGTTAATCGTCGATTAGATTTCAACCACGATGGTAGGAACGGACATTAGCCAATCAGGTGGTTCCCAAGCCACTTTTGGAGACACTTTATCGATAAAAGAAAATTTAGATAATTCACCGGGTCCCGGTGTTCAAAGGGAGGGGCCGTTTTCTAGGAACGAAAGTGTCGTCACCTGGAGTTCCTAGGAAGCAACTTCTTCGAGGTCAGGGTGAATTCGATGTTACCCGACGCGCACCGTGCGGCACCGTTGGCAAAAACAGGAGACACCTGCAACGGTGTGTGCAAACGTGGAAGGGATAACATGGCTACCGCCTGACGTGACGTTTCGCTCGTCCGTCCGTCCGTCCGTCGCACGATATCATCAGATGCTCGGAAAAACATCTGGCTACCGTTTTTCAGCGACGTGCTGCTGCCGATAGTGTTCCGTCGTTCACACGAGGACTACCGCGTCGAAGAGAGAAAGGAAGAGAGAGAACCACTATCCGTGGGGGGACAAGCACGATGATGAACATGTGGAAAGTGCGGGAGCTGATGGATAAGGCGTAAGTTGATCCCGAGCGCGTATACTTCGACCTGACCGTGAGCGGGCGACGAGATAACCTCGTAACGGCCCTTTTTCCCCGGACCCGGGCACGTTTCGCCGCGTATCGCGCGCCGGATCGGGGATCACCTTTCGACGTGTGTCGCTTCCGCCTGAATACGTTGAGTTTCGCCGACGCCTTGACTCTCTGACCGAACGTTCTCATCGTGGGCAGGAACGAAGAGGTTCGGTTGAAGGATGCGACGGGGAAAATCTGGCCGATCGTGTTGTTTGTACTTGTGCACGCGAGGATATGCAGTCGTTGCCGATGCGAGAGCAGGTTCCGTGGTCGTGGCGAGCGTGAGAGGGAGGAGGGAGAGGGACTCGTAAAACTGGAACGGCGTGGATAATTTTATAGCGCGACCTTGAGATCCGACGCACACCGCGAGATGATAAAACTGTCTCCCGTGCTGTCGTGGGTTGAATTTTACAACGGCCGGATTAATTGCCGGGTTTACATCGATTCTATACTTCTGACGTCTTTTAGGCCTCTATTAGCAGTTATCAGCTGAAACTTTCGTCTCAAATGAGATATGAAGATTTGAATGTTTGAATTTGGAGTCAGATGTGTACTTTTCTGTGAAATCATTATTACTGATATGATGTGTGTCATGTGATTCAAGTGAAGGACTCAGATCTAAGTCTGTTCAAATTTGAGTATTTTTTACATGAGATAAGTTTCAAGTGACAGCTTATTAATATGATCCTTGATAAGTTGCAAGCTGTAAATTTTATAAAATGTATTATAAATACAATCTTATAAGTGTTCAATTTATATAATTAATTTGATTAAATATGTCTTATTAAGTAAGCTTACCGATTCGATTGAAAATCCCTTATAGATGTTCATTTATTCATTTTAACTTTGCAGGACCAATGTGGTGATGAACTATACAGAAACAGAAGCCAAGGTTCGGGAAGCAACTAATGATGATGCATGGGGTCCTACAGGTACGATTAATGTTAATTAATAGTGTATCAAGTTTCTGTATAATTTTCATTTATACATAAAAATTGGAAGATCTTCCACATAAATCAATTCCTTTAGATAGTTTTCATATAATAATCAAATCAAGATGATTGGCAAGTGAATACTTTATGAAACATACTTCATAGGGGCAATGATGCAAGAATTGGCTCAGGCCACATTCACGTACGAGCAATTTCCAGAGGTGATGTCCATGCTCTGGAAGAGGATGTTGCAAGAGAACAAACGAAATTGGCGACGAACATACAAGGTATGTTGGTGCCTTTGTAACTATACTATATATGAGTTGCACTGTCGTTCTTTTGAAATTAACCGCTCAAGCAGTGATGTTTGACGTCACGTTTCTTTATAGTCATTGCTCCTTCTTAATTATCTGGTGCGCAATGGTTCGGAACGGGTGGTCACTTCGTCGCGCGAGCACATTTACGATCTAAGATCCTTAGAGAATTACACCTTCATCGATGAATTCGGCAAGGACCAAGGTATAAACATCAGGCACAAAGTCAGAGAATTGATCGATTTTATTCAAGATGATGATAAGCTACGGGAAGAGAGGAAGAAAGCTAAGAAAAATAAAGACAAGTACGTCGGCTTGTCGAGCGAAGCAATGGGAATGAGATTCGGAGGGGGCGACAGGTGGATGGACAGTCCCAAGTGGAACAAGTCTAGCGTGGAAGCGTACAATGACTGGGACAGAGACACTCGTGGGAAGGGATTCGAGGACACGAACAACAGGTATACGCAGATGCAGTTCCTTCATTCTTTTATCTCGTAAAATGGAAGTACCGATCGCTAGGCATGCTCTTATATCCGGGTACATCCACTCACACGGAAACTTTACATTAATAATTTAAAATATTTTCTATCATAGTGTTAACTTTAATTTGGTGCAACGGTTTTTTATATATCAGTTAAAATATACACTTGTGTGTTACAACCAAATTATGTCAACTATGCGTCACTGACAGTTGTTCAAATCAATTGTAAGTTAATTCGAAAAAGTTATAGAGAAAGTTATACTAATTACTTTATATCAAATATATAGTATATTAAAATCTTCATAAATAAATTATTACAATTATTTCCATAGAATCATTATAAATAGTCGATAAATGATTTTATTAGGACAGCAATCGACAGCTCCGATATTGGATGTCTAGCAATCGGAACAAACATTTTAGGTTGTTGCGTTACTCATATTTTTTAGAGTTTTTATTCTTGAAATAATTTAGAGATTTTTAATACTTTTCAACGTTTCAGTAATGAATATCTATACTTCAACTTTCAATTCATTAATTGGGTCATTGAATATCCTGTATCTTTATAAAATTTCATTTTGATTCTGCGTCGTTAGGTGCCCGGCTATCAGAATGTTTATCTTCATTTTTATTCGCCGTATCTATTGTTTACCATTTAAACTTCAATGTCTTCGCGTTACAGTGACGACGGCGAGAGGGAGGATTCGGATAACGACACTAGTCCGAAGAAAGGTGGAAGGGAATATAGAGACACGATGGACAATATACATCAAATTGGTAAATCCACTCAAATATCTATACCTTCCGCGACTTCGTCCCCCGTCCGGACATCGAGACCTATTAAAAAGGTGGACCTCGGAGCGGCGGCCAATTACGGAAAAGAGCAATCCAATGTAAGTGTAGTCCCCTTGACTATAAAAATATTTAATAAAGAAAGAACCATTAAAGATCCTGTCGGATATTAAAGATATTATTTAATATTTTGCTCTTCTAATTGCACTAAATAAACCACGTAGGCCCCTTCTTCGTTAAATATTTTTAATTGGATATCTATAGATTCCTACGACTACTACGTTACACATTATGACGACATATGTGTTATCTTAAATTTGGAAACGAGTACATTCTTCGGTTCGCAGAACGGCACATCGACGCAACCAAGTAACAACCTGTCGTCGCCGATAAGTCAGCAGAAGACCAAAAACGACATACTGAACGAGATTTTCGAGTCACAGAGCGACAACAGCGGCAGGTTGGACGACGACGATTTCAACCCGAGGGCGAGCACCCAGTCCTACGTTCAGCCGCAGAACGCGAATCTGGAGTTTGGGGACTTCACCAGCGCGTTCAACAACAGCCCAGCGAATGCTAAGTCGAAGGATGGCAATAACGACGAATTCGCGGACTTTACGTCCGCCTTCAACACTATCACCATATCGAACCCTCCCAGTCAGCCGCAATCGCAAATCAGCTTGATGGGCGTGACGATACCGACGGGCGTGAACAGCCCGACGACGAATAACGCGAATGTCGCGAACACGATCTACTCCAACACGCAAACGGCGTTCACCGGCAGTGGCACGACTCCGCAAAATTCCAAAACGTCGAACGACCTGTTCGATTCTCTGTCGCCGCAGACTCTCAATAATCAAACAACGAATAATAATACAGGTATGACGATACTCATAAAGTAATTGCACAGCATTCTCGACACATCGAACGCCGTGGTGGTGTCTTATTGAGTTATATATCGAATATAATTACACGGGAAAAATGTATGCAAAATGTGGCAATTAGTCAATAGCGCCGTAATCAGTGGAGTAAATCTTGATTCAATAGCGACATTATTAAAACTCATATATCATATTTTGTTTCTCGATAACTCGAGTATTAGTTTCAATGATGTTGCTGTTGAAGATTTGCTCGAGGTTTACTCGCTGAATTACGGCACTGTTGACCAATTTTGAGTCCGTCAAATAAAAGTCTGAATATCTCCGATTTTCTATTGATTGCTCTAGTTTCTTATTTAATACAAAATTGCGGAAAAATGGAAATTTAAAATGTCGGGGAAAACTTGGAAAAGCCGGGGAGGATATAAAAAAACCTGGAATTTTGAACATCGTTCACAATTCTCTTAAGTGTTCTCGACTGTATTCTTTTTTCCTCTTACATACTCATTTATTTTTTCCTGGCCTGAATTTGTATTCAGGATTATATTATGTTATTAAACTTTTAAGTTTGTGTTGCTTCTAATAATGTAAGCTATTTTTCCTACAATTCTTGCTTCTAAATAGTAAAGTTTAAAATTACATATTGCTTGTGGAAAATTCTCCACTGTCGTCTGGAGAACATGAGAAAATCAGAGAATTTTAAAATTCATTTTCTATGGCAACTCTGTCAATTGTATAATTAATGGGGTTAATGAAAGTATAATATATGTAATTTTATATTGTTCTCTTTAACATCATGAAATATGAGTTTTCTTTGTCGAATCACTTGAATTATTTTTACACAAAATAATAAATGAAAATCAGCGTGGCAGTCAATTTTATTAACTGAAGCGTGTTTGAATTGCTTCGAGAACCATCAGTGACATCATAGCACTACCGAGAATTACTGCACTGTCATTTTCTACTAAATTATCTCAATTTCGACGTTACATGTAAACGATGGCGCATTAAACTACGATACGTTTTTTATCATATTTCTTGCATCGTATATTGTTTACACGCATCGCTGAAATGAAAATAATTTAGTAGAGCTACTAATTCATTCGTGTATTAAACAGTCATTGTGAACGTGTTACAAAGTCTTATTTACACGGATCATTTGATACGTGCACGAATAGTAATTTTCTATTACCCCAATTTCAACGATACATTAAACGACAGCGTACTAAGTTGGCGATATAACACCAATTAAGAAAACATATCATATTAATTTAAGACTCCTAGATACTCTGGCTGTCCTTTGATGATGTAAAATTAACGAAAATCATGAGGAAAAATAGATTAAAAACGTAAATTGCATACACTAATTTACGGCTATTTATTAATTGTTCGAGTTAAAGGAAAACGTCCGGACATTTTTACAAGTGTGCTGAATCGATCACGAGTATTACTTTGTGCGTATATTCTTTTATTTCCACATGTACCGTTACGTAAATTGGCATAATTTTCCTCGTTTCTGACGTCATCAAAGAAGAACAGCCATAGCGAGTATTTAGCAGCCTTATATTGTTTACACGCGTCATTAAAATTAAAATAATTCAGAATAAAATTGTTAAAGTCGATTTTATTTACACCGTTTAATAAGCGTATCAACTAATGATTCGCACGAAATTATCTTATTGCTTGTTTACATCGATTGTTTGATATGTGTAGCAAACAGTAATTTTCTATTAAATTACCTTAATTTCGATAACGTATGTAAACGATAGCATATTAAGCTGATACAGTACACATCGAAAAGAAAAGATATACCAATTTAATACACTATTCTTTATATGTTTCACCGAAATAAATTTAATAAAAAATTACTAGTTGTAAATGATCGATGTAAACAAGGCTAGAATATCGGAATATCGATACGTATAAACAATAACCTATTGAATTGATGTGACTTTGGTATATTAGTTCGTACGTGTATTAAACGATTAGTGTAACGCATTAATACCTGTTTCTACTGTCATAGTTTAAATTTAATCGACGATTACCAATCGCATTGGCCAATGGCTGAACCGATCGATGCGATTGGTCAATTCCGTTGAGTTAATCGTCGATTAAATTTAAACCATGATGGTAGAAGCGGGAAACACAAGTTAACAATGTAAGTACAATGTAACGTATGTAATTTGCATCGTTGCTTTTTAGTACCCTCAAATACGGATCTCTTGTCGGATCTGGATGGTTTGAATACTCCAACCATGAGGCTAACCGACGGACGAGTAAATAGCCCTAACAATTCCAACATCTTCATGGGAATGAGTAACGCGCCTTCCAACACCGTTAATTATACAGGTGAGTGTGTGGGCGATTGCAAAGAATTCATTTCTCCTACCACAGTGAGTTGATGATATTTCGTTGGTTATAGTTATGAGTTGATGCGTGTCATGTATAAATATACACACATACACATGCGCGCGCACATATGTACCAGACTTGCGTAATACAACGTGGTCCATTGTTCCCTTGTCATTTTTAAATTAAGGCGAACTTGAAAGAATATCGACGCTGTTTCATCCTGCACAACGAAGTGACGCAGGCCCTGTTGTATTAAGACAATATGATTTCCGAGCTATTTTAATGCAACCAGCCCGACACCTTGGAAGGAAATTTTTATACTGATCACACTTGTTCATTATAATAATTAAATATCATTAAGTCGGAAGAACGAAATTTACGGTTGAGTTGAATCTCAAGGCGAATTTATCACATTGCATATAAATTCTACGGCTTCCAAAATTGTATATTTCTACAACTATAAAGTTCCGATCCTCTATTTTATAAAACTTAACACTCATAAAAATCTATTATTATCATTATTAGTATTAAATAAAAAGGAGTTAGTTATTATTATTTAATACTTATTTTATTTTATTATCAACAAAGAAAGCGAGTTTTGATTTGATTTTCATTTTGTTTTATTCAATAAGCATTATTTTTTAATGCTTAAATATTATTATGTTAATATTTAACAAGTATTATATATACATGTAAAATCTGTTATTATCAGTGCTGGAGAGAGTATTTAAGGAATATTATTTAATACTTGACTATTAAATAAGTATTACTTCAATATTTAAACACTATTATATAATAGTATTTAATAAGTATTATATAGATAAAATCTGCTATATTTTATAAAAGATTCTATGACACGTATAATTGAAGATCGAAGGAATATACATTGGCCTTTCTCTTCCAAGGTGTCGAGTTACCTCGGAACTGTCCCCCCTCCGAGGAATGTAGTCTCCTGTGAAATGAGCCCTCCCTTTCGAGATCGATGATGCATATGTATCTCTAAGCGGGGAGAACTTTTGAAACCCTAAAATTACACCTTCTCGATTAGAAGCTAATGTAATCCGCCAAAGATGAGCCTTTCCTTGCAGCTGGTAAGGCCGAAGAGAACGCCGCGGCGGATGAGTTTAATGCCGGCTCATTGTTGGAAGTATTACGCGCCGTGCGCCGCATTAAGAGCCGCGGCGACTTGGAGCGAATACGATCGGCCCTGTCGGAGTACGTGGCGCACTTGCCGGACACCGTTACTCGTGAGAGATACATGAGCGTCGATGAGGGTGCGCGTGTGAACGTCGTGACGTACGGGAGAATTTTAGAGGCAACGATCGACAAGTTCGATCGCGACTGGCCGTTACAGCAGGACGACGACTCGCTGGATCCTTTGATCAGTCAGTTAGCGGCCGTCGAGGGCGCCACGATGCCGATATTGTCCGAGTCCCTGAGACTCTTGAGCGTCGCTCTGAGCGAATCCGAGGACGGGAGGAAGACTCGTGCGATTTCGGAGATACTGCAGGCTCTGCTGAAGAGCGACGCGATCTACTCGGCGATCGTGGACACCTGTCGCGCTGGAGGTGCCCAGTCCCGCCCGCTGGAGGTGGAGCTGGACGCGGCCTGGCGGCGCGTTACGCAGATCCTGATGTCCTTGCCGAGTCGCGTGGCCAACAAGACGCAGCTCGACACGCCGAGGCTGTTCACGCCGCAGGTCTACGTCAGGGTACTCTGCTACCACGTGTGCCGCGCGATGTACTTGGTCAACGAGGGCTGGCACATCCAGCACGTCAAGCCGAAAACAGCGGTACTTTCGTCGCTGATCAGCAGGATCCTGATCACCTCGAAGCCGAGCTACGACCTGACTTTGCTCGTCGACATTTTCAAGACGTGGTGCCAGAGTCCGCACGCAGGGGCGCACCACCTGGTGCGCAGTGTGCTCCGCGAATTGGACGCCACGGCTGTCGAGCACGCGGCCACGTTGTTCTTGAAACACTGCGAGTCCGGTGTGCTGCCTGTCTTCGGAGACGTGCTGACCGCGCCGCACTGGAAGTACGTGCTGACGTCCAAGATCCCTTTCATGCGCTACTATACGGACGAGAAACTGCTCTTAAACTTGATCTCCTATCTCTCGTCTTTCGGAGATACGGACAAGGAGGACGAGGACGTTTTGCCGGGATTACTGCTGAAGCTTGTCGACGTCTGGGGTGATAGCAGTATCCTGAATCACACGCCCGTGGAACAGCACGAGTACATTTCACGGCTGATCATCCTATCCATGAGGTCGTGCGAGCATCGTTTGAAGCAAGACGCGCGGCAGCAGTGCCGGAAGTCTCTGCTCGCCGGGGTGTCCGTGCATCTGGAGTGCACAGACGTCTACGTGAGAGCTATGGGCATGATCACCGCCGAGGTGTGCATCAACTACCTGTCCGAACGCGAAGCGCCAAAATTGGCGTTCGACTACGAGAACATGCCCGAGCGAGTGCGACTGTTGATCGAGTCGCTGAAACATCTGCGTACGCAACCGAGCGGCGACACGACCGCGGTCGAAGTCAAGCTTTCGACCGTCGAAGAGAAGATAAACGAATTGGTCGTCGATCTCCTGCCGATTCTCCCGGTCAGCAGCAGGAAGAAAGATAGCGTGAGTTTAACGGAGGACGATCTCGCGAGGAAGGAGAAGCGGGACGCGACGTCGAGCACACGAGACGACGCGAAGATGAGTTGCCGAGAGGACAAGAATCTGGACAGCGACGACAACAGTCTGGACAGCGACGATGACCTGATGCCTTACGACATGGACGAGGAGCGGGATAAGCCGGTGAACAAAGCGCGGCCGATGTACCTGCGCGATCTGCGCGATAACCTGACGGACGAGCGCACCGCCGCCGACCCCGAGGTCTTCTCCGAATCTATGTCGGTCTGCGAGAAGCTCATACGGACGCAGCTGCCGTACGACGACGCGTCCTTCGCGCTCGAGCTGCTGGAGCTACTCCTCACACTCAGACAGCAGTCCTGCATGGAGGACTTCGAGCTCGTGGTGTTCCGCTGTTGCGTGGAGATCGCGATCGTGCGGCCGAAGGAGTGCGCCGAGTTCCTGTGCGAACAATTCTACGAGGAGCCCGGCAAGTACTCGTTGAGCCAGCGCTTGTTGTTCCTCGACGTGCTAGCCGAGTCCGCGAAACGCTTGTCGGACACCAGGCAGGACGAAGCGGCCGACACGGAGAACACCAAGCCGGTGAAGCGGAGGAGACCCGTTCCGTCGAGTCCTGTGTCGATCTTCATCGACACGACGAAGCCGCGCAGGACGCAGGAACTGTGCTACGACGAAGACCTGGAGAACCTGCGCGAGATTACCGCGCCGGAGACTCGACTTGCCGACTGGCGGGAGGTCATCGACAGCAGGATCGAGTCGCGTACGAAGCGATTCGCGCATAAGGTCAAGGCGGTCAAGAAAAGCGCGAATCGTTTCGCGAACGTCGTCCCGTCGTTCTTTTATCCGCTTCTTTACGGCTTCGGCCGGCGACAGGAATCCGGCCAGCTGCAGGGTTTGAGGATCTACGCGGATCAGGAGAACATCCTGCTGCTGCGCTACCTGAAGACACTGGCCGTGATCATGCGCGCCGCCGAGAACTGCCCGTCGGCCTTGAAGATGGGCAAGGAAGTCTTGGAGCTCACGTGGACGTTGAGGAACCACAACGAGGCGAACGCAAGGTTCGCCGTCGTCGAGTGTATCGCGTCCGTCTTGGTGTCGTTGCCGAAGGACAGCATCGTCGTCGAGCTGTTGGACATGCTGTTGGAGATCAGGGAGTGGCTGCTGCTGACACAGAACGTCATCTACGGCGAGCATGATGCCAAGTGCAGAGAGCTGAATGCCACGGTGATGAACTACGTCGACGCGATCATCAGCTCCGCCCTCAACGGTTGAACTCGCGCGCAGAGATTGCGAGAATCCGCGTGGGAAACGGAAAGGACAGCAACGAGAATTGAATTGAAAACGAGAGAGATCGTCGGTCGCGGAATCCGAGCGGTCTGCTTTTTCCAGCGAACAAAAGGAATCCTTCGATGTGTTAAATAGTTGTCTTTTAAGTTTTTTTTTTTTTTTTATGTAGCCACATAGAGAGACATTGCCTGACGCAACGCGTACATCCGTTCATGTACAGGTGGAGCCTGAACTGTCAGGCGATTTTGCCAGGTGGGATTTCTGGATGATGATTCACACACGTGATTTCTAGAAATGTGCCAATCAAAACACGGTATTTCTGGCAATCCAGCACCAAAACAAACATCGCAAGTTTTATATCCATATGACATCGTGTGAACTTTTCACTACGTGAATTATGATCCAGAAATCCCACAATTAGAGGTATTAATTAATTAGAGAAAAATTAATGAACGAGTGCACACCATGTGATGGGACGAACTCTTTAGGCAAAGTCTCGTTCAGGATGTCTGAATCCGTCGACGATTTCCTGGTAACGACAAGTCTTATAATTTGAAAACTCCCGGTCTTTCGGTGTAATCTACTTGTTTGATGACGTCTGAAGCGAAAAAACGTACGCCCAAAATTCTTGCGAAATACGTTGAAATAAATACGGATATATCTGTAAAATGATACATTTGCGATCGATTGAGAGATACATTTGTAAAATATTCCGGGAACTTTTCCTTTCTGCTCTAACAATCGATAATTAACTGTAAAATTAACGTGATATGCAACCTTTTGCTTATTTTTCCTCGTGATTTTGTCACGTTAACTTTACGGCTGTTCGTTGATTGTTAAGATAAAAGGAAAGTTTACAGAATATCTTACAAATGTTCTCAATCGATCACAAGTATCATTTTGTGGACGTATCTTTTTATTTTAACGTACTCCGCAAGAATTTTGGGCGCGCGTTTTCTCGCTTCTGGGGCGTCATTAAACAAGATAGTCATGGCGAGGAAACAGGAGAGCCTCAAGCGTTTCCAGTTGTATCTATTTTTACTGTTCAGTTGTCTCCTCTTGGATAAGATATTATCTAAAAAACTCATCCTGCTGCGGTATTCGCGCCTTTATTCGCTAGTTCTAGACTGGTTCTTTTTAATTTATCCTAATTATTTGCAAAATGGTGAGTGACTATTTTTCAGTTTGATGAGTTCTGCCTGCATAAGAGCGGATCTGCACGTTGTGTCAGACACTCTGTATATCTAGTGTAGTGTAACATATAATTGTAATGTGTTCTATATTACAAATAATGTATAAAGGTTGTTATATACGAATAAAATGAATGTACTTGTGCAATTTCTATTAGGTTGATTCAAAAGTCTTCTTCTATAAACACTGAACAAATGTTGGTGTGAACAAGGCGTTTTTCAGGTAGAAATATGCCGACAAATAATAATGCGCTTATGGAGAAAGATTTCTTAATCAACTTGATAATAAATCAGTACATAATATATAATTAAAGCGCTCGACGTTTACATTGCATGAAAGAATTATCTTGGTCATCGTCGCGTTTTCCAATTTTGCAATGTTTTCGTCATTGAAAATGAAGTCTCGCTCGCAATAAAGGTTACTTCAAGACAATCGAGGCATCGAGTTTTTGGCGCTTCACACTTGTCCAGGTGGTGATTTCACATATATGTATATGTATATATGTAGTAGGAATAACATAATTTTAATATTTTTTTAATTAAGTCACCTAATGCACGTTAAGAATTCAAGTTTAATGTCGTGTTTAGGAACGATCGGTTTGTCCCCTGTTACGAATCTTCTCTCATCCGGGCCCGTCAACGCCAAAAGTCAAACATCTAGCAATACAACGTCCTCCACGCAAGTCGGCTCGACCTGGGCCGGCTCGGGACTGAATATCGACCTCGATAACATAATGGGTAGTAAAACGAAACAAATCGGTCCGGCACCGACGATGAACCAATTAGCCAGCAATAGTCCTCAGCATCAGATGAAAATTACGCGTGAGTAAATGCCTCACCATCCACTCCCTATCATTGGTATCCTTACGTGAAAGAATGTTAATACTAATCTTTTCTTTTAACAAGTGGAATGAGACGTAATATTCGATCAAAATGCTAAAAAAGAGAAAAAGAAAAGACTAATAAAACAGCCTGTGCATGGGTGATGTAACAAACTGAAGAAACTTTTCGTTAAATTAAATAGACAATTATGTCCAGACATTTTTTTAGATTAGTCATCGTCTATATATGATGCAATAAGCTAAAGCAACTTGTTCTTTAAATTAAACAAACATAATTGTACACAGGTCTCTTTTCAGTTCTTTTTTCTTTTCTTTCTTTTTTTTTTTAGAAGATGCTCATTGTCTATACATGTTGTAACTCATGACTGTATTGCTCGCAGCGCCAGCAATGGGATACATGTCGCCGACAGTACAGCCCTTACCGCAGAACCAGCAACAGCAGCCCAACGCGGCGTTCTTTCCCGCATTTCAATAAGGATCGTACTGCATAGTCAAGTCGTGGAGCCGGGACGGTCCTCGACGAAACGCGTGGCACAATATACCAAAATTCAAGCTTCTCACGCGCGGAGTTTCCTACAGAATACGTTTTATCTTTTCATTGATTCGAAGAAAACAAGAAATCATGGATCTTTTATATTCTCCCGCTAACTCCGGGCTGACTTACTCCAATTTATACAGGGTTCAATGTTAAATCTATCTATCGAGATCAAGTATTTTCTACCGTCGCGGACATACCCTATAGGCGGTGACGTGATTTAGGAAGCGCGGCGCAGTAGAACGATCGATTGCCCGGGACAATTTCGTCCGGAACGAAATGTCGAGCCAGTTTTTGACCGAGCGATTCGAAACGAGGACGACGAGAGAGAGTTTCCTTCGGAGACGGACTCAATCTTTGCATTTGGAAATACACGAGTTTCACGGAATCGAAACGAAACCGAGAAATCGGGGGCCTATGTTTAATATTGATTAAAAGAAAAATATATATATTTATGATTATATATGTTATAATATAATTTTATATAAAATGATATCAGTTTCTCGGGATTCTGTATTTATATGAAATCGATTTATTCTCCTTAGTTTGATAAATCTTACGATCGATGCGCGGTCGATCGACGTTTTACTGTGCCGCAAACACATGTGTTCAAGAGCAATTCGACGCGCAGGACAGATCGAAGCATTTGTCGGTGTTTTGTAATCCTTATCAATATATATGTAAGAGCCGCAACTTGGTGCGAGATAGTTCTTAACTCTTTGAATACCGGCTCTTCTTCTTTTCGAGGCAGGATATGTGTGATCTCTGTAAATATAGTCGTTCTCCATTTGTAGAAATGCTGGGAAAAACGTGGTGTTAACGATGGACGGTGGAGGGGGAAGGAATCGAGACATCTTGATAAGGGAAGTCTCTCTGGTTAAGTTCGTCTAGCTCGCTTTTTCGCTAAAAGCTCTCATATTTGCTGCTGAATCATCGTTCACTAGTATTTCGAAACGTCTTTGCAAAGCAGCGACACGTCGTAATTCCAAAGCGAACGCCTCGTCATTTCTCGAAGTTACTTTCTCAAAAGAGATAGAGAGAGCAACGAGAGTGTGAGCGCTTTCAGCTGAGACAAATGTGATATTATTAGTCACGAATGGAATCAGTTGAGAGTTGAGAGAATATTTGAGTAAATATAAGACGTGGTAGAAACTTAACGTCACAAGTATTTCTACAATAACCCTTTAAGACCCGAGACATTTTTACTTGGAAACTTTGTATAAGTATTGTTTTCCTTTCAAAACTACCTTTGCGAAAAATCATAAAAAGTACTTGGGTTTATATGTGGAAATCCAGAAATCTACCATCACAGTTGGATGGTTGGGCATCTAGTGAGTCACACGTAAGATACAATGTTCGACCATCACAATTGTGGGGGCTTAAAGGGATAATCGATCCGGGTTAATTTATTGCTACGGTTAATTCAACTGTAGAATATGATCTATATATCCGTCGATATAAAATGATCATTTATATATATATATATATATATAAACGATCTTTATATATATATAAAGATATTTTATAAGAAACGTTTCGAAAGGAACGTTATATATATACGAATTTTTTTATACGAATTTATCGTATTCATTGTTTTAATGTGAAATTTATATTTTGTTATAAGACCAGTATTGGTTCTTACTTGTTCAATTCTCTTTTTGTTTCATCTTATCGACGAATATTGGAGCCTTTTTAATTAAAAATATTTTTGTTATATTTTCTATTACATTTTTGCACACCGACGTATCGTTTGTCTCACAGCTAATTTCCTGAATAATCAGGTTGCAAAAACGCTATATTTGAGCGTCAGCACTCGTATCGCGAAAACGAGCTAGACGAAGTTAGTTTCAGTGTGCGTCCATTAAGCTGGTGGAAAGAAATAATTCGTTCGTCTCAATTATTTTCCCAGATAGATAGAAAGCAAGATTCATATTTGGTTTCTCGACGTTCAAAGAGTTAAAAATTCGAGATAAAAACAGTATGTGAGGAACAGAGCGAGAGAGGAGAAAGCGTGACAAATACAAATAATATAACAATAATGATGAACCACACGTACACTATCGTCGGATAATTTTTTTAAAGAACACCAACCAGAGAAAACCAAAAGGATTTCACGAGGAAACGTCGAATTCACCCTTGCGGATGAGTTACTTAATGTTCTATCATTGGGTGTTTCGTGCCCGTCGGGTAGGCGGATAGGCAGCTTAATCGCGGAACACCCTTCGCATTAATCTGCACGTGTAAAAAGTATGTTAATAGATTTAACGCAATAATAACGTCGCCATCAATTTGATATCAGGGAGTTGCGCGGAGCCAAAGTCGAGGCCGCGTTCCGAAATTTTTCCGACATTAGTGTGTATATATATATATATATATATATATATATGTATATATATACACACACATATATAGGAACATAGAAATCAATCATTTTTCTGAATTAGAGGCAGCTTGATACTTTGGTAGTCTGAGGGTAACGACTATTGAGGGCGTCGAGGGAACCACAAAGACGACGATGCGAGAGAAGCAGCGTGTACGACATTCCTCGTGTAAACACATGTCACTTGTTGTACAGTAGTACGCGTCACTTCGCACGTCCGTCACGCGAGAGCGTCGGTCACGCATAGCAATTATCCGTTCCGAAATGTGCGAACGGCGGCTGAATGGCTCTCGCGCGATGGACCTTCCCACTCACCACACTACCTGTTGCGAGTTATTTGCGGGAGCAAATTTGGCAGGAATTATCGTTGTGTGTATTTTATACATGATGTACATTAGAGTCCTCGGATTAAGAATCGGGATTATGCCTTATTATTAGAGACAATGTATTGTATAAAAGTATATACATATACTGTGACGGAGAGAAGGGAGAGAGAGAAAAAGAGAAAGAGAGAGAGAGAGAGAGAGAGAGAGAGAGAGAGGAAAGACTCCGTAGAATGTAATCTAATTGACCGCATCGGGAGAACTCACACTCTCTTATCGCGTGTGTACATTTTGCCTGTGTGCGCGGATAGACGAGTGAAAGTTGATGCTTTTTTTTAATGAAATCTCAGACTACAGACAATATAATTGCGGTAGTCTTAAATATGATGCGGTAAGATGTCGCAATGACGTAACAATGGCAGCAGCGGAGCATAAAAGTTGTATGAGAGAAAGAAAGAAAGAGAGAGAGAGAGAGAGAGAGAGAGAGAGAGAGAGAGAGAGAGAGAGAGAGAGAGAGAGNGAGAGAGAGAGAGAGAGAGAGAGGGAATGGGTTGTCAATGGATATTATAAATAAGTGCTTCCCTCTTATAATTACTATAGCAGGAAAAGAACTACTACTATTATTATTGCTATTATTATTGTTATTACTATGATTATGTATTATCATTATTATAATTATTACGTTATTATTCACACCCTTTAATAGGAAGGGATGTAGATGAAACGGTATTTTTAGCATTTATTTTATAAAGTCGTGTATACGTATCTATTATACACGGAATTGGCGCGGCATGAGAAGCGCTTCTCTCCTGCTCGATCGAACATCACTTGTAAACCGTTTATGGATTCGCTGTTGATCTGTGTAAAACTAAAATTACACGCAAATTATACGCGCGTAGATTAAAAATGAGGGAAATTAATCTTTATACGATATTCCGCAATTAACCGAGCGGCGGAACGAGAGAGGAAGAGAGAGAGGGGGAGAGCGCACGAAAAAGATCATTAGCATTCGATTATATTTTCCTAACAACGAAACACACACACACACACACACACACACACACACACAACCCATATACAATGCATATCTTTCGACGTAAATATATTACGGAATTATTGTCGGATCATAATTGTAAGCGATAATTAATACGAAATATTATTACAGTTAGAAGCATAATTATGTTTACGCTCATCACGTTAGAAAAAGAAGGAGAGATAATTGTTATTTTTCATGATCTTTAGTTTATTTTTGCTGTAAGTGCGAATATGATATTGAGATATTTCAAGAGTTACTCATCACGGAAATATTATTAGTAGTTTCCTCATTATACGATGAAATTCACATCACCAAAATAATTATTTATATGTACATATACGTATATTGAAGAAAAAAAAAAGAAAAGTGGAAAGGATACATATTTACCTTTATCGCTTTTTCACAGCAATACACGGACGGAAAGTTACACGAGAAATTTAGTGCGGATGCGAAATGTCGTTTCGAGTTCGGCGAAATTAAACGTTATACACAAGACACAACACACACTGTGTAAGAGAGGAGTGGTTTTTAATATTTGTCTCGGTATGAAATTAGACGGATTAGCGTTATTATTGTTATTATTATTATTATTATTATAAGATCAGATGAGTTTGAATCAATTTTTTGAAAAAGCAATTGATTATAATAGAAATCATTCTGTTGTTACGTGGAGTGAAGAAAAAAAATAAGTTTTGAATAACGTTACCAAATTGTGTTTATATATGTTACTGTGCTAAAGTTGGCTCAAAGAGAGACAAACAGAAAGAAGAAGAAGAAGAAGAAGATCGTAAAGGCCAGAGGGGGGAGAGCCTTCATTCGCGAAATGTGTAACAGAGACTGAATTACGTAGAGGCCAATGCACAGATTGCCCTTTACACTTTCCATTATTTCAGCATTTTATATGAGACGGTGACGTTCGACACATATATAGGCAGGGATATATTTTTCAAATGCGAATGATATATTGTACAAATGCTAAGAAAGAGAGAAAGACAGAGAAAGCGAGGGAGAAAGAGGGAGAAGATTTTAGTCAATTCAATGCGTAGGAGAATCGTCATCATTGATTAATATTACAGAGTTATTAATTGCGGAAGGTGTATGTACAGTTTAGTATGTTATAAAAGAACCCACTGTAAGATACGAGCGGATACACGAGAGACTCGCGAGGTCTCGCGACTCGTAGAAAAAATGATCGTACCTTCCCCTATACTATAGCTCGCGCGGCTTTTGCGATCCAATTGCGCGGCACGAATTAGTGTCTTTTGTTTTTTTTTGTAATCCACATCACACGTTGTGTTATTTACGCGCGATAATATTGTTTACGGTACGCTTCCGGAATTCGTTTGTGACACTTGAGAAGTATCCGATCAACAGAGCGAATAATAGCGTACGACTCTGTACGAATCTTGTGACGAATTTGCCGACTGATTCCCGTACGATATTAGATTAATTAAATTAGATTAATTTGAAGAAAGGGGATTGTGAGACAAGGTAGCGATTGTGAACGATTATTGCGTGAGATTGAAAACACGGAACATTCATCGGACAATAACGTGTGCCTTTGATCACACAATTGTCCTTCCATTGAGTGTTTTTCTTTTTTATCTTGTACAAAATAATCGAGCTATTTTGAATCTCACAAACCTGTTTTCTCTACATTGGCTATATATCAGAGGTTGTATATCAATTTCGTAAGAATTGAGTTTAGATTAGACTAAATTAGGAGATAGATTATTAAATAAAAAAAAAAATATATATATATATTATACATAATTTGTTATTTTACGATATTGGAAAATGAGATATTAGGAAACAAAATTCAAGTGGAAAATTTGCAAATGATGACAAAGGATCCTTAATGAATGTCTCATTACGTAATTGATAATTGAAGTTTTCACGCGTACTGCTACATATCAATATTAATCGCGCGTATACAATATACATGTACATATAATCCAAGATACGATGTAACCGTTCGATTTCGTAAGGAATTTGTATTACGCATCAACGAACAATTATTAGTCCTCCAACATCAATCATGGCAGTGATAACGAGCTGCTTATAATATTTATATGCAGCCCGATACTGTCGATTCTTAATCGAAACTTCACTTAGAGACCGAAAATCGTTTTATTGTAATTATTGTTTAGATATTTATATCTACTTTACAGACTTATCGTTATTAAATGCTAATTGGTGCTGGTGTTAACACTGATTGTTGCATCCTTTTCATTTGTACATCTGTTGTTGTATAATTACCTTTCTCCACTTTATTCCTTTTTATGGCTCGGACAAAATCTCGAGAAAACGATGGAATAATGTACGGAAGAATATTTCCATGAAAGAAAAGAACTGCGCGATTTCAAAGAGAACTTGATCGCTCTCTTTTCTTTGTTTTCGACTGACGGTTATTCTGTCTCATTTCGCAACAACTTTCGCGATTTCTTCAGAGTATACGAGCATGCTCGAATAAACTACACACTCATTATGGTAGGATGTATTTTGAGGTTTTTTTATTATTCCGTGTAACATTCTCATTTCATCAGAGCGTGCACCACAGCTTTGGCGTTCAGTGACTTCAGATCCGTGTACGTCTGACCGGTCCCGACGAAGACGATGGGTTGACCGGTGATGTAAGTCATCGTGATCGCCGCACCGACCTGTGTGTATAAAATAATAATGTATCCATCGCGTTCGAACCAAAGGGGGGGGGGGGGGGAATAATTTTCTAGCATCTTAATTACAGAAGCACCTCGATTGGTATTATTACTAAGTTGGTGCAAATGAAGTGGCCGTTTATAAATATAAAGTTGAAACATATATTTTTTAAATTTAAAACTTACATAACTAATCAAAATAGTTTCCATCTACTTCGATATACTTCTGCCAACGTAATCTAAGTGCATTAATGCCCTTTCTAAAAAAATCTGGAGAACGTGAATCGAGAAACTCTTTAAATGCTTTTTTCACACTTCTTTATTGAAATTTTTGCCTGTCAAAAACGCATCCAGATACTTGAAAAGATGATAATCTGTTAGTGAGATGTCTGAAGAATAGAGAGGGTGAGGGAGAACTTCAATGTTCAACTCGGTGAGTTTTTGAACGGTTTGTTTTGCGATGTGTGGTCTAGCGTTATCGTGCAACAGCAACACGCCGTGTCTGTTGACCTATGCTGGCTGTTGAGCGCACAGTTTTTAGTGCATGGTGGCAATTTCTTTACAGTACTTATCAGAATTTATAGCCTCACCTTGTTTGGTAAAAGAATAGTGAACTTTTGCTAGACCACCATACAGACACCATAATTTTCTTGGGGTGAAAATTCGGTTTTAGAATGTGTTTCGGAGCTTCATTCCCATCTAACTACTGCGCAGAACGTCGGCGGCTGTCGTACAAAATCCACTTTTCATCACAAGTCACAATCCTGTGTGAAATTCCATCTGTATTCTGTCGCAACCGCAAAAAAGTGTAGATCTCCAAACATCTCAATTTGTCTCTCTCTGTAATTTCATGGGGGACTTATTTATCCAACTTTTTCACTTTTCCCAACTTGTTAAAATATCGGACGACAGTTGGATGATCAACTTTGAATCTTTTGGCAATCTCTCGGACTGTTAACCTCGGATCTGCTTCAACCATCTTCTTCAAAACAACGTCATTAATGACGGAAGGTGCGTAGCTGAGAGGCAAATTGTCGAGGTTTGAGTCCCCAGAACGAAATTTTTCAAACCAACGCCTCGTCGTTCTTTCACTTACAGTACTTTCACCAAATGCAGTATTAATGTTACGCGTTGCCTTGGCTGCAGTATGACCAAGTTTGAACTCGTACAAATAAATTATACGAATTTCTTTATTTTCCATCACGGCGTTAATGCAAACTTCTATGACTAACAGTACAATATAGAAATAAGGTTGTGTGCACTAAATCACGTGTGGACCATGTACTTTACACACAGTATACATACATTGTCCTTTATACGAAAGAAAAGTAATGTATAGGAGTGAGAAATTAAAAATACTGAAAATAGCCAGTTCATTTGCACCAACCTAATAATTAGCTGCCAAATACAAGTTATCTTTCACAGCTGATGTGTAAGAAAAATTTTTTGCATTATATGTTAACATGCGAGTTAACATGTATAGGTTTCTTGTGTGAGTTTTGCTAAATAATAAATATAATTAATTAGCATATTAAGAAATATAGAAAACACATTGATTTCAAAATGGCATCAAGAATACAAAGTATAGGTATGGTTCAATTAAGTTATTTAGTAATATATTTCTAGTATGCTGTAATGTCCCAGATTTCTTCCTCAAACAAAAATAAATTTTAGAAATAAAAGAAAAATGTTATTTATTTACAATAATGTCTTCTTGTTAATAATATTCAAAGGAAAATATTCAATAATATTCAATTTAAAGAAAACACAGCCAGAGTTGTAGTTATGATGATCATTATCTGCTTTCCTGATAAAAGTATTTTAAAGATAAGATCACAACTTTTCACTTCGTGAACATTGTGTCGTCAGAGTTATTATTACTCTCTATTTTCTTTTATTTTTTTTTTGTTAAAAAAACTAGTTACTGAACGTGAGCTATTGTGATCTAATTTCGTTTTAATGAGTTCATGTCGCGTAAGAAAAAAAAAAAAAATGAAAAAAGTGAATTTTTTCTTAAAAGTATGAAAATATAAGATGTCTTTAAATAAGTGAAGAAAATCGCTCCCATATCTGCAAAGTATCTGAATGTTACTGTGGCAATTAATGGCTGTGTTCAATTCATAAATCTAATTGGTGTATATCTTTAGATTCGAAAACTTCTGAATTAACGAAATATAATAACAACAACAAAATAAAAAGCGACAATAATACAAAACCTACTAGAAGATGCATCTACCTTATCGTCAATTGTATCGAACTTGGTCAACACGATACCATCAATGATATGAGGATTGACAGACTGGCTGTAGTCGGCCAGCGCCTGATTGAACTTGACCAGCTGATCGACGGCCTCGTTGCCCACGAGGGCCTCGCCGACGAACAATACGAGGTCCGGCTCGTTCACCTTGATCAACTTCGCCAAGGCCCGCATGAGCGGCTCGTTGTCTTGCATTCTGCCGGCGGTATCGACCAGAACAATGTCGAACTTGCAGTCCTTGGCGAAGCGGATCGCCTCCATGGCGATACCGGCGGCATCCTTACCATAACCTTTCTCGTATAGCTGCACCATAGACATATTGCCGTGTCTCTCCGGTGGATGCAGCGCGTTCAGGTGTCGCATGTGGGTCCGCAATTGCTCGACCGCGCCGGCTCTGTGAACGGCGAGATCACACTTAGTTAGTTCGTACAGTGGGGACCTGCACCTTCGATGTTGGGAAACGTGCGGGACGTGAAGTGGGAAAGCGAAGCGCCGATTTACCGGAACGTGTCGCACGCGGCGATCAGCACGCGGAAGTTGTTCTCGATCAGCCAGAAGCAGATCTTGGCCAGATTCGTGGACTTGCCGACGCCGTTCACGCCGCAGAACGTCATCACGTACGGCCGGCTGGTCTTCTTCGCCTCCAAGGCGTCGCGCAGAATGTCGATCCGCCGTTTGGGGGACAGTATCTGCACCAGAGCGTCGGTGAGGGTGGCCTTCACGGTGTTCGCCACGTTGTCGAAAGTGCCCAACACTTTGCCCTCGAGTTTCGTGCCCACGGAGTCGCACAGTTTCTGTGCGATGTCGGCGGCAACGTTCTTGGCGATCAGGTGGTCCTTCAGCTTGTCTAACACCGGCGCCATGTCGTCATGCTTCAACGATTTGCTGCCAACCAGGCTCTTGAACATGGAGAACATACTGCTGGTTGCGGCCTTCTTCTGCGACTGCTGCGTTTTGGAACGTTCCGTCACCTCGTGGTCGGAATCGTCGTCATCGTCTTCCTCGGACTCGCTGTTCACCTCGAGGTCACGTATGCCGCCTTTCATCTGCCCGACTAGCTACAGGATGTGACGAAGGTATTAACAACTTGGACGAATAGTAGTGCATGTATGCGTTACTTTAAACCAGGGTTGGATGATAACATGTCGTTTGTAACACCAGTACCGTTGCAAGTTTTACTTTTCTTCAGTGATTACTTGATAACTTGATTATTTGATATTATTTTTTTTCGTTAGTAACAATCACGCGATTAATTTTTAATATACTAGTAATGAATGTTAATATAATAGTAATAATTACTTTGCACATGTAGAATACGTACGTGTTGAATGCGTGCATGTCGAATGAGCGATAGTGAATTATAAAAAAAAAAAACAGAGAGACAATTTTAAAACTCTCGATAAAGAAAGAAAAAAAGAAACAAGAGTTGTAATAACTCGTTACTTTTGAGTAAAATAACGAGACATTTTTCAAAATAAGTAACGATAGTGGGAAAGAGTTGCCTTTTTAGAAATAAATCTTTCAACTTTGCTTTAAGCGAATGTAAAAGGAACAAAGAAAGCATTACAGTTGTATCGGCAGGCACGTAATCGCCGCTTTCTTCGGGCTTGTCTTTGGTTCGCTCCAAGGTGGCGAGATCCTTGGCAGTTCCACCGAGTTCCCAAATACGTGGTTTTTTGCCAGCTTTCTCAGGTTTCGGGCTTTTTCTGACAGAAAATCATCCGAGAGATGTTAGGTGTGTAAAAATGTAACAACTACAATGTAATTTAATGTTAAATTTTAATCCGGAGCGCTTACTGCTTGTCAGCTTTCTTCTTTTGACCCGCCATTTTCTGAGCGAGTTTCATGCGGTTGGCGATCAATGTTTCCTCGTCGAGTTCCCCATTGTGAACCACTTGTTGTTTCAGAGGTTCTTGTTTCGGAATTTCTTGTATCTTTGCTATTGATAAAAGTATCAAATAAAAGTTAGAAAATATTTAGTTATCTATGTGAAGTACATAGATAAAAGAAAATTAGAAAAAAACCTCAGCTAATTTTAATGTACGTTTAGTTTCTCGTGCAGCATATTTCATACTTCAGCATTGTGAATAAAGGGGAAAAAATAGCAGAGTTAATATTAAAAGGTAAAAAGCAAAGTAGGCAGCTAGAAAAAGTTCAAGCGTTGCTTACCGTGATTATCCTCGTTATAATTAATCCCCTTCTTCTTTTTACCTAAAAGTCGTTTCTTTTTTAAAAATAAACATTTAGACATAATCTTGGACCGTCAAATCCACAATTGCCAGAAAAATTAAGAATTTACTTCCAAACCCTGTTCTTTAACCCTTTCAGTCGCGATAAATCATTACAATTACAGTAAATATATTTTTTAAATAAAAATATTTTCTTCGTATGTGCGTGTGTGTATATGTAATCTACTTATTTATATTATTTAATAAACTGTTTTTCGAAATATATCTAAGGATAGTTTACTGGTCTTTAAAAAAAAATGATTTTTTACAATTTTTTAATAATTTTAATCATAAAATTTATTTTTAATTATATTAAATAAAATAAAATGTTTAAGGTTAACAAATAACAGATAATAATAATAAATAAATAAGATAATATAAGAAAATTTTAAAGATTTTTCCTACAGGAATCACTTTTCAAATTAAACTTTTGAAACATTATTTATACCTATTATGATATCCCTCTATTAAAATAACATTAAATATCCAAAGTAAAAAACCAGGAACCAGGACTGAAAGGATTAAGAAATAAGAATATGAGACAGCTCTTAGAAGCGTTTCAGCCATGCTAGGCGACGTGTTAACACGAGCCTCCTCCATAGTTTCCAAGTTCATTATAAACAGCAGCCTCACTGCGACACGTACCTGGTTTTTTCTCGTCCTTATCATCCTTTCTCTCGATCATGCTAGCGACTGTCTTCTTGGACTTCTGACTCTCATCGAAGGTGCGCATTTGCTTCGGTAGCTTGGCCTGCGCACGAGACCATTGCTCGGCCTGCTCGAGCACCAACCTGTAAGTATGCTCGAACTCAAAGTTAGAAAACCAACTCGCGCTTTCAAGCTCATTTTTGAAGCGATCGCGGAATTCCAGATGAACATCGTTCAGAAATTTGTCCACGTATGATAGCTGTAGTATCTTCTGATATGCCACTACAAATACCAGCTCAAACTCATTATCGAGTTTATATTGCAGACGCAGAGAATCATGCTCGAAGCTGTGATTGCCCGTACGTTCCTGCAAAGAACTTTGGTGATGTATATTTTCAGAAAAAAAATCCATTATATATCACACACTTCTCCACAGATTTTAATACAATATCAACACTGTAAATATTGAAGAAAAGATTTCACAAAATAAATCCTTTATCTTGAGAAAGGAATAAAATAAAATAAAAAATTAAAAAAATTCATTTTACGTCACATTTATCCTCTTCCATCATATATCTCGGTTCATTTTTTTACTCATTTCATAAATAGGAATAAGAAATTTTCCATGAGGCAACTGAATTTTAACAATCTCAACCATATGGTACATTTGAACCAGCTGTTTTTCTTTTAATTTATATATATTTAATGAAATTGAACTCAAATAAATACTCGTGTTTCTTCTGATTATTTTAATCAAATGTAGCTTTTTTTCTGCGTTATATGCGGAAATCTGCACACAAACAAAAAATCGACAGTGCCATAATATACAAAAAAATTTGTCGTTAAATCGCTAAAAACAACGTCGTACGAAGTTCTGACATTTAAAAGATAAGTAACACGGTGAATCAAAATAGTTAATTAAACAATTAGAAAGCGAACATTTCGAGAAAGAGAGAGAGAGAGAGAGAGAATGATAGGAAGGAATTAACGTTGAGTAATTTTTGGGTCAAAGGTCGGAAAAACAACGTCGTGACAGTGAAAAAAGTTGATTCTGATACTTACTTGCAATATGACACTTCTTATCAGTGCATTAACACTGGGTGCGAAGATTTGAGAAGTGCTCTGGAAGCACCAGAGCACTATACCGCCTTTGCTAAATATTGTGAAGAGATCGAGCATGATTTCGCGGGATGATTTAGCGAGAGAAATATAACGCACCGGACGTACACAACTACGACGTGTTCCGACCTAACCTAACATATGATACAGTTTGCTTACACGTCAAAGCACAAACGCAATCAGGGGATTTAAGCGAAAATAGGACAGGCTGAATCTTTGGAAAGTTGTCACTTAATGCAGGATTCATACAGCGTTCAACATTCGACGTACGATATCCAATAGGAGAGTACGTTTTCTGAGGACAAAAATGTTACTAACTAGGGACTCTAAGTTTCTGTTTACAATGGTGCCTTAGGCCATCAACCAATCACAGTCAATTTCTTAAAGCTTAAAACATTTAGACCTGTTCCATAATACGTCGTATGTCGCAGCCAATGGTCCAATGAGAGAATGAATTCTTTAAGAAAAAGTTCTTCTCATTGGACCATCGACTGCGATCCGACATCAGACTTCTCCAAATGACGTATTGTGACACAGACTTTAGAGAGAATTCATACCTTGACAGAAAAGCAGAAAGCAGAAAAGCAGCAGCCAATCAGAACTCACGTTGATAATAAACAGTAGATAAAGTAGAAACTGTCGACTATCAGCGAGAGTTTTGATTGGCTGCTGCTTTTTTGTTTTTCTGCCAGGGTGTGAATCCTGATCTATGTTTTTTTTGCGTCTTGTTTCCTGTTTTTTACTTCTTGTCTCTGTTTCTTCACGTATTGTTTTATCGACAATTGTGTGTTTTGTCGTTTGTCGCTTGCCTCAACTTAATACTCAACCTGAGTGGTCTAACATAGAAGATAAGAAGAGAGCAAAGAAGGATGAGTATAAACAGCAGAAAATTACTTATTGCAGCAAGTGAGAGTGATTTAGAAGAGATGGATCGTCTTATTAAAAGAGGGGTAAGTGTTAATTCTAAAGATAGAGATGGTAATACACCTCTACATTGGGCAGTTGAGAATGGTGATTTAAAAGTTATTGAGCTGCTTTTAGATAAAGGAGCGACTGTAAATATTAAAAATAACAAAGGTGAAAGTCCACTAGATCTTGTTAAACGTATTAATAGACAAGATATCGTTCAAATCTTAGAAACATCATTGAATCCAAAACCACAGATACAACCTCAATGTGAAAAACTATTAGACAAACAGTTTGAACATAAGGCAGGTCAAGTTTCACAGCTCTTGGATCAAAATATCAACCAGATACCTAGAACATCAAGACAACAAGATAAATTTCGACAAAAAGGTAAGAATACCAATATAGATACCCATAACAGGCAAGAAAAACTAGTAAATCCAATTCATGGTGACATTTATCGGTTAAAGATATTAATGCTATTCTTATATCGTGGAGTTTCTCATGAATATTCTTTTCGCTTAGGTACAAAAATAAAAGAAGCTAAAAAGTTTGATAATTTAGTGTTTGAATATATCAAAGGAGATGAAAAAATATATCGTTTTTTGCAAACTAAACATAAGTTAGATGAATCTAAAAAAATTACAGCGAGTAATTTACTATCAGAAAGTGATGATGATTATAATTTAATAAATTATTTTTTTTCTTATCAAGACTCTAAAAATGAAGAGTTATTTAAAGATGGTTCAATTAAAGATGTTATTGTTTATACTAATATTAATTTAAATTTTGAAAGCTTGAAAAGTGCACAAATTGGTGTAGAGAAGATAGAAGATAAAGATGATATTTTAGACATTGAATGTAATAAAAAACAACCCATGCGTTATAAATTCAGTGAAGATGTTGTTTCGCTATTAAAACCAAAATTACAAAATTATGGTTTAGCTATATTAAAAAGGACAGCTGAATATTCTGACAATGAGATAAGAGATTTTTTAAACCACCTTGTGTTTGCAGTAAATCAACCTAATGAAGAAGAGTTAGGTGAGATTATCAAAGAAGAGATAGGTAAAGAATTTGATTTTATCACGACAGAAAATATATATAATGAGTTCTTCATAAAAATGTTAAATTGGCTGCAAGGTAAAGAAAGAGGTATGTTTCTTTCTTATGAAGAAGGAAAAGAGTTCTTTAAAGAAATGAGAAGAGGAATTTGGTTTGGTGTGAGGGATCCGGTAGAATCATTTATTGGAAGAGCCGTGCAATTGGATAATTTACATAGAGTATTGCACGGTGAAGTTAAAACTGTAATATCGCAGACTATTTCCATAAGTGGTCTTGGTGGAGTGGGTAAAAGTGAACTAGCTAGAAAGTATATCAATAAGTACAGCCAAAAATATGATAACATTGTATGGATAAATGCTGAAAGTTATCAAACTCTTGTAAAATCTTTTCGTAGGTTAGCTTGTGATAAATTGAATATTAATACAAAAAATGCAAATAGTAAAGAAGAGGAAATAAAATCTATAGTTCAAGAAGTGTATACATCCTTTTCTAATAGAAAGAGTCTTTTTATTTTTGATAATGCTGAAAAATACACAAGTCAAAATGAGTTTGATCATGGTATAGATAAATTTTTACCTTCTGAACCATTGGATAACTATATCAAGCCGTATATTTTAATTACTTCTCGTAATCAGAAATGGTCAAACATACAAGTATTACAGTTAGGTGTATTTGATGAGGAAGAGGCAACAGAGTTTATCAAAAAATCGCTCAACATAGAAAATGATGCACAGAAAAAATATATTAAAGAATTGGCGAACAGATTACAGTTTTTTCCTCTAGCATTGCAACAAGCAGTAGCATACATAAGGGTGCAGGATGAGAATTTAAAAAATGTAGAGTCAAAGTTTACGATTAGCGATTATCTAGAAAGGTATAGAGAAAAAACAAAGGAGCTTCTTGATTTTAAATTTCCAGAAGACAGCGATAATGATTATAGTAAAACAATACTTGCAACTTGGAATGTTACTTTAGATATGGTAAGGCAGAGAGAAAGTGGTAATGATGCTTTGGATATTTTAAATATTGTATCTTACCTAGCTCCTGAAGATATACCTATAAAAATAGTTTTAAATTTAATAAATGATGAAACAAAATTAAGTTCCGCTATTGAATTACTGCAACAATATTCAATGATTAATTATAATTTAGAACATAAAATGCTTAATTTACACAGACTGGTACAGCAAGTGACAAGAATACAGTTAGAAGAACAAAATAGAGAAGAAGAGATTTTAATAAAAGCCCTAATGTTATTTGACAAAAATAATGTAAATTCAGGAAATGTAGATCATGCAATATCTGTTTGGAATTATTCAAGCAGGTATAATACATTAGTAAACATGTTTTCTCCTATTTCAAGTTATATTAACGTTGAGCTTATTAACAGCGCCAGGTACGAGGAAGCATATTCATTTGGGTTAAAAGTATTAGAGCTATTAAGTTCTCCATTATTAGATAGTCCTTTCACTTGTGATGGTCTTTTATCAACAAAGAACAATATAGCTGGAGCACTTCTAAAACTGGGTAAATACGATTTAGCTCTGAAAGTTTTTCAGGAGGTTTTTAATATCGAAAAAGTTATCTTCGGACGGTCAGATCATCCTAAAATTTTAACTGTAAAAAGTAATATAGCTTTAGTGCTCTGTAACCAAGGTAAATATAATGAAGCCTTAAAATATTATCAAGAAATACTTGATATTTATAAAATCACGTTAGAAGAGAATCATCCTCATATTTTATCAACTAAACATGATATAGCGGCAATATTACTCATTCAAGGTAAATACGATGAAGCTTTACAAATGCTTCAAGAGATATGTAATAGTGAAGAAGTTACTTTAGGAAAAAATCATTCTCAAACTTTAAATACAAAAAATTCTATTGCAAGTGCGCTTGGCCATCTAAGTAAATGTGACGAAGCTTTACAGATATATCGAGCGATATGCAATATACAAGAAGCTGCTTTGACAAAAAATCATCCTGAAATTCTACTCATAAAGAAAAATATAGCAGGAATGCTATTAATGCAAGGTAAGTACAATGATGCTTTGCAAACATATCAAGAAGTATTTAATATTGAAAAAGAAATTCTTGGAGAAAGTCATCCTGATGTTTTACATACTTACCGTCATATAGCAGAAACACTGCGACTACAAAGCAAATACGATAAAGCATTAGAAATTTATCAGGAGATTTTAAATAAAGAAAAAGATATTTTTAATTTTGACCACCCAGATATCTTAATTACACTATATAATAAAGCACTTGTACTTGATAGTCAAGGCAAATATAGTGATGCTTTACAAATTTATCAAGAAGTATTAAGTAAGAGAAAAGCTATTTTTGGAAATGACCATCCTGATACTTTAAAAATAAGTAATCGTATTGGTATAATATATTCAAAGCAAGGGGAATATGATAAGGCACTCCAACTCTACCAGAAAATATATCAGTTTCAAACAAATAATTTAGGAGAAAATCATCCTGACACTTTAGCTACAAAAAATAATATAGGTATGGCACTTTACGGTAAAAAGGAATACGATCAAGCTTTACAAATTTTCCAGGAAATTTTTAGCAAGTTACAAAAATTACTTCCTAAGCATCCTGATAATTTGTCTACAAAGAATAATATAGCGTTAGTACTTTTAAGTCAAAATAAACATGATGAAGCTTTGAAAACTTTTAGGGAGGTACTTGTTTCTCAAGAAGATATTTTGGGGGAAAAGCACTATAGTACTACAATAACAAAGGATAATATAGCAGCAATACTTCTCATACAGAGAAAACACAGTGAGGCTCTAAAAGTTTGGCGGGAAGTGTTTAAAGGGTTTAATGAAATTTTAGGGTCTGAACATCCAGATACTTTGAGGATTAGTAATAACATACAATCAATATTAATGTCATCTAATGATCTATTAACTGCTGTAAAGAGAAATAACTTCAAAAGGATAAAAAGTTTAATTGAGGGAGGTGGAGGAGACGTTAATACTAAGGATAATGATGAAATAACATTACTACATTACGCTGTTAATAATGGCGATATAAATATTGTAAACATTTTGCTCAAAAACGGAGCTGATGTTACTCTGATTACTAATAAAGGTAATACACCATTACACATTGCTACTTCTAAAGGTCACAAAGACATTGTCGAAGTTTTGTTACAGTATGTCAATCGTAATAAATTAAACGACTTTATCAATGCTAAAACCACTGCTAGCGGTACTACATCACTTCATGTTGCAGCTAAGAATGGTTATTTTGATATTATCAAGTTATTATTGAAACATGGTGCAATTTATAACATTAAGAATAACGAAGGTGAAACACCATTTAATCTTTCTAAGGACCAAGATGTTAATTATATACTGAAATTAACTGAAGAATTATTTGGAGATGCAAAAAATTATAATGTTGATATTATCAGCAAGTTAAGAGCAGTAAAACCTGATGTGTTTGTAGCTGTGGCAAATGCTCGCAATATTCAGGGAAATACGTTATTGCAAGTTGCTACAGCTAATAAACACAAGAATATTGAGAGTAAATTGTTAGAAATATTAGAAACATCAGACCAAAATTTACAAAATGTCAATATAGAAACTAGAGTTAAAAGTTTAAAATTTTAAATGACGCTGTTGAAATGTTTATATGTGATCTAAGTTAATATTGTGTTATATCTAAATCAGTTGCAACATTTAAGTTTCAACAAGCTATAAAGTCAAATTAAGGAAAAATAGGTACGGAGAAAAGAAAGTATAAATTTTTAATATGTGGGCTACTTAATACTGTAAATTATACTTGCAGGTTTATTGTCTCATTCTATTAGAAATGTCTTTTATTAGTTAAGGAAAGTTTATATAAAGCTTAGATAGCTACAGAAACTTAAACATTGCAAAATAATAAAAATATTAAATATTGAAGTTAGATTGACTCATACATTAGTTATCTTATTATATATCAACCTTTTGTCAAGGTATAAAAAATAAATAGTTTGAGGGGTGCGTCATGGAATATGAACAGTAAGTAGGCATATTAAGTACAATAATTACTGACAATGATTTAGTTGAGAGTAATATAATTGAAAAAATAAAAAAGAAATTCAAAAAACGCGTCTAGATACTATACCGAGAGTGGGAAAGTTATAAGTTTTTGACATAAATCATATATTCAACTTATAAGATAATGAATCTACTTTGAATGATATGTTTTGTTACATAATTATAATTAATATATATTATAATATATAATTGTTCTACTGGTCATAAAAAGACAACAGAAGTAAAAATGATAAGAGGGATAGATATTGATGAAGCGAATCACAATAAATGTACTTTATTAAACTTTGCTGCTGAAGAGGGAAATACAGAAATAGTAAGTAAATGCTGCGACGTTGCGGCGCCTCTTTTGCTTCCCGGCGTTTCTCTGCAAGTCGCAAAAGAAATCAGTCGTGGACACATCGAAGCGTGCCATTGCGCGGATCTCCAGGAAGCAGATTGATATATTTAAGATTTTAGAACTAAATAGCCTGTTTGTTACATTCTTGTATTTGGCGCCTCACCACGAGCTTCGCTACATTGGAAAGCGATTAGGACCGCATCGGAAGCCACCAGAAGTGCCACGGGGATTCGGCGACTCGGCGAGGTGATGAATGCGACGAATCATGGGGCCGCTCGTGAGTTGCTGCATCGCGCGACGATTTAGCCTCCCCTGCATAGCTCGCAGAAAATAAGATGCCGGTCGCAAACACAGACGATAATCAAGCAAATGCAAAGAGCTGATCGTCACTTCACGTTTGCGTTTGCGATTTGTTTCTTGAGCTCTGTGAATATAAACAGGGCTGAGACTATCGCTATCCACAAAGGAGCGTCGTCAGAAGTTCAGCTTGGGAAGTGGACTCAGGAAATTCGCGTCGAAGGAATTCCGTTGGGGTGAGAGGACGGTCCGGATGATTCCATCGGAGATTCCCGCAGACCAAAGGACCCGAAAGGAGGATACTCGGAAGGTAGAAACTGCCGCCCGAGGATCAGCGAGCAGCTACAAGCCTGCGAACGTTTCAACAATTCCACGACGCATATAATCCTGATAGATAATTGAGAAAAGATGACGAGATAATTGGTTTGTGCTATCCTACGTGTTATATAAGTGAAAGGGGCTGATGCAGCATCGATATTTTTATGAGAAATTTGCGAAATACAGCTATATAATTGCAGTATTACGAATTTCACTTAAACTCCATCACATTATTTCATAAAAGTTGTGTTATCGGAGACCAGGTCAACATCGAAACAATCAAAATTATATTGAATCGACGTCAACAAAACGACAAATATAAAGCATGATCTGCAGTATCAGCTAGACAAAAATACGATAGAATTTGAGCATGAGCCGTCGACGTAACGGCAAAAAAAAATAACAGAGAATGCCATTTACAATATAATAATAATAATTATGATTATTATTTTATTGGACGCAATAGTTACAGAATCGTATAGAAAACAAAGAATTATCAAGGAATTTGGTATCTGAAAGAGGTGGACGCAAGATGGATTCGAGAAATTCGCATCAAAGAAATTCCGTTAGAGGACGACAGGACGTTCCAGGTGATTTCATTGGAGATTCCTGTAGACTAAAGGACTCGAAAGAGGACATCCGGAAGACCGAAACTGCCATCCATAAGGATTAGCATACGCAGATTACAAGCCTGCGAACGTTTCAACAATTCCACAATGCTCATAGTCCTGTCGCGAAAATAATTGGCTCGTGCTACCCCACATGTTACATAAGTGAGGTGATCGTGATGGATATAGTATCGACGAGAGATCCTTCGCATTCTTGCACCTCGACTGTCGCTGCTACGCTCTTCGATGCCGTTCACAAGGATCCAGGCGAACACGTGGCTGAACTGTGCGAGATATTGTATGGAACGGTGAGGCAGCCCTTTTTTTTATTGTTAAACCACGAACTTTCGTAGAGCCGATCTCGTAGTGTCGATTGTTGTTGAGGCTGGTTGCCTCGGTAATCTCGCGTGAGATTATTGGTGGGCGGACCGAGTGGAATCCGACGAGTGACGGGATTTCGTGGCTCCGAGCATCGTCCCTGTTGAAAATTTCCAGGTGGATTCCCGTATAAATCCATAGGAACTTGTGTGAATCCATATAGCATAATAAAAGCTCATATAAAAATCCACACAGTGTGTGTACTTTACAGGATACCTATAAGAATCCACATAATTTACGAAACTTCATATAGGAATCCACATAGATTCTTGAATTTTTGGCGCAAATCTCTGTGGCTAACCACGGGATCCCATATGGATTCTTTATATGGGTTCCCACTTGGATTTTTTCAACAGGGATAGGTTTAAGATAAATGGGCGCAAGTCGAAAAATCTTGAATATAGGCTTCCTGGAGACTGAAAACAGTAATGTCTAAGGCTCTGCGTCACGAATGTTGCGTAGCGTTAGGATTGCGCTGTTAATCTCGCGTATAGAATAAGATTTCGTTGTAAAATAGGGTATCGCATTGCGGGAACATTCGGTCTTGTCGCATAATTGTCATGTAGTTATCGCGTTATTCTCGTTAACCTCGTTCTCTTTTGTTCTTAACTTTTCTCTATTCTTCCTGTTAGTTTTTTACGACTTCGTCTTACGTGCTTCGTCGTGCATCGTCGCAAATACCGCATGTTGAGTTTAACCTCGACCAGCGTGAGCTGGATCGAGCTTGGTGATGATGTCACATAGGAATTTCGCGAGCGTCAACTTACTAGTTTGTCGTTGTTCTTCGAACGCAAACTTATCAATTTGTCGTTGTATTTATCGCGCACAGCGCGACGCGTTTTCAGGACTGCGTTTCTAGCGACCATTGAGATGACAGCCCCGAGCACAATTACCTGTATATTATTTTTTTTGTTAGTTTTAATTACTTTTATAATAAATGTTATATTTTCTTTTGTTCTGTTTACGAATTACGCTTCAATATATTGTTTATCCTTTCTGTTACTATCTGTCTTCCTGCGTACTTACATGCGACCTATCTCGCATCTCTTCGTTCGATGTGTTGAACTAGTTGTGCTCATTTTTTCGGGTTTTCGCGAGTCATTCGGTTTAGTGTTGACGGCTCTGTTCGGTTTTTGCTGCCAATCTGCTCGCATTTCCGGCAACAGATTAGCAACAATCTGATATAACAGATCTTGTGTTAGATTTGTTGCCTTTCTGCCATCAAAAATTTGTAGTAGGCTCTTCTCGAAATCTATTTGCGCAGGTTTGGCTATTTGGTTAAGCAGATGCTTAAGTTAGACTTAGAATATTTTTCCACACGGTTTACCGAATGCTTGAATACATGCCAAACGCTCGCGGAAAACTTTATTTTCGACTGGACAAAGTCATTGGGATCAATAGCTGTTTGATCATCGAAGTCGAGCAACGGCGATTGCGACTCGGAGTGGATGGATGACCCAACCGCTTGGAATCGGAACCACGGAAGAATATAAAATGACTTTTTTTTTCTTTGTACATGGTTGATGGTCTCAGCAAATTTTCCTTTAAGTCTCAACATAGAGGAAATGACCAAAAGTTTTTTATAGTATTAAAAAGCACAGTAGACTGAAAATCATTTTTACTTCATTTGACTTGTCGATCGAAATTATTATGACGTAGCAAAAATAACGTCAATGAACTTTGATATAATCACGTTATATATATTTATATATATATATTTTTTTATATATATTTATATATAAATAAATAAATATATATATATATATATATATATATATAAATTATNTTTGTTTTATCTCGTTTGTATCAACAAAATTTTGTTGCAAACATTATTTTGTAATTATATATAACTAGTATCAGTAACTAATCGAAAATTAACTCCAAATTTATTATATATATTTAGATAGAATCTACTGTAAATTTCGACTTTTAATAGACCGCTACAATCGATATTGATTCGACATCGATTCGACTTTGATTTTACTTTTCATTTCTGCCTGGGATATCATATCCATTAAATGTCATTTTGCGACGGCAAAAATAGAACTATACAATTGAAAACAAAATTACTTATTATTTAATATCCAGTTATCTAGGATTTATATATTAAAATTGGTGAATTAATGGATTTATCTTTCGATTAGTTTTATACGGATGAACACTGGATATACAAAATCCTTCATAAAATATTTATACAAAGAATCAATTTTTATTATGCGGGAGATGATTAGTAGTAGTAGATGGTTATCTTCCACACACTATATTTCTATTTTCTCCTACATGGAACGGCATAAACTAAGCGCTTGGATTTGCGAAATACAACATATGACAACATCATGAATTAGAATGAGGAAACTTATCAATATTTGGTTATATACAAGGTTGGTATCTTGCTAACGTGCTTAGCCAATAATAATAAGAAGTAGGAGATTTATTTGTGTAAAGTATTCGTGGTTTACTTTCCTAAAGATGTCCAGAAGCACAATGGAACAGGAATTAGAGTTCACTGACTCAGGTAAAGTAAAAATATATAGCATTCTAAGTAGATTATGTAATGATCACATCGTTTTAATCATATTGATTTGTTTAGCATCCGTCACAAAAGCAGAATCGATTGAGAATACGGAAAATATGACTATGAATCTTACCGATAAACTTGTTACAAATTTGATAACAGTATACGATATTTATAATAACTACAATGGAAGCGAATATACATCACGTCAAATTGAGATGCTTAGACAGTTAAAAGAAGATTTATACCGCCATTTTTATGAAATAACTAATTTGAAAGATCCTAAGTTCGACGATATTATAATTCTTGCAACGTCTTTTACCTATATGGTTTATATAAACAGACCATGGAAGAGGTTGTTAGAATATGCTCTTATAAACGAATCGTATATCACACAAAGTATGATATTGATAAAGGACAAAGAACTGGATTGCAAAGCTATTCTTATAGCCATGGCTAATTGTCTAGAATTTAGTTATATTTATTTAACCTTGAATAAACCTAAGATATATTTACAATATGCATATAAAATTTTTGATATATATTTCGCATATACGAAAGGCGAAGATGAGTTTCCTGCTCCTATCGATGTTTTAGTTTCTCTGGGTATTGGAAATGAATCAAATACGATAATGGAATTGCACACATTGTATTTGATTAATTTACGTCAGTTATTCGACTTGAGGGACAATTACAAATATAGACAGATAGATTTTGAAAAAATAGCATTGTATAAGCATAAGTTATTGAAGAATCTAATGAAAACGGTACCGTTATATATAGACCACGTTACATGGGCCTACGAAGTAATACATTTAGCCGAATACTTTATGTCATGCGATCACTTTAATGAATTTAAAAATCATCTTTGTGCTGCGTCTGTTATGATGATAAGATTTCACGATGAAGTATTTATGAAAGATAATGCAGAAATATCCACAAAAAACAAGAATCTTCAATATGACTGTTTTAAAAGCATTTGCTCTGTTATTGAAATGATTTGGGTGAGATATGGACTTGTTATTCTATATTTATCGAGAAAACGATTGCAACAAAAGGGAGAAAAAAATAATCTTTGTGAAGAAGATGGATCTAAATTAGAATCCATAACGCAATCTAACAATAATTCCACAGAATTACTAATACTTATGGATACAGAAGAAGCATTTAAAATGTTTACTTATATAGATTCAGATAATTATATTACAAATTACAACGATGCTAAAATACTTTTTATTCGTATTCTCGAGTTGCTTAATGATATCAAAAGGGATACATTTGCTTCGGGATCTGTAGAATTTCGTGCAGAAATTGCACAATATACTTCAAGAGCATACAAATATTTTGCGTCTTTTGAACAGGATTCAATCAAGCACATAAAACTACAAAAACGGAGAATAGATGTGTTACAAGATTTTTTAAAATCATTATATGCAAGTGGTATAACAGACGATTACATTTTTATATGGTTTGAATTGGCAGTTGTTTATTCTACTGTGGTAGATATAAAGATCAGAAAGTTATTGGTAGATAATCTAACTGAGGAAGAATTAACCGAAATTAATCCATTAGTTAAAGATAGTGCATATTACCTGTGGTTATATTTAAGTAAATTTGAACAGAAAAATGTACAGGCTAAGGAATATAGTTATCAAATCATGCCTCATTTTAGTCTAAAGCATGAAAAAGGCACAAAATATGTAAGTTTCATTAATAAATATTTAAGTCAAAAATATGTATAAAAATGTAATGTATCACAGATTATCTTGTATAGTGTAAAATAAAAAAAATACAAAAACATAGGATTTTGAAAAATCTATGAATCTATGAATCTTTTCAAAATATAGTTTATGCAAAAAGATTATTTTATATCGTGCGCGTACAATTAGTATCAGTAAAAACAGAACATCAATTATATTACATCTATGTTATAATTTTTCGTTAAACCATGTAAATACAAGAGAACACATGTGTTATATTACAAATTTACCTGGATTAGTACAATTTAGCTGTAAGCAAACCTGTAGTATTATTTTTAAATGTATTGTATTTTTTGAAGGAGTTGAATTTAAATATATATTTTGTTCATAAAAATAAGTAACTTGTTCTTAT